GCAGAAATCGAAGCCCTGGGTATAATTTAAATTAACTTTGTAAAATCGATTTTAACACTAGAATCTTCTCTTTTTCAATTTTAAAAGAATGTAGCTTGGTAATGCTCTTCTAAAGATAATTCTGGTTTGTGAGTTGACAAAATTCCAGAATTTTAATTATTAGAATTATTTGTTTAGTGATAATTTAATAAAATGTTTGAATATTTTAAAAGAATTTAAAATTTAAGTTTTATTTGTAATTTAATTTCTTTTTTTCATTCTCTCTTTCTCTCTCCCATTCTGTCTACTAAATTATAAAATTACTTCCTTCTACTTTTTGTTGAATGTTTAGTACAATCCAAAATTGAATTACCAAAAATTAATAATTTTTGTCTTTTTGGATTTAATTATAAATAAAATAATGTTTGTCCATCTTAAAATAAAAATTTATTTAAAAAGATTGTCGTCAAATTTTCTTAAATTAATTAATTAAATAAAAAATCCTCATCATATAAAAAAGTTTTTATTTTTCACTAAAATACATAAAAAATTTAATTTAATTATTTTATTTTCATTTTATGAATTTTTAACAAAATTTAATTAAAATTATTAAATTTAAAATTACCAAATTTTAAATTCTATTTTTTCCTTCAAAGAATTTGAAATCCTATTAAATTTTATTAAAAATACGTAAACAAAATTCTCAAAAAATTTCTCAAATTTTATTCCCTTAAAAATAGATTTAATTATAAATAATTAATTAATTAATTTTTTAAAGATAAATTAAATTATTTAAAAATGAAATTAAATTTATATATTTTAATTATTATTTTATATATTCAATACAATTATGTTTCTAGCGATATATTTAATTTTACTGAAGTTGAAACTAAAGGTGATAAAGGTTAGGTTTATATTTAATAATAATAAAAACAATAAATTTTATTAAATTTTAAAAATTGTTAACTGAATATATCTTTATGTTTAAACTTCTCCTTTTTTTTTAATTTTTTTAATACTTTTGTTTGACTTAATTTTTATTTTTTAAAGAACATATTGGATATGGAGGTATGGAGGGGGATCTTCCCGCAGGTCATAACAACGCAGCTCCTGGCACAGCTAACAAATATAAAAGAGGTTGTGAAATGATAGAGAAATGTCATGACGGAAAAAAATAAAAAATTAATTATTTTTTAAATTAATAAATAAAATAAATTAAAATTTTATATGAATAAAATGCCGATGAGCAAAGCATCGCGAAATAAAATTTTTTTAATGAAATAAAAACCACTTTGGCACTAAAACAAAAATATAGTACATTTTAATTTTCGACATTAGGAATGGTTCGAAAAATAAAAAAATTCCTTTAGATATAATTAGTGATATTAAATGAATTTTAATCTACTTCCATTATCGAGATCTTGAAACCCGAAAATAAATGAAAAATTGGGGTAGAAATCTTTGAGGGGTGCTATAAGATCGTTTTTATCTCATTATACAGAAAAAATTTACTGTGTCGAGAGCCAAAGTGATAAATTTTCAAGGCATAAGCTAAACTCATTATATCTCAAAGAAAAATTTTTCTGTATAATGAGACAAAAATTTCGTGTAACCCGGCCCATCACTGATATACATCTATTGGGGCTAGATTTTTGAAGGAATATAATTATTAAATAAACCTAATCAAAGTTTATTTTACATAAAAATTTTCTAAAATTCCCTTTTAGTTAAAAATTGGAAATATTTGAAAATATTATAAAATTTACTATCTTCTTAAATTTTGTTGTTAAAATATCATTAGCTATCTCCCCTTTTCCTAGGGCTCATTTTTAAACATTAGACTAATAACAGATTATAACTAATTTGACGAGGCTCGCCGAAATTACAAAAATATTGAATAAAATTTGAGTAAAAATAAATTTTTAAAAATTTTTATTGTGTTTTGTTCTTTTTTTTTACTTTAAAATTTAAAGTAAAATTGAGAATATTGCTTTTAATAAATTATTGTTTATTCAGTATATTTATGTAATTTAAAACAAAATTAAAAGGCAAAAAAGATTCCCCCTAATTAGAAATTAATTCTCCTTTTAACCAAAAATTAAATCGAATTTTTTGGAAAAAAACTTTAAATTACAATAAATATATATTTATATTTTCTTTTAAATAAAAAAATTAAAATGGTTAATATTTTTTATTTAAATATTTTACCTACAATTTTAATTATTTTTATTTTTATAAATATTATTAATGGAAAATCTTTAATCGAAAAATTAAAAGAGTTTTTTCATAGTCATCATAAAAAACATAAAAATGGTTAAAAATTAATTTAAAAAATTATTTTTAAAATAATATTATCATTATTTATTTCCCAGAATTTTAAATAAAAATATTTTTCTATTCCAATTATTTAAGAAAATTCCAATATACCGTATTTTCTCGAATAATTCCCCCTCTCGATCAATTTACCATGCTAGAGTTGGGATGAAAAAATAATTCCCCAGAGGAATTAGTCGAGAAAATACAGTATGTTACCAGAATATATTACAAGAAATTTATTTAAAAAAAAAGTTTATTATTTTTTCAATAATTTTTTACAAATTCTAATTATTTAATTAACTAAATATTATTTTTAGAGACTCCAAAACCAAAATTTATTTCTTATGGTGCAATGCGAGGGGATTTAATACCTCCAACAATGGATCATATTTTACCTTTTGCTAATAATTATACAATACCAAATACAACACAAAATCCTTCACAAATCACTGAAAATATAACAAAAGAAGAATTATCAACAAATAAATCAGAAGGCGAAGAAGAAAAAGAAAAATTATTTTTTATTGAAAAAATTAAAAATGAAGTTATCTTATGAATATATTTTTTAAATATAAAATTGAAGAAAACATATTTTGGAAAAAATCGAGATTTTTATTTGAATTGGCAATTTTTTTTTATTTGAAAATAAAATCTCGGTTTTGAATCTCTTTTTATTTTTTTAATTTATAAATTCCCTCTGTAATTTATTATTATTGAGATAAATTTAAAAAATTATTATATACCGGAAATGCTGAAATAATTACCCTCTCTCTCTAATAATTATCCCCTAGTTCTCTTAAACTAATTTTGAAAATATTTAAAATTATATCAAATTTAATTATTGAAACATTTTAAGATTCAATATCAAAAAATAAATCAATTTCGCCTAATTGGATTGAGATGTACGCCGAATCCAGTACTTCCTCCCTATTAATTACCCCCTCTAACGAAAGATTGAAGCATATGAATTAAATAAAAGAATATTTTGAACTAAAAATATCTTAAATAATTTTAAATATTTTTTATTAGTCGGAGACTGTGTAAATAAATTTGGTTGTCTCCGTCAACAGTTAGAAATAAAAATACTTGAATTCCGCCATAATGCCTGCCGGGAGCTAAGCTTTAACCTCTCTCTTATTATATTAATTATTTTTAAAGCCATAGAATTTAATCTATTTTTAATGGTAAATACTGAAAAATAATCAATGATTTTATTAAATTATCGATAAAATTTTTGTAAATATTTTTTGAAGTTTTATTTTAAATATATTTTTGGTATCTGTAATTTCTGGTATCTGTAAAGGTCTTTACGTCGGAGGAATATAAAGGAATATTGGTGGAGAATTGATTGGATTAAACATGGAGACTTGAAATTCACAATATAAACACGTGGATTTTTGCCAATGTTTAATTTCTCTCTTTAATCTTTTTATTTATATCCAAAAAACCCAACAAAATCCACATACTTCGGACGGAAAATCTTTTTCAAACCTTTTTTTCACTCACAAGTTTCGACTTTTGTTTGCCTTAATTAAATATTTTATGGCAATTAATATTTATAGTTTGTATTATTTATTTTATTTTAAACTTTTTCTTTTTAAAATTCATTATTAATTATTTACCTTTTTTTCCCCAAAAATATTTTTTTATATTTATAGTTTTTTAATTAAAATACCTAATAAATGAATATTAATCAATTAGTTCTTTTAATATTTTATTTTTCTATAATTATTCTAAATAATATAGTAGTAGTCAAGAGTAAATCTATTCTAACTAAAATTGGAGAAATTTTTACAAAACATCATTGTGACGATAAAAATAAAGAAAACGAAGCTACAAAGGGACGTAGATAATTTTTTTTAGAAAAAAATAATTTTAATTTAAAGCCCAATACATTTCTTATGGCGCATTACTGGCAGATGCTATTCCTGGAAGAATATATTCTAAAGTACTGCCTTTAGCAAATAATTACACCGATCCTCGAGAATTATCCAAAACAACTTCTTCTCCAAATCAAAATTCAGATTACCGAGCAAAATTTCCAAAAGAATTTAAAATATTAAATCCGACAACAAAAAAGTTGAAACTACAGAAAAAATAGAATAATAAAAAATTATTACTAATAATTAATTAAGAATTTGAAAGTTCAAAAGAAAATTTTAAATAAATAAATTTTAATTAAAATTAGAATATTTTACTAATTTTAATTGTATAATATTGACAATAAATTTTTAAAGATTATTTTTGTATTCTTAAATGGAAAATAAATTATACCTATACCTAGTCTATGAGAATTATTGAATATTTTAAATTTATTTAAGCCAACAACCAACGTGTTAATTAATTTTACCGAGATTAAATTTAAAAAAGAATTATTATATTTTTAATATTTTGGCTAATTTTCCAAAATTAAAGAATGTCAAAAATGGCTTGTTCAGTAAATCATCTGACATATGTATTTCGGCATTTCTTTAGAAATTTCGACATCTCAAAATCTTTTAGTCTGGCCAAACAGAATAAATATGTAATGACTTCCAGGGAAATTTGTAAACTGCATATTACTGTTTGGCCGGTCGAGATTTCTAAAAGACCGTTACCCAAATAAAAGTTAGCCATTCCATAATTAATATAAAAGCCGTTATTACAAAGTTATAAATTCATACAAAAATCCAGGCATTTTATCATCTCAAAACCTGCAACATTTTGTTTCTAAAATGCGCTTATGGTCAAAGTTATTTTTCTGTTTAAATTTCTCGTTCATTCTTCTGTTGCTGTTTCTTCCAGTAATTCTTTCCGTCAATGAGAGTCGTAATTTGTAAGTTTATTTGCATCTTTACTCGGAAAACCCTAATTTACCTTTCCTTAAAGGAATAATTCGTCGGGCATAGAACCAAACGTTAACCTGACTTCGACCAAAATATCTCCAACGGAAACAACAATTCCGACGACCAACACTATTTCGACCATAACACCTCCAACTACTGCACAGACAAACACAACAACTCCGGCGAACACCACTGTTTCGACTACAGAATCTTCTACTGCAGAAACGAACAAAACAAGTTCGGAGATAACCACCACCACAACTGTGGACCAGACGAATAAAACAAGTCCGGAGATGACCAACAAAACTGCGGAACATGTGAACACATCAACTGCGGAGAGATCAACTGCAGAACAAACAAACAAAACAATTCAGGCGATAAACACCACAACCGCGGAACGTACAAACGCCTCAACTGAGGAGATATCAACCTCAACTACAAGACAGACGAACAAAACAAGTCCAGAAATAACCACTACAAAACCTCTGACTGAGGGACAGACAAACAAAACAGCACCGGAGATAAAAACCACAGCTCCGGAAAAGACGACCAACTCAACTCCAGAGACAACCACTACAACACAGAAGAACACAACATCTACCACAACATCGGCTACAACACAGAAGAGTACACCTTCCACCAAGAAGACGCAGATAACATCAACGAAAACTACAATACCACCACTGAATACAACAACAACCAAATCAACAACGATCACAAAAAAACCAACAGGAGTGTTAGAGGTTACGACGTTATCGTCTAATTACTCAAAAACAGTGGAAACAACAAATAAAACATCACATGAAAACAAAATATCAGAAAACTCGACAGTTTCTGGTGCATCAACGACAAACATAACGACAACAGAAAATAATATTACATCAGAAATACCACCAACTTCCACAACAGAAATAACCGAAACAATTTTCAATTCAACAATGTCAGCTTTTGGAGAATCGAAAACAACCAAAAAAACGAAGATAACAACAATTACTTTTACCCAACAAAAAACTTCAAAAATTTCAACAATAAATCCAACCGAAAAAGAAGAAACTACCCCAAATATTTTCTTTTATTTAAGCATTATCTTTGCAATTATTATTATTTTATGCTTAATCTGTGTTTGTTATTCGTGCCGAAAAGAGATTTGTCAACTAAAAATATTTCGACGATTTAAGAAAAATAGAAAAAGAAGAAAATTGAGGAAGAGGCTTACAAAGAAAATAGAATTTTCAAAATATGATTATGATCCAGAATTTTGTTATTTCAAACCCGACGATTTTAAGGAAGGTGGTCCTATGAAAATTTTTAAACAATTGAAGGTAAACAAAGAGATTTTTGGAAGGATTTTATTTTTTATTTTCTTGTCTAGGTTCCATCAACTGCTCCTAAAAATGTTGAATTGGCTTCAGACCTTACAAAAATTAACATCAATTTTGAAAAGAAAATGTGTGTTATGTACGAAATTGGAAGTGAAATTGTTTGTTTAATTTTGAATGTTAAAATAATTTAAATTAAATTTAAGGAGATTGTTGTTGATTCGGATGGGGAAACTGTGGTGGAAGACAGCCCGCGTACTAGCTGGAGGAATACTTATATGGGGAAAATAAGTAGAGGATTTTATGAAAATGATAAACAAGACTTGGAGAAGTTGAATGGGTGAGTTTTGAAATAATTGAAATATTTTGTGAAGGGGAAAATGGGGAGGGGTGTGGGGGAAGAAGGAGGGGAGGTGTTGCAGTTCCGGATGCCTGTCTGGGACTAAACTTTTACTTCTCTCTTATTTAATTTTTTTTCTTTTTTTAGAGAAAGAGCAAATAAAGTGGATTCTGATGGAGAAAAGTTCAATGAAGATAAGGATTCTGGAACAAAAACTGAAGCAGATGACCAAGATGTTGCAACAGGAAGGGAAATGGAAAAAGGAGTTGAAACAGCAAAAGGTGTAGATACGGCAAAAATTGTTGATTTGAAGGAAGAAATTAAAGAAGTAATTGTTGAAGAGAAGAAAGAAGAAACGAAGAAAGTAATGGAGGAACAAAGTAATTACGATACAAAAATAAGTAGTGAAGAACAGAGTACAGAAAGTACTACAAAAAGAAGTGAAGAACAAAGTACTGATACGCGAACAATTACTTTAGATCAGAGTAGTGAGGAAACGACAGAAGAGGAAGTTAACGATAATAATGATAAGGAAAGTAAAGAAGTAATAAGTGTGGATGAACAAAGTAATTATGATACAAATATTAAAAAATAATTGGTATTTCTATTTGTTTTTGTTGTATATGTTTTAAACAGGGTTACGATTCCTACTTTTTTAAAAGTATTCTACTTTTAAATCGACCTCCATGCTTACGAAATTGAATTTATACTTTTTTGAAAGTATATACTTTTTTTTGATTGAAAATGAAATTGGGGAAGGGATTGGGCAAAAAAGTGAATTTTTTTGGCCTACGGCCTTTGAAATTCTCAAAATTTTCGCCTGCGGCGCTGAAAATGGAAGAAATCTATCTTCTTGGGCTCTAAATTTCAAAAAATTTTCGCCTGCGGCGCAAGAAATTGAAGAAATCTGGCTTAAGGACTTCCGAAATTCTCAAAATTTTCGCCTGCGGCGCAAAAAATAGATTTTTTGGCGCCTTCGGCGCCAAAAAAGGTGCATTGAAATTGACAAAATGCTCAGTTGAAACAGGAAATTATTAGAAAAGATTCATTTAGGAGAGAAATATAAAAGATTTGAGGACGAATAAATATTTTCTAATTTAATTTTGAGACTACTTTTTTTTTGCAAATTTTCTCCCTATATACTTTTTTATCGAGATTTTGATACTTTTGAGTGGCATTTTGTCGATCGTAACCCTGGTTTTAAATGTTTTATAAATTATGTACTTGGAAAATTAATTAGTGTTCTTTTTTTTACCCCAAAATATTTTAAATCCAATAATTAATTTTATAAATATATTTTTAATGGCAAAATATTCAAATAAATATAAATTTAAAAAAAAATTATTTTTTCCCAATATATTCTCCAAATTTCCTTCTCTCTAATTTTACATAATTCCCTTAAAAATATAAATAAATAAAAAATATTTCTTTCAAGAATACTTACCATACATTGGACGAATTATTAATTCAGAAGCAACACGCATTTGATCTGTTCTTAATTTTGGATAAACATTGAAACGACGAAAAATGTTGGCGACAAGGGTTTTTTCTTCCATTAAAGCAAAACGTTGACCTTTTAAAATAAATATAAAATTAATTAACCCCCCCCCCCCAAATTTCTTTTTAATTTGTTTAAAAAAGCATCTAAAACTCCATTACCTATACAATTACGAGCTCCAGCACTAAAAGGAATATAGCAATAAGGATGTTTCAAATAGTCCCCATTCACAAAACGTTCTGGATTGAATACTTCAAATAAAGTAAATTATTTTTTTAATATTTAAAACAAACTTTCAGGATTTTCCCAATAATTTGTATCTCTGTGTACCATTGAGGCAACAATAACTGCCTTAATTGTTTAATATTAAATTAATTTTAAATTTAAATATACCCCAGTTCCAGCAGGTAATGTAAAATCTTTTATTTTTACATCTTCTGTAAGTTGTCTAGCAATTAATGGAACACTTGGATATAACCTTTTTTAATTAATAAAAATAATTTTTAAAAATTTAAAAAATTTTATTTTCAGTCTCCTGTGAAAAGAGGAGATCTACCTCAAAAAAAGGAATTACTCTTTTATAATTAAAAACATTTATTTTAGTACCTAAGTGTCTCTTTAAGACAAGCATCAACATATTTTAATTCAGCAAAATCATCAAAAGCAATATCTCTGTCTAGATCAGGGCCTAATACTTCATCAAGTTCTTGTTGTAATTTAGCTTGTATTGCTTGGTTATGCCCCATTGAATGAACAAACCTTTTTTTAAAAAATTAGCTTTAAATTTAAAAATTTATTTTTCCCCAAAAAATATATAGAATTTATAGAACTATAATTTATAAATAAATTTATTTAAAAAATCTTTATTTTCCTTCCTACCAATTTAAAGCAGCAGATGTTGTATCATGTCCTTCAAAAGTAAAAGTATCAACTTCTTCCTGTATTCCCTCCAAATCAATTTCATTTCTCGAATGCATATCCAACATTAAATCTAATAAAGCTAAACGTATCCCTCCCCCATCTTCTGCTTTCTTTTCTAACATTTTTTGAATTCCTCCAGCTTTGTCCATCATTTGTTTTCTTGCAAGAATTGCCTTTTTTTTAATTAAATAAAAATATTTTTTCAAATCCTTACATTTCCTGTAAAATCATGTAAAGCCTTTACACATCTTTAAATAAAAATATTTTTATAAATTTAAGATTAAAGACTTTTTTTAACCTTTTTTGTTCTTTTCCATCACCAAATAAATTAAAAAGAATTTCTAAATAATATTGAGGGCGAATTATTCTATCTTGAATTATTCTCTTAAAAAGAGATTTTTTTAATTTAAAAAATGTTTCAATTCTTGTTAATAATTCATTAATAATTTTTTACTTTTACTTTATATAAGAAAAAGGTTTATTTAATTTAATTTAAATTAATCTTTAATTTTTCTTTTCTTTTATTTTCAAAAAAAAAATTATAATTAATTAAAAATTTTTTTACTTTAATTTTAAAAACAGCATTTAAATAATCAGTTTCAGTCCTTTGAGCGTCAATATTAACACCTAAAGCTGCTTCACAAATAATATCTAATGTACATAGACTAATTGTGTGAAAGATGTCATTAAAATCATTAGAACCAATTAATTTGTCAAATTTACTGCAAAGAGTTCTTGCATGACGATTAAATATCTTTTTTTGTATTTAAATTTAAATTAATTAATTTTTTAGAAATTGTGAAGAATTTATAATTTATTTATTACACTATGAAATTATTTAAAAAAATATTTTTTGGTAATATTTTATAAAATTCTAAAAGAAAAAAAATTTTCTTAGTAAATTAAAAACAAAAACTAAAATCTTTTTAAAACTCAACTAAAAAATAATTCTAAATTTTGTGTAGTGTCTCTAATATTTTTGTCATCCAAATAATTTATTTTTTATTTTTAAAAAATTTACCGGCATAAAATCTTTAAGAATATCATAATGAAAAGTAGGCGTTAATAATTTCCTTCTAGGTCTCCATTTATTTGGTTTACTTATCTATGTAATTTTATTTATTTTTTAATATTTTTTTTAAATTTAATATTACCAAAAGTCCATCCCCAATCCACGCCGAAAGAAAGGAATATTGATATAATTTATGTAAAACTTTGTTTGAACTCAAAATAGGTTCACTCTCTTCTGCACCAAATATTATTACAAACGGAAGAGGGCCTAACCAAATACGTACCATTCTAAGGCCTTTCTGTTCTCTAAACATATAAGCAACACCTTGAGCTTGTTCAAAGAATTCTATTTAAAAAAATTTCTTTAATTGTATTATAATTTATTCTATCAAGAGCCTGCCCTCTCAAAAAAGATTTAAATATTAAAGTTTATCTAGATTAACGGGATTAATCAATAAATAATTTTTGAATGAAAAATAAATGTATTTAGCAAATTCCTTCCTTGTTCCCAATATTTTATCAAAATAAAAGATTATTTGGAGACAGAATAATTGAGGGAATTTTAATTAAGGTAAATAATTTTACGAAAATAAATTTACCGTCAGGATTTAATCTAAATTGATGTAAATTGCCAATAATCGGTAATGCTGTAGGTCCTTGTATTTTATCAATAAGACATTTAACTCTTTCATATTTTCTTAAAATCCAAACAAAAAACCAAGAAAAAATTATAGTAACAATTAAAATTCCAAGAAATGACATTAAAAGATTTTTTAAATAAATAATTTATTTAAATATATACTAAATCAAGGTCAAATAATTTCTGCAAAATATATTGAATAAATAATTTAAAAAAAAGAAAAAGAGAATAATTTATTTATTATTTATTAATTTCTATTAATAAATGATTGGAAAGGAATTAATGACAAACGGGATTGAAAAGGGGGGAGTAAATACGTACATACATATATGTAGATAGATGGCAATTTATTTATTTGCTTTACTGGAATGCGCGTTTAAACAGAAAATTCATTTCTCTTCTTTTTTTAATTTAAATTGTTTTGTAGTACCTTTTTAAAATAAATGTTTCATTTAAAATTAAATTAACTTTTAATTTGTGATAATTTTATCTCTCCGTCTGGCCCCCTCCTCCCTTCTCTTTGTTTTCTATTTTTTCTAAAGATCTTAATTTTTAAAATTAAGTTTGTGTTTTTATTCGGTACTTTTTGGATCTTTTACTTTCCTTAAATTAATTTGAGAAATGTCCTGTAGTATAGAGCAGGGTAGCTCCTCGAGCCTTCGGGATCGGGATTGTCGGGGACGGGGAGCTACTCTAGTATAGAGTAATAAAATATGTTGATCATGACTATAATGTTTATCTTATGCTTAGTATGTCGGATTTTGTTTGATACTTATACGTTTCGGGAACTTATCCGCTTATAGTATTTTTGTTTCTCTATACAAAATAAAAAAATGCAAAAAATATTCTACTACATATAAACAAGAAGCTATAAAATTAGAATTAAAGTCTTCACAAATAAAAGTTAAAATCAAACAAAATATAAATATGTATATGTAAACTACCAACAAATTTTGAAACATTAAATTAAAAGATTGGAAGAAAGACTATTTTCGAGAAAAAAATCTAATTTTTTAAAAAAAAAACAAAATAACCCGTCAAATTAAATTAGTGGAAAAATTTAAAATCTGCGCAAACTTTTTTGGTAAATAAAAATATATTTATTTATGCTATTTAAAGATTAAATCTGATGAAGAACAAAATATGAGAAGAAATTTATTTTGATGGTTAAGATATATTTGTATGTGCTTTGATCAAATAAAAATTAAAATTAATATTTAAATAATTTTAGCTTAATTCTATTTTAAATATATGTACAAACTAAATTGATGAATAACTAGTAAATTTAATTATTGCTAATTAATACTAATGCTAATATATTATTCACAACCGATAATTTGATTTAATTAAAACAAATGTAGAATTTAAATATTTATAAATATACAACAACCAACCAGAGGTGGGTTCCGATTTCCGGCGTTTTTTTTCCGATTTCCGAAAAAAATTTTGATTGACGATTTCCGAGTTCCGACTTTTGAGTCAGTTCACCTAACCAGCAACCATCGTCTTATACTACGGGCCCTGACTGTTCCGACCCACCTCTGCAACCAACCAAAACAAACAATATTTACATACAAATCACAATTTATTTATGTAATATAATTAGATTCAACAACCCCTTCTTCTCCTCCATTTTCATCTTCCCCACCCTCATTTGTTTCATCAATTTTTAAATCTTCACTAGTAGCTTCAGTTGTATTATCAACAATATTAGCTTCATTCATTTCCCTTTGCGTATCTTTAATATTTACATCTTTTAATAATATTTCTGTTGTTTTTGTAGTTTTATCTTCCTTAATTTCAACAGATTTATTATTATTTCCTCCTTCTTTCTTCTTCTTCAATTCCTCCTTTTTCTTCATTTTTGTTCCCTTTTTATCTCCTTTTTTTGCCCCCTTTGAATTGTCCTTCTTTTGATATTCCAAATCAGATAAAGATTTATCTGTTTCGAATTCTACCGATTTATCATCAAATTCTACACTCATTGTGTCATTTGATTCTTCGCTTAAAAGAAAGTTAACAAATCTTTTATTTATTCCCCTTACCTTTCAGTTTTTTCCCTTTTCTTTTCTGTATAACTTTCATAATTCCCCCTTTTAATCTTTCCTTGATATGTATTCTTCCAACTATTTGGAGGACTATACTCCACCTTTTTACCTTCGGAATCAACAACCATATCCTTAAAAATAAAATTTAATAAATAAAAAAAATAAATATTAATATTAATTTAGCTCTAAAACACCCCCAAAACATTCAACAAATATTTAAACAATAATTATTTTTATTTTAATTCCTTCCCCCAAACACCTCTCTCCAAAAAAACTTACAAGTTCACTCCCAACTTCATAAACAACCAAAAGCTCATTAGTAAAGTTGACTTTTAAGCCTTTAGTATTTTCAATTTCTTCATTCAAAGTTTCCTCTTCAGGTAACTAAAAGAAACAAAAATTGTTTTTAAAATTAAAATCCTTTAATTTCACCTTAATTTGTTTTTTAATTATTATCGGTTCTTCTTTAATAGCAAAATCTTCTCCTTTAAAATAGACAAAAGTAATGTCTCGGTCTTCATCAGAGAATGTTTGCTTTCTAATAATCTTCAACTTTTTAGATTTTCTTAGACGAGAAATACATGGAAGATTTTTTAAATCCTCCCAACAGCAATAGCAACAACAAAAACAAAAAGCCAAAATTACAAGAATTACGACGACAATAATTATATATTTTAAAGAATTTGCTTCTTCTTTAGGGGAATTTTTGGTTGTTTTGTTGGTATCCGTTGTCGTCAATTTTGTTATTCCCTTTGTTGTATTTGTCGTTAAAGTAATCTTTTTTGTTGGTTTTTGTGTTGGTAGCCCCGTTGTTTCTTTTTTGACTTGGGTAGTTGTTGAATTTAATGTTGATTCCATTTGGTTGGTCGAAGTAGTCAAATTTGTACTGGTCATATTCCCTGTTGTTTCGGTAGTCACGTTTTGAGTTATTGATGTTCCATTAATTGCTGGTGTAGTAGTATTTCTAAAATAATTTGGAGAAAATTATTTATTTAAAGTTTTCGTTAACTTACGTGGCAGCAACTGGCTTAATTGGAGCCTTTGGTTTCGCTCCATTTTTGGTGTTAACTTGACCACTATTAGGAAAAATAACCATTTATTTATAAAACAAAATTTAAATAAACTTACGACTGCAAAAGAATCAACAGCAAAACGAACGAGCACTTCAAAAGGAAGAAGGATTTAGACCACAAACGCATTTTAAGATTGAACTGAAGAAGTAGACAATTTTTATATTTTGATTGGGTGTTTAAATTAGTATATAGGGTTTTTTGGCTTTTATATTACAAAACTCTTTTAGATAAAAAACCTATCAACGTCTCTTTTCCAAATCAAAATTTAAAAAATATAAGTATTCTAGCCTGCTCAGTTTTAATAATTTTTGATTTTTCTATACAAATAATTAATGATAAACAATAAAATTTAAGCAATATATATTTACATATTCATCAAAAAATACTATAAATCATCACACTCAAAATATTTTTCTTTCACCGAGAAATTAATTTTCAAAAAAATTCTAAATATTTTCTCCTTAATTAAGTAAATGCCATTTATCTAAAGTTAATCCCATTCCTTGTATCATTTCTTGCCAATGTGCTTGTGCATCTGCTGAAGAAGAACAATCATTTTCTCTTCTATCGCTCAACATTAAAGTTCCAATTTTTTGTTTTCGACGTAATAAAGGAGGCCAAGCACTATTATTTAATCCAAACATGTCTACTTGGACGGCACATTCTTCCAATTCGTGACGGGAAATTTGGAAGCTTGCCTTTAAAAAGGAATTTTTTGATATTATTTTTTTATTCTCTCCTTTCTACCTGTGCATCGGTAAATTGAACTTCTCCTGTGGGGTTAGCTTTTGTCCATGCTGATTTTTGTCTTCCAATCTCTACGCCTTCAGCAGAAAAGGCACTAATACGAATGGAGACTTCTTAAATTATTTTTTTTAATTTATAATATTAAATATTTTTTTCGGAAATTTTTTCTTTTATTTCCTAATTAGGTATAAATACCTTGCCCAGAAACATCACTTCCACTTTCCTTCTTTCTGCCAGTCCCAATGGCTGCTGCTTTATTGACACCAACAACAAGCCTATTTTGTGTATCAAAATAGCAAAGAGATACTAACACCTTTAATTAATTAATTTGTAATTAATTTCTTTTAAATATTTATAATTTTTTATATTTTTCTTTAAACAAACAAATTATTTATTTAATTAATTACCTCAGGTTGATTACCTCCTTGTTGAGGTAAAGTACAAAAAGCACCTCTATCATCAACTGTTGACCCTCTTCGACTTCCAGAAGCACTTCTAGGTGTAACAGATTGTTGGGAATTATTTCCACAAAAACGTTGATGGGAAGGGGAAGAATTTGTGGAGGATTTTCGTTGTTGTTGTTGTTGTTGATTTTCGATAGGAGAATCTGTTGAAGTATTGTTATTTTTTGTTGGAGATGAAGGAATTGTTTGTTGCTGATTTTGTTTTAATTGGTGGTGATTTTGGTGATTGGATAAAGATAATAAGGAAGGAAATAAAGACATCTTAATTTGTTAAATTTTTTTATTCTAGATTTTTTGAAATTAAATAATTAATTAATATTTATTTTTAATTTAAAAGGTATTCTCTCCTTTATCAAAGTTCCTCAACTAGAATAAAAGAATGAGGTAAGACTCCCCCTTCCCTCAGTTACCCCCAAGAGGAAAGAAAAAAGAGAAAATAATGAACAAATTAAGAACTAAAAATAGAGCCAGAAAAAAAAGTTTTTAAATTTATGAGCCCCTATTTAGTATTTAAATAAATTTTAAATAAAAAATTTGGGGAATAAAAAATAGAGCAATTTTAAAGTTTAATTAAAATTTTAAAAAGTTCAATTTATTTTCAAAATATTTAATTTATTTTTAGAAAATTCTAATTTTGTTTATATGTTTCTAAATAAATTTTTATGATGTATTTTATTGTTTTAAATTAAATTAATTTAAAATTTATTTGCGAGAGAGAATAAAAAAAGTATTATTTAATTTATTTTAATAAGAGAGGGTTATCCAGAGGGAAAAAGGAAAAAATCTAAAAGGGTGGACTGTCAAACAAAATTTTTTTAAAATAATTCTCGAAATTACCTAATTAATTTACATATTAAACGATTAATTTATGGAAAATTTAAACAATTGAAAGAATTTTACACGGAAAATTTAAACTAAACCATAATTCTAGAAAGGAATTGTAAGGTGTGTTTGGAGAAAATTGTCCTATTATCAAAAATAATCAAAAATTTGAAATTTAATGTTTCATGCTGTGGAAAATTCACTGATAGAATTTAGGGAATTATAAATAATTAAACGTAGAGATCGGACAATATATCGTTATTCTCAACAAACATTTAAAAAAACCATCTTAAATTTTCTAATAAAAATGATTTTTGAAGGAATAAACATTAAATATTATAATAAATGTGTTAGCCTATTTATCACTCAAAAATTATCAAAATAAATATTTTCTTGTCCCAAATTTTAAATTTCTATTAAACCAAAAATAACTGCGGGAAATATTTTTATTTCTTTTGTTATAAATTCTTTTTTTGCTTCCATTTAAAAGAGTTATTTTTTAATTTTAAATAAATTATAAGGAAAAACTATTTATATATTTTATTTCTTTTTTTTGCAAAAAATTGTTATTCAGAAAATGAAATTTGTTTTAAAAATTAAATTTGAGATAATTAAGAAACAAAATTTGTTTATTAATATGATTTCCTCTAAAATTATTTATTTATTTATTACTTAACTGAAAGGTGAGGATAATATAATAGTTCTGAATAGTGTCTCAAGAATTATTTAAAAAAATTTCTTTTTCTAAAAATAAAGTCAAGAAGCCTGGATATCTTAGGAAAGACTTTCAAATAAAAATGATATTTTGTGTATATATTTAATCCCAAAAAGAACTAAAGAACATAAAATTTGGCAATGCTTTTAGAAAAAAAAAGAGGGGGGGGGAAGTGCTATTGTTCAAGAAATAAGAAAAAATTACTTTCTTTTTTCCTCAATTTTAAAAGAAAGAGGGGGGGGGGGAAGAGGGGATTTGGTAGGGAGAAAGGGAAAAAAATATTATTTTTGGAATGTTCGTAGTAAGTATTGGCCCTGCCAATTTTTCTACTGCTAATTTTATTAAGATCCAAAAAATGTGTAGGTGGAAGGAAAAGGAGAGAAAGGAGAAAGGAATGTTTTAAAAGACTTTTTCTTGCGTTCTTGGAAAGCTTTAAAAAATTTTTTAAAAAAGAGATTTTTTTATATTTTCACATTGGAAAAGAAAATGTGTCAAATACAAATTAAATCGTGACAATAAAAATTGTTTGGGAATATTTTATAATTATTTATTTATTGAAGAAAAAAAAAGAAATAAATATTTACTTTTAAAAAAGTTGTTTAAATGTTTGGGGTAATGAATAATTGGTAGAAGAAATACAAATATTGTTTATGGAGGAAAAGAAAATTAAATTTTCTTAGATTTTTCAATAATTTTAAAAGAATATGAAAATAATTTTTAAAGGAATTCATACTTGGAATTAAAATTTGAAAAAATAAATTTTGTTAAAAATTTTTTTGAGAATTTTAATTTTTATAAAAATTCAGAAAATATTTTAAATGAATTTAAAATTAATTTTTTTTTAAATAAGAGAGAATAATAAAAAGTACAAATTTGGAAAATAAAAAGTTGACGATAAAATGTAAATAAAATAAAAATAAAATATTTTGATGGATTGAAGGATTTTTTGGCACAAAATCCTTTCATTATTGAATTGGGAAAAAATGAAACTTTTTTATTGACGAATGAGGAAAAAAGTATTTTTTAAAGAAATCTTAGAAAATTAAAAATAATTTTAAAAATATTTTTAAATATCTAAAGAAATATTTCTAAAAAATTTAATTGAAAATAATTTAGGTATTTATATATTTTAAAAGTTTTCTTTGTTTTTTGTTATATTTTATTTTTATTTATAGAAAATAAATATTATTTTGGGAAAATTTTTTTATTTAAAAAATTTTTTGGTGGGAAATGACGTTTTTTTGGTGAAACATTTAACATATTTAAAAGAAAGAAGGAGAATTTAAAGTTAATTAATAATTATTTATAAAAAAGATTAAAAACAACTTACACTTCCTTTAACAGATTTTGGTTTATTTAAAGGGCATCGAAATTGTAAAAAATGTTTTTGCACCTTTTGTATAGAATCCAAATCAATCTTTTATTTAATTTAAAAATAAAATTAATTTATTTTTAATTTTACCAAAAAATTTTGAAGAAAAGACAATCCAATACATTGGGGACGGCGAATATCGTTAGTATATTTTTTATATAATCTAAAAAATAATTTTTATTTAAAATTTTTAATTTAAAAATTACCTAAATCTGACAAAAGAATTGGATAATTTAGCTAAAAAATAAAATAATAATTCCTTTTTAAAAATTTAATTAATTAACATTTATCACAGTTAAAAGCAAATGTTTCTCCAAAATTTATTTTTAATTGTCCTTCAAACGAACGAAATTTCGTTCGAAATTTTTGAAAATTTTTTTGTTCAGAATCGGGAATTAAAAGGGCTAAACGAAGCTTGAAATATAAAAATAAGTTATTTAAATTAATATTTATTCTTTTACTTGTAACATAGCCCTTTCCTCATTTTGATTTTCAATTACCCCCAATTCTTCTAATTTCACTAATTCATTTAATATCAATATTAACTATTAAATTTAAATTTAAAAATATATTTATTTTTAATTTAAATTACAAATTCTTTTTGTTCACTATATTGAACAGAAAGGCAAAGTTGAGCACAAGATTTGGTTAAAACTTCATTTTGATTGTTGGCTATTTCTTTATTTATTAAAACAACAGAGCTATGCCTTCCTTTCTAATAAAAATAAGAAAATATTTTTTTTCTAAATTTAACTGAATTTTTTAAAATATTTTAAAATACTCTTTTAATTTTCCATTTTTCTTTCCCTTCCTCTTCTTCATTTTCTTCTTCTTCTTCCCCTTCAGTAATATTAATTTCAGAAGGCAATGTTAAAGTAACTTCTTGTTCTTCCCTCGAATGTTTTGGTGTATTAATTCTTTCAATTATAATTTCTGGGGCTGGGAATTGTTTAATTGAATTTGGAAAGTCTTGAATTAAATAAAATAATTTATTTTATCAATTAAACTAAACTATAATTTAAATTATTTTGTTTTTTTCTTCCTTCAATTTTAACAAATTCATCATCATCCCCAATAATTTTATTAGATCCAACATTCTTTTTCTTTAACCAAAAACGATTAAATAAAGAATTCATTGGCCAACAACGAGTAAAACAATTACCAAAATTTGAAAACATTCTGATAAATTATTTAATTAATTAAAATAAAAAAGTAATTTTTTAAATTTAAAAAAAAAGATTCTAATGAATCGGAGAGAATTTTTTAGAAGAAATTTAATTAATAAAGGAATTAAATATTTTTAAAGGTTAATTGTAATAAAGAGACAACAAACTTTAAACGAAAAATAAAAAACTGTCTGCTGTCAAAAATTAAATAATTTTCAACTATCTCAATAAGGTGAGACTGATCTCAGTAAAAATAAGGAAAAAAGAACTCGTAAATTAATTAGGGATTTAGGGAAGTAAAGTTTGCTTGTAGCCCTAATCTGTATTACAAAATATTTAGAGGTCCTTTTAAAAATTAACCACTTAAAATTTTTTTAATTTCTTTTTCTGTTTAATTAAACACACATAAACAAGAAAAAAATTTTCCAAAACAATTATTAAAATTACTTTGGCTAAAAATTCTTTTTAATATAAAAATAAAAAAATAACTACATACAAGGTAAATAAATATTAATAAAATATTTATTTTTTATTTTTGTTTTTTGCTTAAAACAAGTACATACAAATTGGCACTTTACTTAAATATAAATAAAAAATAAATGTTTGGAAATATTATTGACAATTTTATTGATGCGTAAATGAATGGTTATAGTATACTAGCCTTCCAAAAATAATTTTAAAAAGCTTTTTTTTTAATAAAAAAATTTTTTTACCATTTTGACATTGCTGCCTCCATTCAAATTTTTAAAATTTTTTTATTTAATTTTTAGCTTTTTGAATTTAAAAATAAAAGAATTGAGAAGCCGTAGGCGGGAAAGTGAGACAGTCCTCTTATAAACAATAAAAGCTAAGAATACTCAATAAAAGAAGAATTGCAATTCCGGAAGGAAGGAAATAAAAAAAAGAAAAGAATAAAAGAAATACCACCAAGAATTCTTTTTCTTGATTTTAAATAATTTGTGGAGAAGAGAGAAGTTTTTTCTTATAAATTTTAACAAAAAACTTAGTTGAAATATCAAGAAGGACTTGGTAGTTAAGAAGTGGATTTTTTAGGGAGAGAGAGAATTTTTAATTTTTATATTTTTAATAAAATATTAAATTTTAAAAAGGTTAAAGTTGAATCAAATTAAATTAAAAAACATTAAAATATATTAAAATAAATTATTTAATAATTGTTTATTGGTTACCTTAAATAATCCTTTTAAGTAGTTTGGTGCTGATTTTTAATCAAAAAGTGTCGAGTTTTTAGTTTTTTAATTATATCCAGTTTAATTCAAAATATTTTATTATTATGAGGTGATAAACTAAATATTTTTTTATTTTATTTTTTCTTTATATTTATGTGTCAATTCCTTATTTTTAAACAAAAAAATAAAACCAATGAAAATAAATAAAAGGAAAAATATAAAATTTAAAAAAAGTGCATTATGCTTTACTGGTTTTTAAATTAAAAAAATATTTTTTATTTTATTTATTAAAAATTTTAAATATTTTTTAAAGAAATATTTATTGCCTGAATATACATATTTTTATTTTTTGAATAATTTATTAATAAAAAAATTGAATTAAAAATATTTTTTCTGGCATAAAAAAACAAAAATAAAAATATTTAAAAATAATTATTTAAAATTATTAGCTTTATTTAAAAATTCTACATATATTTTTATTTCTTTTTACCGCACCTATTTACTCGCCTTAATAACGTGTGAATGATTATAAATAATGGTTATTTTTAGAAAAAAACACGGCACCATTAAATATAAAAATGTCAATAATTTAAATAAAAATATTTAAGAAATATTATTTTTTTAATTTTTAATAAAAAAATTTTTTATTTAAATTTTCACTTTTTTCAAATTACAATAATTTATTTGAATTTAATAAACATTTACTACTTCATAATAATTTCCTTCAAAAAATCATAAAACTTTTTTTTAATTCATCTCATTTTATATTAAAAAATAAATAATATGTAAGAAAATAACTTTAATATTCTATTATTATTTTTAAAAAACTTATTTTTTTAATAAACTTATTATTTAAAATTTTTTTATTAATTTTTAAATTATTATGTACTTTTATTAAAAAAAAATTATTTAATAATAAATTAATATATATTTTATATACATATAATTGTAAAATAAATTAAATATTTAATGTAAAATTAAAAAAATTATTAATAAATTTTCCTTTTTAAATTTCTTTTAAACTAAAAAAATTTTTAGATTAGTTTTGGAATTATTTTGATTATTAAAATTAAATAATCAAAACACCTATTTTCTAGGCAATTATTTTCCAATTTTTAGTTTTAATAAAAATGAGGAAAAGAAAATTTAATAATAAGCATATTATGCTTAAAAAAGATTTAAAGATATCAATTTAATCATTTAAAAGTACTCCATTAGTTAAACAATGTATTGCTGTAATACTTGCTTTTGCTGGTTCAAAATTAGATTGTAAAGAAAGTGTTGAATAATAAAATTGAAGAGCATGGGGAAAATCACCAATTGTTGAATAAACGTTAGCTAAGGTAAAATGGACCTTCAAAAATTAAAGAAAAAAGATTCGTATCTACATAACATTTACTTACAGCAACAACATTTTTTCCTGTCTTGAAAGCTTTAAATTGAAAATTTTTTTAGAATATTCTTTAGATATACCTTTCCCTAATGTATATAATGCACTATGAAGAAATCCTGCTTGATGGTAAATATTGGCTAAACTAACTAAAGGGACATCCTAAGAAAAGATAAATAATTAAAAATAATTTTTAAATATGAAAAGGGGTTTTTTCCACTTTTTGAAAAGACTTAATGAAAATATATTTAAATCGGGTAAATTTGGTATTATTTGTAAGTCTAAATTCTTTGTTCGAAAAAGACTTTCTTGACTAATCTTGACTAAAAAAGACTATTTCTTAAACATACAATAAATTCATTTGGAGAATTATATAAAGAATGTCGAAGGCATTTAATTGAATTGAGTGGATCTCCTTTTATTCTCCAATAAAGACTTGAAATTGTTCCTAAAACAAATTCTCGAATGGAAGAAATTGGTTTTGAAGAAGAAACTTTAAATAAAAAAATTAAAAAGATTTTAATTTATTTTTTACCCGATGGATGCATTGCAGCACCTTTTAAAGCAAAAAATAATTTAGCCGCAACTCTCTCAATACTATCTAATTTTGATGAACCAATTGAACGAAATGTCTAAATTAATTAATTAATTATTATTTTAATCTATTTTTACATCTCTCAAAGCTTTTTCTGGTTTATAAAATTTGGTTAAATGTTCTCGATAAAGATAAGCAGGTAATTCATCTAATTCTAAAAGGATTGAAGAAGATTGAAGAACTAAAGTAGGTTCTGGACATTCTGGCTCTAATAATAAATCTGACAATTCTGGTAATTCTCCAAAATTGAGCAAATCGTCGACCTAAAGGAAAAATTTTTAATAGAAAAAAAATAATGAAAAACCCCCACACCTTAATTCCTTTCGCCGAAGGAGATACCCAAGTAGAGACTGGTTGTTCAAATAAATGATTTAGCTAAAATTAAAACGGAACTTTATATTAGAAAAAATTTAATAAGTTTACTTTTTTCTGTGTTTGACAAATTTCTCTAAGAGAATCACGTTTAAAAGGTAATGCAAATTGTTTTCCTTTATTAACCATTAAAGATGGAGGGACTGGCAATATCTTTTTAAAAAAAAATAATTTTTTTAATTCCAAATTAAAAATACTTCAGGTAAAGGAATATCTAATTTAAAGAGCACTTCCCCACGATTGGAAAGTGTTCCCAACAAAGTTCCATCAATTTGAACACGTGAAGATTTTAAACGTTTAGATTGGTTATTAAGGAAAGATGAAGTAACACCATCAACAACAATAGATTCGGATACTTTTGCTAAATTAAAAGAGAAATTTAGAAGGTTATTAAAAGAAGAAAAAAGTCCCTAAAATTTTTAAAGGAAGAAAAGAAGTCCTAAAATTAGCAAAGAAATAGTCTTAAGATAATTGGTTTAAAATGGAATTTATTAGAAAGTAGTCTATAATAAATCCAAAATGTACAAACAATTGAGGTCTGATTCGAAAATTATAAAAATATTTTTTTACATTTCTCCTTTGTCATTTTAACATTATTTTGTTGTTTTGTTTGTTTCTTCTTATCTCCTTTATTCTTCTTCTCATTATTTTCTGTCCACTCATTTTTTAAATATTCATTAAATATAGTTTCATCAATTGTTGTTCTTTCTAATTTAATTTCTTTTGTTAATTTAAATTCATTTTGTCCTCCAAATATATTTTCATTATTTATTGAAGGTTTAAAATCAATTTGGAATTGATTTATTTGTTCTTTAACTCCCTGTGGCCATATTGGTCGTTGATGGGCACGAATCCGGTCGAGAGAATAACCTCCATAATCCAAGGGGAACTTAAATTAGAAAAAATTTTTCAAATAAATTTTTAAACAATTAAATATCCAAAAAGCCCCGAAAAGAGGTCAGACTTTAAAATTAAAATAATTTCCGAACCACAGGAGCTTCTTCGATTTTATGTCTATCAACCACTTTCTGTGCAAGTTCTGCTTCCAATTTTTTAGCAAAAATATCCTCTTTAATTTCTCTAAGTTTTGCTTTAAAAATATTTTAAAAATATTCCCCTTTAAATAAACAAACCAGCAGGGAAAAGTAAAGGAATAATAAATCTGGCAAAGGCTGGGGCTAAATAACTTTTTCCCTAAGAAAATTTTTTTTAAATTTTCTTAATTTAAAAAATTAAATACAATGTAAGGAGTATTGCATCGAAAATAAATTAATTTAATATTAAATAAAGGACTTTCAAGTAAAGGTTCTGGTCTATAACAATTTATTGTTTTCTCTTTATTTTTTGTTGTTAATTGTTTAAAACAAAATATTTCTTGTTCATTAGGCCAGCAACATAAAGGAAAATAAATTTGTTTAATTGAAAGTTTTGGTTTGGAATAATTCTTATTTTTTAAATAAATTTAAAAAATTTTAAAATATTAAATCAAAATTACAATTATTCTTTTAGAACATTTTTTGAAAAGAAGCATATTTAGTGATGGTTTAAATTTAGGATCTAATTCCAATGCTTGAAATAACAATTCTAATAAAATATTTAAAAATTTAGTAAATTAAAAAAAAAGACTACTTTCTGAAGTATGTAAATTGCCTTTTAATTGATAGAAAATAGCCATTAAATGATATGGAATTGGCTGAAATTTATTTAATTATTATATAAATAAAAAGAAATTTTTCTCTTTTAGCCGATCATTTAATGTATAAATTTAATTAAAATATTTATTTTTTGAAATTATTTAAACCAAAAAAAATTACTTCATTAACCCCACTATTCATTGCAATACTTAAAATTCTCTCCAAACCATTCAATTCATTTTGATCAGTTATCGAGTAATTTGTAAGTAAAATAATCTGTACTAATTGTGTCAAAGCAATATCTTCATATTTTGAATATTTAAGAGCTAATTCAATACAATTAATTGCCTTTTTAAATTTAAAAATTAAATTAAAAAGAGAATTCAAAGAAAAACTTCGCCTGGAATGCCAAGATAACGAAAATATAAAGCAGCTAAATTAAATGTAAGCCAACGCGGCCCGATATTCTAAAAACAATTGAACTTTAAAAAGAATGTAAAATAAAAAGGTCAGAATAACTTAATCTTGTTTCTCCCCTTTTATGAGAAGATTGAGTTTTGAAAGTTTAACAAACATAAATTTTTGATTAAAAAACATACAAATTTTAATAAATTCCCAATACGTTGACCTATTTCCCTGATTAAAGGTTGTTGTGTTTTTCCATTCAAATCATAATCTAAATTATAACCAGCCAATCGAAATATTTCATTTTTTAATTTATGTTCAGAAAATTCATCCGATGGTGTAAAATAACCAAATTTTAATTTTTGAAAAGAATTTAACTGAAAAAATTTTATTTTTTTTGTTTTTTAGTTTACAAACATTTTCAATAAATTTTAGCTTTTCATCTAATAATAATCCAGTGTCGTTGTACAGTGTACAGGAAGGCAATTTCCAAGGTAATGGGGTTAATTCGCCATCTTTAAGTGCCAAATATTTGGTGAGCAAATCAGAAACACTTTAAAATTATAAAATTAAAAAAAGTTATTTTATTGGAAGATGTACTAGTCACAATTAATCAAAAATAGTAAAAAGATAAATGAACGAAATATTTAGCAGAGCCTAGGAAAATGAGATCAAGAATAAGAGTTGTTGTTGTCTATATTGAGTTGTTGTTGTATATAGCCTAACTAACAAATGTAAACTAAATAGAAGACGTGATCTAGATATTTATTAGAAGCCTGAGAAAATTCGATCAAGAGCAGAACCGCGCAGAAGTTAAGGAATTAAGACAGAATAAGAACTTAATGTAGAGAAAAAATCAAGGAGATAAAGGGGATAAAGAGATAAAGGAGATAAAGCAACATCAGCTTTTATAGTATTAGATTCAAGCCTTCTTTTTATGTAGCTTCTCTTCGAAACATTCCAAATTTTTAGTATAAAAGCAGTAGTAAATTTTTGCTCAATTAACAACACACACAATCAACTTCTCAACCGTTCAGGACAACAGCTTCAACTTCACAAGTCAATGGCACAATCTGCGTACTTCGGTGGCGGTGGTGCAGCTGGTGGAGGCGGCGGTGGTGCATCTGTCTACATGGGATCTGGAGCCGGCGGTCCCCCGAAGCAACCTGCAGCTGGAGGCGGCGGTTATGGAGCTGCTGGTGGAGGTAATGCGTCTGTCTACATGGGTGGTCCTGCTGGTGGAGGCGGAGGAGCCGGTCAACAGAGTGCCTACTTTGGTGGACCTGCTTCGGGAGGAGGTAAATAATTACTAACCCTAATGACAATAATAAATAATTTATTTTTATTTAAGCTTCTGCTGTTGGTAGGTCTGCGGGTGGAGGAAGTGCTTTCGGAAGCGGCGGTGGAACCCAAACGGCTATGGTTGGAGGCGGCGGTGGCACTCAGACTGCAATGGGAGGATTTGGTGGCGGCACTCAGACAGCTCTCGGAGGGATGGGCGGCACCCAGACTGCGCTCGGCGGCATGGGAGGCACTCAAACTGCTCTCGGAGGGATGGGCGGCACCCAGACAGCTCTCGGCGGGATGGGCGGCACTCAGACAGCTCTCGGCGGAATGGGCGGCACTCAGACAGCTCTCGGCGGGATGGGTGGAACCCAAACGGCGCTTGTTGGCTATGGCGGTGGAGGCACCCAAACGGCTCTTGGCGGAATGGGAGGTACTCAAACTGCTCTTGGAGGCTTTGGTACGCAGACTGCTCTTGGTGGTGCTCCTCCTGCTGGAACGGCAACTGCTCTCGTTGGTGGAGGTGGTGGAACGCAGACTGCAATGGGAGGAGGATATGGAGGGACAGCAACATGTTTGGGGAACGCTCCTGCGGCAGGTAGAAAATATTCTCTTTGACATTTTAGCAATAACTTTTAATGTTTTAATTACAGGTACAATGACTGCTCTTGGTGGAGGAGGCGGCGGGACGATGACAGCTCTTGGAGGCTTGAAACCTGCTGCTGGTGGTGCTTCTCTTGCTGGTTCAAGTGAGTTAAAACTTTAATTTTAAACCATCATTAATTGAGCTTTTATTTTCATTTAAAGATGTTGGCGCTTCTTCGGCATATATGGGAGGTCCTCAAACCGGTGGTGGCGTTGGTGCGCAGTCTGCCTACTTTGGCGGTGGCGGAGGAGGTGGCGGCGGTGGAGCACGTCCACCTGCTGGTGGCGCTGCTGCGGGATCTGTCTACATGGGCGGTGCAGCTGCCGGTGGAGGAGGCGGCGGTTTCCAGAGCGTCTACATGGGGAAGTGATGTGCTCCGAGGACAAAAGATGGAGAAGAGCAGAAGAAGCGTTGTTTGACTAGATGATCTCTTTTCCCTTCCAATCCCCCATATATAATTGTGTGTTTTGTATTGTGCTAATATATAGGCTATTATCCCATTTGTTGTTGTGGCTCATTAAAATAATCCAAATGTGCCCAAATATGTCGTATAATTTTCTATTGTTCATATTGTATGTTGTATATTGCTGTTTGTATTGAATATAAAAATATTTAAATGTGTTTGTTGGTTTTTGTAGATTGGAATAGGTTGAGTTTGAAAGTTGGAAGATATTTTATGACTAGGATTCATTTTTGCCTTCAGAAAATCCTATTTAATATGAATGCCCTCTGATGCGCCTTATTTTTTGCTTGAGTGATTGAAGAGATCTTGTCTGAGTTGAATCCAGAAGTTTTCGGATAACCGGAACCGAAATAAAAAATCCCTGGTTCTTCGGTTCGTTTACAAACCAACAACATTAAAAGTGATCATTCGATCGGTACATAGTAAAACTTTCACATAGTAAAACTTTCATTAATTCTCTCTTTTTCTCTTTTCTTTTTTCTTAAAACAAAAAACCCACATAAATCCCTTATTTTCCGGTGAGATAAACAATTGTGGAGACTTAAAGTCATTGAAAGAAGTTTCAAAAGATAATGTACCAGAATTAACAGCTTCTTGACATTCGTGAATAGATGGCCAAGACGGATTAAAAAATGGGAAACTTGCCTCGTTTTGTTTGCTAAAAATAATTTTTAGCTAAAAAATTCTTTCAAAATTTTCTCACTCTAAAATTGGATATTTAGGAATTAATTGAGGTTCATCCATTTCTAATCCAATTCCAACAAAAGGTGCTAATTTAGAAATATATTCTTTCCATTCAGAAAGTCTCTTCTCTTCCCTAATTTCATCATTCTCTTTTCTTTTTAAACGATCTAATTCAACAAATTTTAATTCTGGCGAGGCTTCAAATTGTTGATTAATAATTAATTCAATTTCTAAAAAAATTACTTTAAAAAAATATTTTTTTATAAAAATATTACCAGCTTTTACTTTTTCTCTTTGTTTATTTAATGATTCATTATATAATTTCCAATTATTTACTGTACAGAATAAACGTTTCCGTTCTCTCCTACCACCGTTCCATTGAATGCCTTCGCGACAATTGGCAACTTAATTACTTTAAGTTTTATTGGAATAAGAATAATTGAATTTTAATTGTTAAAATAATCCGTATATGCTTTCACAAAAAAAACAAACAAGGAAGCGCTCCATATTCAAAATGTTCATATGCCAATTTTGCTTGTAACCTAGCTTCCACTGGTGCCCGATTTGACTCTATTAGCTCCTCTAATTGATAAATTCTTCGCATTCTATTAACATTAAAATTCGAAAAAAATTTTTTTTTAATTAATAGGACTACTTTTCTTTAAACATTTCAACATCTTTAATTGTATCTAAAAGATTTTCATGTTGATTCTCCATTACTTCAAATATTTTATTTATACAACGAAGAAGAGAAACTTTCTGATTTTATTTTTAAAATTAAAAACTTTTATTATTAAATACCGTCAAAGCCAAATCTAAATCAGTTTCAAGTCTGAGGGCTTTGTCAAAAGTATCAATTGCTTCACTGAAATTACCATCCTTTAAATTTTATATTAATTACTATGTACTTTTTAATAATTAAATTTACAAGAACATAAGCATCACCCAAAGGAAGAAGACATTTTGCACAATTTGGTACTTTATTGTTTATAAACTTTAAAAAAAAGAAAATAAATTTGTCAAGTTCTAAAAAATAAAGCCACCCCCATTTAAATTATTTTCCAGTCTCCCATTATTTATTTGGATAAATAACAGACAAAAAAAACTCAATTATTATTCACCTCTAAATGTTCAATAGCCCGTTTATAGTTGCCCAATCGTAATTGAATTATTCCAAGTTGAAACGTTGCTGGACTAAAAAAAATAAATAAAAATTAATTTAAATAATTTTTAAATGTACATATTATCCTTCTCCATTAATAAATAATTAAATAAACAATTTAATGCATTTTGAGGATTTCCTTTAAGTCTCCAATAAAAATGTGCAAAATAAATTGCTTTTTTAATTAAATTATTATTTTGTTCATTATTTTCCTCTTTTTTAGTATTTGAAAGAATTAATGAAATTATATGTTTAAATAACTTCATTTCTTCTATTTTAATTCCTTCAGCCAATCCAGGTTCTTCATAATTTTCAGAAGATGAAGAAAATTCTTGAGAGATTTTTTGATAATCATTGCTAATCACTCCACAATCAATTTCTTTATCTTCTACTTCTTTAACAGAAAATTGGAATTGCTCTCCAAAAGGTTTTAAAACAATCGATTTTAATTCATATTTTCCATCAATTAACACCAAATCAAAAGGGTAAACTGTTAGGAAATTTTCTGGTTGAAGTTCAAAATTTTTACTTCTAATACAATCTAAATTTGTTGCTCTAATTTTATTCTCAATTTGAGGATCATCGTCATCATATCTTTTCTCTATTAAAACCTAAAAAATTTTTTCAAAGATTGAGAGAAATTTTTATTTAGTTTTAAAAACGTTTATTGTTTTAAAAACTTAACATCAACCTTCTTTAACTTTTTTTCTCGCAACAAATTGTCAAAAAATTTCAACTTATTCTAACAGTTTTAAAAATTAAAAAAAATTACCTGTTGATGTCTAACAGATGTTTTCAATTCTGCAAGTTCTTGTACCAATTCAACTTGACTATAAAAATCAGCTAACAAATGTGGATGTCTTATTAAATAAGGAGAATCTTCCTAGAATTGACGAAATAAATTATCAATTAAAAATTATTCAGACCACTTCAGCTCTTCCATTTTTAGAATCAAAAAGTAAATGAGAATGTGCAATAACTGGCAATAAATTAATTAGGAGAAATGAGGAAATATAAAATATTAATTCCACCATTCCTAAAATAATTTTAAAAATTTTGAGAATTAAAAATAAGTCTAAACATGGCAATATCGCCCTTTTCTTGTTTAAAATTTGAAAAATTTAAAGCACTTTATTCAATTTCAAGGCAAAAAGAATATAATGAATGAGATGATTTTTAAAAGAGATCAAAAGAAAAATAAATTAATACAAAGCATTTAAAGCTTTTCTTCTTTAAGAGATCATCTTTTTATTTATTAAAATGATGAGCAAGCACATAATTAACATCATCCTTCGTAAGCTTGTTAGATCCTCTATGCTTTGCTAAACTGCAAGCTTTATCCAGAATTTTATTTACATAATCATTTGTAAACTAAAATAAAAATTTTATTATCCAAAAAACCCCTATTAAAAAATGAAATGAATCATTAAACGACTATCAATTCAAACATAACTATTCAATTATTTCCCGAATTCAAAAATCCCTCGAATATAAAAACACCGCCAATTAGCACATCCCCTTCTGACTAGTCTAACACTAAATATATTCTATTTCTAACAATAAACATTTATTAAAATACCAACCTCCATCAACGCTTCATGTACGTCCTTATCAAGTATAGCATTTGAATTAATTTTTCTCAATAAATCATCCAAGTAAGTAACAGATCTATTCTCATCATTATCTTCCATTCTAACAAGAAGTATGAAAAAACAAAAAACTTTTTAAAGAACAAATTTAAAAAAATTTAAGAATCCGCAAGTCTATCAGCAAAATAAAAATCCCAAAAATATAATATCATTTATTTTATAAAATTTAAAACAATAACTATAAAATTCAAAAAAATCAACATATTTTCAAGAAGTATATTGAACCATCAAATCCTAAAAAAATTAAAATTTATTCCAAATTTTTATTTAAAAAACCTTTGCAGGCCAAAGTCTATCCAACAAATTAACACCCACAGAACGAACAAAAACAGAAGGAAGAAAATTTGTTGAAAACAAACTATTTAAAAAGTCAATAGCAGTCATTATTGGAACATTTTTGCGTTGACTTTTGGCATCAAAGTTTTTTAAATAAATTAAAGAACCTAAAAAATAATTAAATTAATAAAAATTAAATTAAAATTTTACCCAAATCTCCACCCTCCTTAACTGCAATTTCGAGTGTATTCGTTAAATTAACTACATCAGACCATCCAAGATTAACTCCAAGTCCAGCCATTGGATGTATTCTATGTGCTGCATCACTAAAAGAATTTTTTGAAAATTAAAATGTATATTTTATCCAAATTTGTATTGGAATAATAATCTGAAAGTAATATTTGACTAGAAATTAAATTTAGTAAAGTCTAGAGGGAAAATTAAAATACAAACTCTGAGAAATAAAATAAAAATCTATGGACAAATCTTAAAGTTGACTAATCTTTTTTATCAGAAGTTTAACCGAATCAGCAAATTTTTTAAGTTTTAAGCTAAATGAACAAAAAATTATAAATTACCCAATTAATGCCAATCTATTCCCAATATAATCATGCGCATGAATTAAAGATAGTGGAAATGCTGCTCTATCATTATTTGGCAGAGAAAGAATAGTTGGGAAGACAAAATTTTCAGATGACGCCAAAAATGGAATTGAATTCAAAATATTTGAAAAACAATTTAAAGGCCCATCAATTATTTTATTATGTCCAGAATGATCAACCTTAAATTGAGAAATGATTGTCGATTTTAAATTGAAAATACCAAAGCTCCATTTAATTCCTCTACAAATTCTTCATTAGGCAATTCCAAAAGACGTTTAGCTTCCGATGTTGAAGTTGTCCAAGCAAGTGAACTCAGCTTCTCATTAAGCGGTAAAATACCGATTGGTCCAGTTGGCATAAATCTTTGCCATGCAATCGTGTTTTTGACATCATTCTTTTAAAAAATCAAAGCTTAAAAAAAATAACAAAAAATACTTGTGATGGAGAAATTTCTAGAGAACCAACAATACAAGATTGGCCATAATCCTCGTTAGTATATTCAAGGCCACTAATTTCCCTAACTTTACTATTTGCCCCATCTGCTGCTATCTAAAAATATTTTAAACAAATCTTCGACTAAATAATACCAACAAAGAACTTTCAACTACTTCACCATTGTCCAATTTAAGAACGACACTTTCATCAAGATTTTCAGGCAAACTGAAAGAAAAATGGTCGGAAACAGATGAGAATTTCTATGACAATTTGTTACTAATAACGAAATTTTAACGGGATCAGCATAAAAATCGTAAAAACTCCTTTTATTATTTCTTCTCATACCCTAAAAATTAACAACCTCAATTCACAAAATGAGGTCTCTTGTTTCCAATTAATATTTAAACTTTCTCGAAGGCATCGATGTAAAGCATCAACAATCCTCCAATTTTCTACAATATAAGCAACTGGGGAGCTTGGTTTGGATTGTTTAAAAGAAATCCTAGATTCTGAGCAACCATCTTCAATCTACAAACAAAAAATTAAAACAAAATTTAGAAAAACACAAAACATATAAGGAAGAGACCGGTTGTGCTTTAACCGAAATTTGCTTCCAAACGTTCAGATCTGAAACAATTAGAAAAATACATAGTTAAATGAAATCTCAATATTTGAATGAAAATCTCAGTTTTTGAATATATATACGTGACTGAAAACTCCCTAAACAACAAAAAAACTTTATGGACGTCAAATTTTAACAAAAAATATTAGTCAATTATACTTTCAAACAACTCCACAGAGGAAGGGGCTATGGCAGATACTCTGTTGGAATACCAATCCTCTTCTCTAACTTTTGGCTGGACAGTTTTGAGTGAATCAAGCAAAAGAATTTTCTTTGAAGATAATGAAGAATTCTTGCCTAAATTTGTTTTTTTGGGGAATCTGATCTTTAAAAATTATTGAATCTTATTTAATACCAATAGCGCAAGCCATCGCGCTCCCGACCAAACCACCCCCGACAATTACAATGTCATAATGACTGGATATTGCCTTTGAAGCACAAAATGTTCGAACACAACTAATTGTTTGTGAGCAAATCATAACTTGTAAACAATATTTACTAAATAAAAATGATAAACTAAATATAGAATTACATGATTTGCTGAATAACTCTGACATCTTTCTGTACAAACTGGAAATTTTGGCCTAACTACAGTTTCCGTACCAGGCTCAGAATTGGACGATTTATATGTCATTCGAAAGAGCTCGTCGAGCATAGTCGAACGACACCAAAATTATTTAGCGGAAAAAATTCTGAGCCGAGATATAGGGCTCGCAATGGTCAAAAACCAAAGGGGGGACCAAGCACTTTTTGGGGGTAAAAAATTCCAATATGCAAATGATAGCTCATTCGAAAGAGCTCGTCGAGCTGAATCGAATGACACCAAAACCATCTTGATTTCACAAGATTTGACAAAGTTACGATAGAAAAACTACTAACATAAACCTATGGGTCGTCGGCGAGGCGCTTGTGCAAAACCCCGCGCTTCGCGCGGGGTTTTGCGGCACGCGCCTCGCGGGGAGTCTACGGGCGCTGGGTCTGGGCTCGTAACATAAACCTATTCCTATCTCCATTGTTCTGCCCGTATTTGGGGCCTCCGTAGCAGCAAAAATCTCCACAGAAGCTATAGGTAAGGAGCTACAACAAACGGTCATAACTTTGTCCAATCAAGTCAGATTTCGTTGATTTTGGTGTCATTCGATTCAGCTCGACGAGCTCTTTCGAATGAGCTATCATTTACATATTCGAATTTTTTACCTCCAAAAAAGTGCTTGGTCCCCCTTTTGTTTTTTTGAAATTTAGGGGTCTGTAACTCGGCTCAGAATTTTTTCCGCTGAATAATTTTGGTGTCGTTCGACTCAGCTCGACAAGCTCTTTCGAAAGACATATAAATTGTCCAATTCTGAGCCTGGTACGGAAACTGTAGTTTAGCCGAAATTTTATCTAAAATTTATTCAAATCGATATGATAAAACAGTAAAAAATAAAAATACACGCTTTTACGAGGTAATTTGAAAATTTAAAGATCATCATCAGCATCAGTGTCCCCATCCAGAGCTTGTTCAAATCCTGAATTTGATTGTTTAATTTTTAAAAGATTATATACTATAAAACCTGAATCGGAAGACGTTAAATCACTAAAAGCCAAATGTCCTTGAGTTGCATCAAGATCGACTTTGAACCTTTTGCATGAACGCTGGCCCTCATCATCGCTTCCATAACTGTCATCACCAGAGCCGCTCCATTGAACCACTGAGTCAGATGTGGAGTCGTTCGTAGAATCTGGAGGAGGCGAACCACTATTTTGACAATCCCAGCGTGTTTTTTTCGCTGTCCCCTTACGCCTTTTGCGAAGCCGACGTTTTGCGGCACGGCTTTCGCCTAAGGACTTACACAAAATTTGGATGAATCCGGAATGTAGCAACTCCCGACGCAAATCCTTGTGTTTTTGATCCATTAGACCACGACGTTTACGAATTGCCAATGCCAAAAGTTGAACTGGTGAAAGCGTAGTCGAAGATGAGGCATTTTCAGTTGAATCAGAATTAGTCTTGTCAACATTTGAAGAATATGAGCAGTTATTTGTTTGATTACGAAATAGCATTCTGAAAATTTAAAAAATTAGAAACAAATTGAAAAAAATATCAGGAGATTAGAAAAAATAAAAGAAAAATAGACAAAGCATGAGCAAAAGTAATGCAAGTGGAAGGAATGAAATTGGTAACAAAGGAATGGCGTCTAAAAATTGTAAACTTCTCTAACACTAGTTCTCTTTTTTATTCCTCTCTTAATGCTGAGAGGGATACAATGTCGTAATCAATAAAAAGACATTTTGCCAAAAAATGTTAAGGCAAATTTTTCTAAATTTAAAAATGAATTACGGTAAGAGAAGCTTTTAAAATCCATTGTTTTTTGATACGCCGTTTCATTTTAATAACATTTTTCTATAAAGTTTTAAGTTTAATTTTCTAAATAATTATTTTATATATTAATTTATTTATTCCTCTATATATACAAACATTTAAAAAATAAAAATGATAAATCATGATAGAAATATATATTTATATTTTTGGTATTTAAAAATTTAATTTATTCTTTATAATCTTCAAAAAATTCTTCAGTAGCTAAAATAGACGTTTTTTGATCTAAAGAAGTTGCACGCGAAGTATTTTGAGCAGAAGAACTTCTATCGTCCTTCTTTATTTCTTGTTTTGAAGAGCTGAAATTTTTTTAAATTAAAAGTTTAAGGGCCTTCGGAGACTCACTTTTCACAAATAATTTCTGCACTTCTTTGTTGTCTACATTTTTCTTTTGCCGTTCCAGAAGAAGCAGATGTTTTATTACTTCCCATTAATTTACAAATATTTTTCAATTTTTTACCATTATGTCCCTGTTCATGTATTGTTTTTTCATTTCTGGAAGAAATATTTTGTTTTAACGCTTCTCGTGACGGGGCATCGCTGCTGGATGATGTTCTATAACGACCACCACTTCTTTGGGTATAATTCCCCGTTCGAGTAGTTCCAAAAAAGCTTGAAGGCCCTAAAGTTTCAAAACGAGGTGAAAGAAGGGCATTCATCCATCCAGTCATATAATTAGCTGTTATACTTTTTTTATTTGAATTATTTGTTGTTGATTCTTTTTGTTTTGTTTCATTTTCTTCTTGTAAATGTTGTTGATGTTGAAGAGGTGGACGTTGTTGACGATGACATTCTAATGAATTTGGGAGTTTTTCTTTACAATGATCATGTACGAAGATTAAACAACGTGAGCATCTACTTCCATATCTCATCCATAACTGTAAATATTATATAAAATAAAACTAGAATGTAAATTTGTGGGAAAGAGAGACAAAAAATTAGCAATTGGGGGATTTTTTAATTCTCCCAATTCATGCCAAATTTAATAATTGGGAGAGCAGTTAAGAGGAAATGTATAACAATTAAAAAGATAGGACAATCGCCCTTCCAATGGGTGAGATTCGAGAAACTAATTAGGAGAACATCTCCTCACATAAAATTTGTCTCCTTTTAAAAACACAAAAAAATTTCTGAATTTTACTTTTTTATTGCAATTGAAACAATTTGTTGGTGTTAGAAAATGCCATTCTATCCATTTATGTTTTGTTCTATTATTACTCGTTATTTCTTCTTCATTTTGTTGTTTATTTAAATTATTTTCATTACTTGTAGATGGTTGTTGTTGTTTACTTTTTAAATTAAATTCACTAATAAATTGTTCAAAATCATCTAAATCAATGAATGGTTGTTGTTGTTTTTGTTTAAAATTATTATTTTTCGAATTTTCTGCTAAAAATTTTGGGGAAGGAGGAGGGATTTTTGAAGATATTTTTGTTTCTTTTAAGGGTTCTTTTGTATTTGTAGTTTCCTCTATTCTTATATCAATTGCTGAATGTGATGTTATATTGTTTTGATTATTATTTAAGAAAAGTTCATTATCATGTGCTTTAGGTTCTCTTTTCAATGACAAATTGTAGAGCTTTAAAAATATAGTTGGGGTATGTATAAAAAATATACAAAAATCCAAATAATTACCTCATGTTCGTTATATATTGTATCAAATAGCACCTTCTTTAAAGCATTAACTAAATCCGAATTTGCATTACCAAAATTGGGCGGAGTTCTGTTGACACTCAGAAAATTGGAAAGTAAATAGGCTAATTGGCTTAGACCTAATTAAATATTAATTTATTTATATATTTTTTATTTTAATTTCCATCAAATTTCTAAAATAAATAAACATCTTTATCCAAAAAAATATCCTAATCCTTTCTTTTTAAAATTAATAATTTGGATATTTTTTCTAATAGTATTTTCTGTCTTAAACATTTTTTTAATTACGTCTTCCTCTGTGAGTCTAAGTATGAATAAAAACGGCTTTTGACTAGAGGGGACATATTAGTAAATTCCAACGACATCCCCTCTTAAAATAAATTAAATATTATTTAATATTTACATCTCTCAGATATTTTCCTAGTTTCTTCAAATTGTTCAAGGTTAGCACTGTGCCAAAAAGCTATTAAATCTTTTAAATGAACTCCCCTAAAAATAAAATAAAGAATTATTTTTAATTAATTAATTTAGTACATTATTGGAATTCTAAATTGTTGATTTGCTTCTCTTAAAGCCTTTCTGTAATTTGCGTAATTATTGCTAGCAGAAAGTAAAAGAGTTAATGAATTTAATTCTTTCTTAGTTGTAGAACTTAAAAGTGATTGTGTTTGTGTATGTCTAGCAATATTTGAATGTGTTATTGCGCCCTTTAAAAATTAAATAAATAAATTATTTTAAAATTTAAAAATTATTATGTTGAGGTAAACCCGAAAATTTTGGAATTCGTATAAGGTTAAAAAATAATAACGCCAAATCGGCGGCGCCGAATTGTCAAAAACAATTTCCCCTATAAAACCTATACCTTTTGGCTTCAAGTTTTTAAGCCTAAAAATCACTTCAAGTTTTATAAGGGAAGTGATGTGGACAACTAGGCGCTGCCAATTTGGCGCCAGTCATTTTATTACCTTTTTTCACATACTTTTATCAAAATTTCATAAATTAATTAAGAACACAAGATATAAATAGATTTTATTTCTCAATAAATTTTGAAAATTTAAAACGATTACGACCAAGAAAATACCCTGCGTCAAAATGACGGCGCCGAATTACCCTCATCAATCCAAAAGGTTTAGGCTTCAAAAGGTTTAGGCTTTATTTGATCATTTTGGCGCCGCCTATTTGGCGCGGGTCGTATTCCTATTATGCGGCGTTTTTTGTTTGTAAAATATTTTTATAAAATTGAGAGCATCTCACTTAAGCCCGATTATTTATTTTTGTTGAGATTTTCAATGTTTAAAATTTTATTAACTACTGCAGGTTTTTCCAAATCCCAAGTCATATTTACTTAAGTAATTAAACTCTAATTTAAAATTTAATCAGGATTTATAATTAGGGTTCGTTTGAATGAAATAGATAATTTAAAAGTTTAAAAATAAAAAACAAACAATAACAGCCATCAAAGTATTGAAATTGTTTTGTTGCCGTAAACACTTTAAATAAATAAATTTTAATTAATTTATAATAACAAACTTTTGCAACTTTAATAAACTTTTCAATTACAGAAGCTCTTTCTTGTGGAGTTCTTTTTAGTAGAATTGTTGCTTGGACCCAACCAGAAAAACACTAAAAATATCTCTATTTAAAATTATTTTAGTTGATCTTAATTGTCTATGTATGCCACAAAAAAGAGAATATTTTTTATATCTTTATTTAGTCTTTTCCAATTTTTTATTTTTGCCCACCTTCCCCAAAATTAATTCCAGATAAAATAAATAAAAACTTACATTAAAAGAAGCAATAGACCTGAAAATCTGTTTAAAATTTAATTAATTTAAAAATTAATTTATTTTGACCTCTCAAGTTGTGTTTCACTTGAAATTTTTCCAATTTTTATATATTGTTTTAATTCTCCAGTAGTTATTCTACTCAAAACTTTGTGTTCAACTTAATTAAATTAATCAAAAAAAAAGATTTTTATTAAACTATTTGACATTGCTTTAGCAATTTCTTCAGCAGACCAATGCTCTATAAGGCAAAATGAAGAAACTTGGAGATGGGTAGATGAAAGTGGAGGGTTTCTAGCTGAAGGGTTTCTTATCCAGGCATATGAAGGACTGAAAAAAGGAAATTATTTTTTAATTAATTGAGGGATTGAAAAAAGTAAACAAAAAAGTAAACAAGCTTTCAAAAAAATTTTTTTAGAAAACAAAAATTTTGTAACAACTCAAAAGAAAGATTTTTAAATAAATAGTACAGAAGTACTTAGTTAAAAAGAAAAAATTCCAAAAAAAATAAAACTTCTTTATAAAGAACATACATAGAGGAAATATCAAGTAATTCATCCACAGCTTGTAAAGGAATAAAATTATTAGCCATCGCTAATTTTTTGAGTCTTTCTAAAAGACGATAAAGCTGAGGATTTGCATCATATTGGAAATGGACTGGGAAATTACGGATCCAAAAGCCAACAGCTGCACAGACTTTTTGGCCGTAACTTAAAGGATCACTCTAAAAAATATTTAAAATTATTTATTACTTATATTAAAAAATAATTTTAAAAAATAAAAAAAATTACATGAAATATGGACAAAAAGAGGGCCATTAATTCTGACTAAAAGTTAATTTAAAAAAAAAATTAAATTTTAAATTTAAATTTACAAGGTCAGAGATCAACCATTCACTTGTAGAGAAAAACCATACAGGGAATTTAGAACTTGGTTCAGGGGTGCAGTCTTCTTTTAATTAATTAAAAAAGTTTTTTTATTATAAATTTCACAATAAATTACCAAAATAATCACAACATTTTCTAACAAGTTCAGCCATTTCAAGTAATTCCGAAGCTTTTTCTTGGTCGCTCATTAATATACATTAATTAATTAATTTTATTTTTTTATGTTTAGATTAATTTAAAATAATTTTAAAATACAAAAATAAATATTGTTGTTGCCGTAAATAATAATAAATTGTTAGGTAAATATATGTATTTAAAGTAATAATTACTGATAATATAACTAAAAATAAATTATTTACTAATATTTTTGATAAAAAATATAAATATTAGTATTTATTATGTAATTTTTTTTAATAATAATAAGAGGGTTTCTGTGTAAACATTTATATATATTTTTTATTCCCAAATAATATTTAAAAAAAAATAATTTTCTTAAAAAAACAAGTCCTCCTTTTTTCTAAATAAAAATGTCCAACTAGTAAAAGAAAAGTTAATTTATATTGAAAAACATAAAATAATGGAAAGGCTAAAAAAGATGAAAGAAAAATTAAAAAAGAGAAAAAGCCTTTCGAGAAATGCCAAATATTTTTTTATATTTCTCATGGCGCAAGTAAATAAAAATGTAAGTAGACCCTAACCATATTTAGAGGGAAAGAGAGGAGTAATAGGCCTCCCAACCTCTGCCAAAAGCTGTCAATAAAATATAAAAGTATTGACTGGCTCTATATTAACCTTTTTTTATTTATTCTTTTCTCGACATGTCTGGCAAAAAGAGAAAATTTTATTTTATTGATTTTTATTTAAAAAATAAATATTTTTAAATAAGTAAATTTAATATTTAATATTTTATTAAATTGAAGATTTTATTTAAATTACCATCTAAATTTAATTCAATTTAACTCCAACGCAATATTTAAATTTAATAAAATGAGAGAATATTAAAACTATATTTCATTAAATAATATTAAATTAATTAAAGGTAATAGAAAAAGATTATTTTTTAAATAAATTATTAAAATTATGATAGGTAGGTTAAAACAAAATTACCTAAGTTAAAGTTTTTAAAGTTTTGGACAATTAAATTAAATATGGAAATAAATAGACAAAAATAATATTTTTTTATTTTTTGGTAAAAAAGTTTTGCAATTAAAAATGGATATTTCGTTTATTTTTATTTTTTTAATAAAAAAAGAGGGGGAAGGAGGGGGAGGAGGATTTTCTTTTAAATTAATAAAAATTAAACTTTTAAATTTCCAAAAAAAACTTTGTGAAGTAAATAAATTGAAAAGAATTTATGGAATGATTGAAAAATAAATATTTTTTAGAGAGAGGGGAATTAAAAAATAAATAAATAATGTATGGATGTATTTAAATATATTTATTTATTTATTGAATAAATATTTAAACAATATATTTTTTAAATAAAAAAAGAGGGGAAATACACATTTCTGTGAGGGAAAGGAAAAATAAAATAAAATATATGTACCAGATGACCGGACTGTCAACACAAACATGAAATAAAAAATCTAAAAAATGATAAAAAAATTATTTAAAAAATTTTTTTTTGATAAGGAAAGGAATGACGAGAATGAAAAAAATGAGAGAGAGAAAATAAAATTAAAATTGAAAAAAATTTTTCAAGTATTATCATCATCTAAAAATATGTACTTATTTTTAACAAACAATAAATGTAATTTTGGAAGGTTTTTAGTAAAATAAAATTTTGAAAAATGTGAATAGATTTCTAAATAATTTTTATTTAAAAAATAATTATTTTTAAATTAATTAATTATTAAATTATATATTTTTTAAATATTCTTTCATTTATTATTTAAATTTTAATGAAAATTAAATAAAAAAGAAGGATCAAGACCGAACCTATGACTACAACTCTTTGTTAATTTTGTAAAAAGGAGTATTTACAAATCTTCTTATCTATTTATTGAATTAAGAGATATATTAAAGGATTTGTGGCTATTGGAAATATTTAAATTTTATTTATTTTAAATATTTAAATATTTATTTTTTAATAAAAAATTATTATTTTTACAAATTTTCGTGACTAAATAAACAAATAAATATTATCTTTTTTTCTCGTAAAATTAATATATATTTATTTATTTCCATGGAAATACTTTGTTACTTTATTTTCAAATAAATATACATATACTTTTATTAAAAAATTTTTAAAATCACAAAATTAAATAGTTGCTAAAATTAATTTTAAGAAATTTTTTTGATGATTGATGACGTTATTGACTAGATATTTAAATAAATATATATTTATATATATTCTTTTTTTAATGTCCTTCAAAAGTTTCTATTTTTTGAACCCTTCAAGTTATTAAATACTTCCCTTTTTATTTAAAAAGATTCTTGTTAGCCGAATTTACTCAAAAATCGGCATTTTATTTGACACATTTTAATAATTTGAAATTAAAAAAAATTTTGAGTATTTAATGAAAATATTACAAAAATATTTTTTCTAGAAGTTTTTATTAAAAAAATAAAAATATTTCTAAAAAAATATTTAAATTAATTTTTCTACTAATTTTTACATCCTCCATAATTTCTTTTTTAAATTAAAAAGAAGGGCGTGTTCAAAACTTAAAAAAACATTTTTAACAGTTGTTCTTTTAATAAATATTTTTTTATTTATCAAATATCTTCTTCTTCTCCCTACATTCCTAAAAATCTTTTTAAAAAATTCCCCTCATTTTTTTTTAATTTTCTTTCTTTTTTTTCTTTTACTACCTCATTGCTTTTTCTCAAAAGGCAATAAATCCTTGTCATTTTTCATTCATTTATTTATTTTACTTATTCACAAACATGAAAAAAACATGTTTATTAAAAAATTAAAAAAAATTTTAGTAGTAGACAATTTTTTAAATTTAAAAGTAAAAATTAAATATATTTAATATTAAAGTTTCCTTCTTTTAAAAACTTATGATTAACTTGCAATGTTAGTCCCTAAATTTTGTAAAGCACATACTTACTTTTTTAGCTATTTCAAAGGCGGTATGATATAATAAATAAACACAAAAGTCCAATAAATTGAAAAGATGGTGATTCTATCCCAGCCGCAAAAATAACTTTCTGTATTATTAGCTGAAGGAGAAATAGTAGCTATAGGAGCACAGTTCATCTTTATTTTCAAATAAAAATTTAATATTTCTAATGTCTTTTTAAATTTATTTCTATTTAACATTTTTTAAATAATTTCTTAAATTTCAAAATAAGCAAATCAAAACACACAAAATTTAAATATATTTTTAAATAAAAATTAAAAGCTTTCTTTTAATAAACAAATGTTTTTTAATGTTTAAAAAAACTTTGATTTTATTGAAATATGAGCTTCTTTTAGGTATATTTCTTAAACAAAATATTGCTTATCCCTAAATTAATATTTCTTTTTTTTTCTTAAATATATAAAACATCCCTTCGAGAAAATTTAAAAACTTTATTAAAATATTTACAAAATATAATTTTTATTTTTCAACAAAAAATAAATATAAATATATATCCAAGAATCTAATCTGAAACAAAATTAAAATAAATAATCGCACCGACCCGTTTTCGGAAACCGATTCACTTCCCGAAAATCCTGAATTCCCGACGATTTTTGGCACGTGAATTCACGATTCACGAAATTCGGTAATTTGATTTTCTGTCGGCGCAATCCTTACTATAAACTTTGAAATAAATAAAAATTTAATTAGTAATTAATTTACTTTCAATTTTAAATTAAACAGAATTTTTATTTTAAAAAATGGGAAATAATCGTTCCTCAACCTCTTCTTCTTCTGCCACTTCAAGTTATTCTCAATATACCCATTCCATTCCAAACAAAAATTTTACGGATAAAAATAATCGTCAATTTTGGAAAACCTCAATTTCGGCTCGAGAAAGTTTCGACAATTCTCCACAACAAAAAGAAGAAACAAAAACACGTTTACGTAATCGTTCCCTTGTTTTATTTCAACAACCAAAATTAAATAAAGGAGGAGGAAATAATAATTGGTGGCCTTTAAAAAGAATAAAAAATAGAAGGTTTAGAATTTTGAAAATTAATTAAATTTAAATTTCTTTTAAAGTATTGAAAAGAAAAATTCTTATGGAGTGCCTCCTCCTTCATTGTTATTTGATGAAATAAATGGAGAAGAAGAAGAAATTCAAAGTTTAGAAAATCGTCCATTAATAGATTTAACAGTAACAAGTAGTGAAAACAATAGTCCTTGTTCTTCTCTTCCTCCAAACCAACCAACAACAATAGATGATTCTAATACAACAACAACAACATCTACAACAACAACAACATTTATTAGTTTTAGACCCCAAAGATGCCAATTTTTAGAAAATTCTTCAGAAAATTTTGTTGAAAATAAAAATAATAATTCGGAATTTAATAAACATCAAAGACGTGCAAAATCATTTAGACATTTCCCAAGTACAAAAACTTGTAATAATAGTAGAAGAAGTACTAGGTAATTAATTATATTTAATATTTCTTAAATTATTTATTGAAAAATATTTTTAACAAATATCAAAAGAATTCTGAAACTTTTACAAAAATATTTTCCCTCCATTATTCACAAAACAAACCAAAATTTTTATTCTTTCATAAAAATATCCCTCATTATTAGTACGAATTTGTCAGTCCCAAAAGAGTAGCTAAAAGTAAGTTTTGAGTTTATGTATATTTCGTGTCAGGCTATCTACTCCGTGATTTGGAATTCCTCGAGTTAGCCTCCACCAGTATATATTTATTCCACTTCCAGTTTTTCTTCAAAAATTCAAAACAAATTTATTTATTTCCCATTTTTTCCTTTCAGATTCAGCACAGCTTCAGGTTCAGCCCATCTTCTAAAAAAATCCCCATTTATTTCCAATATTTGCCCAATAACCGGATTAACCCCAATTCAAAGAAGAATGATTATTGAAAGAGTTTGTAAATTAAAAACTCTAGATTTACACATATTTTGTTCTTCTACATACAAAAATGTTTTTGAAAAATATCCAAAATTAATTTCTTATTTTTGTTTAAATACTTCAATTAAAAGAAAAAAATCAGAAAAAGAAATTATTAAAGAAGAGGAAGAAGAAAATAAAAAGGAGAGAAATGGAAAAGGAATTTGTAGACGGTTATCTTCTATTGGAATTTTTAGAATGCTTGTAAGAGTAAGTAATTAATTAAGAAAAAAAAATCAGAATTTTTTCCGGAAGTTTGGTAATTTAAAATTTAAATATCCCTCTAATTTTTAATTAGGTAAATTTACAAAATTAAAAACTTTTATTTAAACAATTTTGGATGTAAAGAACATTTTTTTAAACATTGTTGCCTTCCACCGCAAAAATAACAGAAAAAAAGTTAAAATAATTTTGATTGATGACACAATTTTAACATTTGTCAATAAAATATTAAAACAAAAAATGTTCTAAATATTTTTTTAAATCTATTATAAGTATTAGATCATCATTCAATTTATTTTTGGTAAATAAGACAAAAATAGAAACAAAGTTTAAGCAAACATATTTATCTATTTCGAGTTAAAAAAATAATTTTTTGAGTTAAAAATAAAATTTCTTTCTTTTTTAAGAGATTTTTCAATGTTTTACAACTTGTTTTGATTTTGTTGGAAGAGGGGCAATCTTCAATTATTGAACAAATTTTACTTGAATTTGGAGGAATGCATGCTAATAATAATAGAGGAAATGAAGAAAAAGAAGAGGTGGAGAGGGAAGGAGAAGAAAGGGAAGAGGATATATCACTAATACCTCAAGAATATTGGGAAATCCTTTTACAATCACTTTTAAATTTAACAAATAAAGAAGAAAATATTTATGTAAAAACTCAAAACGGCCAACATCTTTTTGATGTTTCAACATCCAATTATAGCAAAAGAAGTGTTGAAGCTTGGACTTTATTTTGTATTTTTATTGTCTCAAAAATTCGGTAGAAACAAAAACATTTTTTTAATTTAAAAAATTTTTTCTAAAGATTTGGATTTGTAATGGAATGCTTTTTACATTCAAACTTTAAAAATAAAAAAAGAGATGTTCAACAAAAATTTAATAAAAATATTAATTCAGAAAATACTCAACAAATAATTTACGATTTTAGAAGAAATTCTATTTCAAATGAAAACATTTTATTTTATAAAGAAAAAATTAAATAAATAAATTAAAATATTTTAATTAAAAATCCCTTTGTGAATCTCTCAACTTATTTGTGATTATTTTTTTAATTAAATAAATTTAAGAAAAAATTGTTTTTAAAATTTTATTTCAACATAAAAAAAAGAAAAAAATTAAAATATAGCAAAGATTGCTCAAAATTAGAATGATAAGATATTTTAAAAAATTTTTTGAAAAAGATTTGCCAAATAGTTATTAATTAAAAAGAAAATATCTTTAAAGAAAAAGAACTACTTATTAGTACACTCTGTCAGAAAATGATAAGCACCCCTTAGTTTTTACGTAAAAAAACTTATTTTCGTTTAAAGTAAAACAATTTAAAATTTTTTTAATGAATTTATAATTCATATTCAAAAGAAAAAACAATCAGATATAAATTATTTATGGGTAGAAGGTGGTTATAACTGTATTTTCTAAAAAATGACTGTCAGATAATTATAAGCACCCCTAAGGTTTCGACATTAGGGTCGTCCGAAAAATCTACAAAAATTCCTATGAACATATTTAGTGATGTGAATCGAAAATACAAAAGAAACTAGGTTCTAACATAACCTCTACATCGAGATACAAAAACCCAAAAATCAACGGAAAACTGGGGGTAGATGTATTTAAAAAATATTTTCGACCACTTACAGGTCAAATAAAAATTTTATTTTGGGCTTATTTGAAAGCCCTTGAAATTTGCTACAAGATAGTCTTTATCTCATAATCTAGAAAAAATTCATCCTTGAAAAATAATGAGTTTAGTTCATAAGTTACATTTTAATCGCTTTTTGGTGGGCGTTTGAGTGATTTCTATGAACTTAAAGTTAATCACATTAGGTCTTACAGTTGAATTTTTTTCGAAAAATAAAATTAACGCTATCTTGTAGCAAATTTCAAGGGCTTTCAAATAAGCCCAAAATAAAATTTTTATTTCACCTGTAAGGGGTTGAAAATACTTTTTAAATACATCTACCCCCAGTTTTCCGTTGATTTTTGGGTTTTTGTATATCGATCTAGGGGTTATGAAAGAACTCAGTTTCTTTTGTATTTTCGATCCACATCACTAAATATGTTCATAGGAATTTTTGTAGATTTTTCGGACGACCCCTAATGTCGAAACCTTAGGGGTGCTTATAATTATCTGACAGTCGTTTTAACGAAATTTCATTCATTTTCTCTACTATCTATATTTATTTTATCAATGATTGTTTTTTTCTGTTCAATATGCATCAGAAAATCCTAAAAATATTTAAAACTATGATATTTTGACTTTAACTATGTTTTTATTCAAAAACTAGGGGGTGCTTATAATTTTCTGACAGAGTGTATTAGTAAATGCAGAAATTATATACAAAAACAAAAAGAAAATAATCAAAAAATATAAAAATTAATTTCAATTTCTGATCACTCTAATTTTTTTAAATGAAAAAATATCAAAAAGAAAATTTTATTGAAAAACCCAGATTTTTATTAAAAATTTCCAAAAAAAAATTTTAATTTTTTATTTAAATTTTATCCCATTTAAATAATAAAAATCCAAGTCTTTTTTTTTATTTAATAAAATAAAATCATTTTTGTCTATTTTTAAAATTTATTAAAAAATCACTCACTTCCATGTTTTTCTTCTCAATTTAAAGATTTCTTAACATTTTCCAAACTAGCACTTAAAACTTCAAGTTGTTTTTTCAATTGTTGAGTCTTCTTTTCAATATTTTTTGAGCGAAACATTAAAGTTTTGACTTTTTCTGAATTATTTGGATTTGAAGACATTTTTTGGATTTGAGCAAGAAGAAGTAATTGCTCCTTTAAAATTTTTGTTTAAAAATTTATTTAAATAAAAAACAATTACTTCTAACATATCACTATAAAGTTTAGAGGTTTGTCGATGTCGATCACGTAATTGTGTTAACACAGGTTGATTTTGAGAAATTGCTTTAAATTTTAAATAAATTTTAGACAAAATATTTAATTCTTAAACCTTTGTTGTGGAAAGGAAAACTATTTATTGCTGGAGAATATGTTTTTGAAAATGTACGATAAGCAAAAGAAGGTGCCTAAAAATAAAAATATTAAATTTAAAAATTTTCTTAATTTGGCTCTAAGTAGGGATAATTAATAGAATAATTATAGTTCCTTAAAATTTTATTGACATCATTTTGCTGAACTTAAGAGTAATTAATATGTAATTATCCTTAGAACCAAATTGATTATGAGACGCCAAAAATTTAAGAATTGTTATTTTTGGATTAAAAATATAAAGTAGCCATTAGAAATTAAAAATATTGTAAAAGTTAGTCAAAATCATTGAAAACCCATAAATATTTACATTTTTTGGTTTAGTCCTAAGGGGTTGAATTGACATTCGCTGATTTTGTGTATTAACGGAAGCAGCAATTTGTGAAACTAAAGACAATAAATCATTTTGTTGAACTTGTTGTTGTTGTAAAATATTAGTTCCAGTTGATGCTGTTGACGTAAATGTTGGCGTAGTTATTTGGCAAGGTGCAACAGTTGCATAAGGTCTAGTTGTGTTATTATTATTAATTTGTTGTTGTTGTTGCTGTGAGGAGGATGATACAAGAAATTGTTGTTGAATAGATTGTTGAAGTAAATCAGACACACCTCCACTAGTACTACAACCTGTTGGTGACATTAGGGCTTCTTGAAGACATACAACTACGTCTCTCTTGTGTACCAATGGACGGGAAAGTGCTGGAAATTAATAGAAATTATTGGCAATAGGAATTAAATAAAAATTAGAAATACCAGATGTTGGTGGCAATTCTCTTCCTTTAAGTTCCTTTTCTCTTTCCAAAGCCATTCTCTTCAAATTGTGTTGTTCTTCTAAAACTGCATCAATCTCTGCCTCTGAAAATAAAAACAAAATTTTATAAAATTTTTTTATAAAATTAACCATCATCAGTACTGCTAATATCATCAATAGAAATACAACCATCCCACAAAGGAACTACACTTGGAGATTTAGGTGTACTTATAGGCAGATTGACAACAAATTCACGAATTTTGCGAATATCATTTTGTTCTGGGTCAACAGCAATCTTTAAAAAATTTTTTTAATTGAAAAAATTGAAAAAAACCTCCAATTTATTTTCTTCTTCCTTATTTTCAGTTTCCTTTTCTTCCACAGCAACTTCATCAACAATTAACTAAATTTAAAAAATTAAAATTTTTTTATCGTGGCTTATAATGTTTGAAAGCCTTCCAATAATCCCATAATCCCTTAAAATAAAAAGCTAAACAATTATAAAAAAACTAGGCGGGATCCCAAACTTAAAAAAGGCTTATAACAAATTAAATAATTTAAACCTCTTCTCCTTGAATATTTTGGTCAATTGTTTCATCCTCCTTCACCTCTTCTTCTTTTTCTATTACTACTTCTTTTTCTTTAATTTCTTCAATTTTATCTTCCTCAACTATTTGTGTTGTTGTTTTGGGTGTTTTTACAACAGAACTTTTAATATGTTCTTTAAGCATTTCCAATCCAAATTTTGGTTTTTTATATTTTTTCCTTTCCTTACAAATTGAACGTTTTGTTGCCTTTAAATTAACTAACAGAACAAGATCATCTACGTCTTCATCATCTTCTTCTTTAATTGTAATACTCGGTTGTTCCATTTCAATCCGAATTCTTTTATTTTCAAGAAAATCGGCGTTGTTCTTTTCCGAATTTGGTAACTAAAAAAATTGAAATATTTGAAAAAAAAAAATTATTTTTTAAATTTATACTTCATCAACACAAACTGTCCTCTTTACTGCCCTTCTTTCAACAGAACGATTTTGAACATTAGTAAGTGTTTCGCTTTGCTTTTTAGTTTCTTGTATGGCTTTAGCAAAGACTTTAGCAACACCTTCACATTTTTTAACAATTTTCTCTCCAGTTGGAGATGGAGGACGAACAATTGGATGATGGTCAGTAGTTGCTTCTTTCGGTATTTTTACTTCAGTTTCTTCATTTTGTTGTTTCTAAATTTAAATATACAAAATATTTATTAAATAACAAACATTAATTATTTCTGATTCTTTGTTTTCATTTACTCGAGATGTATTGGCTTCAATATTAAGTCCTTGAGCACCAAATAAAGCTCGTTGAAAAAGCCGTGACGATGGATAGTCTGATACTTTACGCTTTGCTTTTGGCACTACAACCTCTCGATTGTGTGGACGTTCCGTTACAATAGTCTGATAAAGAAAATAAAATTTCATAATTATTTTTAATTCATGTAGGAGGGATCCAAATCTCACAAACCAAAATGATTTATGGGAAGAGCTCTTAAAAATTAATTAAAGTACCGTCGTCTTTTCTTCTTCAACATTCTTTTTCTCTTCTTCTTTTTCTTCTTCTTCTATTCTTTCAACAATAATGTCTTCTTTTCTATCATCAACAGATTCAATATCCGCACTGATTTTATCATTTTCACCAGTTTTATCCTCATCTGAATATTCAATATCAAATCGAGGAGAATCCACTGATGCAGGAGGAGAAGGCGAACGTGGAGGAGGGAGAATACGAGGGGCATTTGAAGGCTTGAAATATTCCAGTTGGGGATGTACAACGACAGAACGCAACACAGCTCTCGGAATTGCAAAAGTTGTTGAAGGGGGAGGTGCATTGGCTACTGGCTCGGGTTTTGTTGGCTCAGGTTTTGTCTGTTTTCGAAGAGAGGAAGGTGGTGATGAAGGCTAAAAATTGTTGAGAAAATTAAAAAAACCTTCAAATAAAATTAAAACCTTTTCAACTTCCTCCTCTTCCTCCTCATCGCTGCTATAATGTTTTTTGCTGCTATGATGTTTTGTTTGCACGTGCTGCTTCTTTTCAACACGTTTAATTTCTTTTTTAGGTTTAGGAGAATGTGCACGTTTAGAAGATTTTGAATGTTTTTCTCGTTTGGATGTTTTTGATGAATCTCTCTTTTCTTTTCTTTTTGGCGATTCAATAGGTTTTGTTTTGCTAGAAAATTGTTAAAAATTAAATTTAAATTAAAGTCTGTCAGATAAAAAGTTAAAAAAGTGCAGAAAATTGAAAAATTATTCAGAAAAGGTTCTTGATGGTTTTTGAATAAACCACTATTTCAAAATATATTTAAAAAATGAAATTACCCAAAAATAACTAATTTAATCAAAACAATTTTTAGAAAATACAAACCTAAACGTTTTAATTTTCTCAGCTTTGCCAAAAAATAAATCATTGCCGGAATGTAGATTTAACTTTTTTGGTTGTTCTTTGGGTTGCACACTCTTTTCAGTCGATTCACTCAAAATAGCAGGCAATGAAGAATTTGATGCAGATTGTTGTTGTTTTACTTTTTGGAAAAACCCAAATAACCTAAAATTAAATTAAAAAAATTTCAAAACAATTTAAAATAACCATTCAACAAAACTTGTTGTATTTTCACCCAAAAAAAGTTTCAGATCTGTCTTCATTCTTGTTTTATCCTTTTTATTTCCAACCATAATCATTACCTCAAAAAATTAAAAATTTTAATTAAAAAATAACAATTAATTTACATAATCAGGCAATTCATCATCCACATCAATTCCATATTCTTCGATTTTTGCACGTACAGCAGCCTTGAAATATAAACAAAAATTTAATAGAACTAATAAAAATCTTACCCTTAATTTTCGAGTAAATTCAGTATTATGTGAGACCATTTAAATAAATATATTGATAAAATAATATTGTAAAATGAGGTAAATATATGTATTACTAAAAATTATTTATTAAAAAATAATTTTTTAAAAAATGTTGGCAAATGGAAACAATGGAAAACTTAACAAAATTAAAAAATTATTCTTAAATTTGTAATTTAAAAAACACATAGACATTTTTAAAAGAAAAGTTGTCAACTCGGCATCAACTCAAAAATCCATGCACTTTGACAAGATAAGTTACCAAGGAAAAATTATCTGGCCAAAATAGCTCGCACTGAACAAACCATTACAAACTGGTTAAACGCGAGCAATAATTTCCTTATTAGAGAGTACTGTAATCCATATTGAGAGTGAATTATTTATTGTTAAGCTAAATACATATTTATTTCTTTGTTTGTAGTTTTGAATTTTAAAAATATAAGAAATCTTTGTGTATGTATTATTTGAACTGGTTTTTTACTATACTTGCTTTTTACATTCAATTTTTTATTCAGTTTTTCCTATTAATTTAAAAATTTTGGTTGTAGCTTTCTGACTTTATTAAAGGATTTTTTGGGTAAACCTTTGATATCTTCGATCTAGTATATTTCGATAATTTATATACTATCCATAATCTATATAAATATTTTGTCCATTTCACTTCCAACTTTGCAAAAATTGTTACATTGAATAATGTTTTATACTTTTTATTATCTCTCATTTATCCATTCATTAAGATAAACAGTTGGCACTAATAAAGAAAAAATACTGCATTGAATAATCATTTATTGCATTTGAAGGAAGGTAAAAGTGTGAAAACTCTTATTCTATTGATTTTGCACTTTTCTTTGATTTTTTTGATTTTTTTCTTGAATCAAAAAAAAATTCAGAAATCTTTTCCAAATTCAGAATTAAATCAAAATTAAAATCTTCATTATTTATTTATTTCCATAAGTTAATAAAACCAATAAATTCAAAAATTTATGCCTATTAATTTCAATGTCTGCCCCACCAGTTCCATACAGAGCAGAATCGAATTCCCAACAATATACTCCTTCATTCCCTCCACCTGTCTATTACAGGGATACATTTGGACTTGAACCAGTTGAATATTTACAGGGTGATTGTATAACAGATTCAGATGACGAATCTGGAACTACAAAATCTACTGGTTATTTCTCTTATTTAAATTAAATTTCGGGGGGTTTTAAGTTCGTCACCACAACTTTGTCCGTATTTTCCATCCGGGGCCTTCTACTTCTTGTCAAACTATAGAGCATCGGCCATCATTGCCTTTCAGTCAAATTCCCCGTCGAAAATCAGGGTTTTCTACCACAACAAGTAATCATGCTACAATACCTGAAGACCAAACTTCACAGCCTAGCACACTTCAGTCAATGCAGGTAATTCTGAAAATCAGGCCCGTAGCCAGGATTTCGGGGGGGGGGGGGGGGGTGCAAGGGCTACGGGCCTGCTGAAAATTTAAAAAACATTCTAAAATGATATTTTCTAGATGGAAGAATTACTTTTAACAGACAAAATTTTGTTTGTTCGTTATGCCCGCCCTTTTCTTTGGTTAAGCACTGTTAGTAATTTTTAAAGGAGAATTTAAAAAGAAAAAATAAATTTTTCTAGGTACTTTTAGGTGTTGCTTTACAACTTTTAATATTTTCAATTGTTTGTGTGTTTTTTGATGGTTATTGGGCTGGAATTTGTATTAGCATTTTTCTTTTAATTAATTCTGTTTTGTTAATTGTATTTATGCGTTATAAACAAACTCGAATAATGATTGTAATTTTAAAAAGGAATTTTTTGTTTTCTAAATTCTTTTTTTAGTGGATTTGTATGATTTTTTCAACAATAAGTGTCCTTTTATCAATTATATTATTTACTCTTTGCACTTATTTTACTTATGAAGACAGTATTAAAAGTTTTTCAAATAATGATGAACAACAAATTGTTTCAGCAGCTAATGATAATATTGAATCGAATAAAATTGTACAAAATGCAAGGTGTTTTAAAATTAAAGAAAACTCTTGTAAAAACTAATGGATTTTAATAATAATTTCTTTTAATCTGGCCTAATTATTTCTGATTAGTAGGGTTGTTCCCCGTTCCCGAAAGTCAGGGAATTTGAGATTTTTTGAAATTCCCTGTCCCCCTCCCTGCATGGCGCTCCCTCCACGGAAATTTATCCCCATAGCCCCCCCCCCCCCGTCGGGGAACAACCCTACTGGTTAGTCTGTCCGGTAATTTCCGAGGAGCCATAGTAAAGTCTTTGAGTTAACTCGACTATTAACATTTAAAAAATTTAAGGATAGCAATGTATACATGGATGTGTATTTACACACCTATTTATGGCAAGAATATCTTTATATGTTTAAATATTTTTTTAAAATTATTTTAAGTTATTTGTGGATGTGCTTGTTTATTAATACTTTTAATTAATTATTCTGCTAATAATATAGGCCAAGTTCACAAAGGTTTATTTTTAAGCAGAACAGCTGGACATCAAGTAAAAATATTTTGGTGATCTTTTAAATTAAAGAAATTTTTTTCAGAATGTACTTGTTCCAGTTAAACTTCGTCAGGTCGCTAAAATTGAAAATGGAGAAGTTAGGTCAGAATAATGAAAAATTAATATTCCCACATTTTTTTCTAAAATTATTTATTCTATAAAATCTTTTCGAAAATGTTTATTTTTAAAAAGTGAATAAAAATAACAAAAAAAAGTTTTTTGCAACTCTATAAAAAGGATAATATTAAAGCTATGAATAAAAATAGGTCAAAAATTATGTCGAATCTTTTTAATAAGGAAAGGAAAAAGAAAAAATATTATTTTTATTACAATTCTTCGTCGTTTTCTTCATCTTCAAAAGATGGAGGATTTATTGAAAATCTTAAAAAGATTAAATAATTTTTTTATAAAATTTATTCGCACCTTTCACAATATTCTTTGACAATCTGCAACTGTCTACGAGTATTTTCATGTGCCCTTTGTTCCTTTTTTTGAAAAAATTTTAAGAGTTAATACAAATTAATGATTATTTTACAATCTCTATTTTACATTAAAAATCCATTTTAAATTATGGTTACCTCCAAGACAAGGAATTAGTTGAACGAGGGCTTAAAAATTTCTTTTTTAGTTTAAGGCTACCCGAGTTTCTATTTTTATAATTTGCCTTCTTTCTATGTAAAATAGAGATAACAAAAATAAAAAATTCTTACAGAAGACAATCGCGCCCGTATCTGTTCCAATTCCACTTCCAAAGCTCTCTTTTCTTCAAGAGTTTGTTGAAGTCTCCAAGACACATTCTCGTTATCATTTTCTTCTTGTTGTTCTTGTAATGTTCCAGTTCTTAATGCAGGACTTCTTCTAGATAATTGAGAACCAGCACAATAACTTTGGGGTGTAACAACTGAACGCATTTCCAATGAAAGTTGTTCATATTGCTGTGGTTGATTGTTTGTTTCTCCATCAATCATTGCATCATCATGAATATTTGAAGATTGAACAGTTACAATTGAAGATGAGGCAACAGGCTTAAAATTTATTTAGAAAACCCCTTTTAATGTCTTTTCAATTACCATAAAACGATAATCGTCTTCAGATGCACAATGATCCAAAGTTCGAAGAGAAGCATTTCTAGACCCTAAATCAATTGATGCTTTTCCCATTTGTTGCATACTACTAAGAGGTCTTTGTGGTTGTTGAATTCCAAATGATGGAGCTCTTTAAATAAAATTAGGGGTTTTCACAACCGGATAATTTTTGCCTGTGACAGCTCATCTGCTTATTATTCTCTATTTGATCGGCCACAGGCAAAAATTAACCGGTTTTTTTTTTCAAAAAATTGCTCAAAAAACTCACGAAAATTTTTTTCGTTCAGGAATAGCATAAAGGGAAGATGACGAAGGTGGTTGTGGTCCAGACCAAGAGTCACTAGAAGGCGAAACACGAGGTGGAAGTTTTTTCAATTTTTGTTGTTGTTGATTACGTCTTCCAAGTTCTTCTTCTGATTGATCTGGAACAAATACTGATGGACAATTAGAATCTTAAAAAATATTAATAAAAATTTCGAAATAAAAAAAAATAATTTTTAACCTTCACATCCACGTCTAGGATTTCCATCTAAATTTATATTTTTAAATATCTCCAAAAATATTTTTAAAAAATTAAAACCTGCTCCAGGCGAGATCATTGTAACCTTAAATTTTAAATAATTTATTTTTCCAATACAAAATTTTAACTTTAATTTGAGTTCTTCCAGTAAGTAAGTCAGCAAGATGCTGCTCATTGTAAGTAAAAAGGGCTGAATTTTCTATCTAAAAATATGCTCAAAATCGATCTAAAAATAAAATAACCTCAACAACTCTTGACCCTTGTCGTAATCCAACTCTCCAAGCACTCTATTTTAAATAAAACAATTTTTAAATGAAAATATTTAAAAAAATACTGCATTCATATCGACATCTGTAACAATTCCTTCTTCTTGAATATTAAATCCAAAAGATTCTGAAGGTTTTGTTTTTCGAAGAATTACCTAAAAATTATTATCTTATGAAAGTAATAATATCCCACCTCTTTTGCTTCATCACCAATTGTGACAGCAACCAGCCTTTTTACCAGAAATCCAATTTCTCTTTCACTTCCATCTTAAAATAAAAATATTACAAAATAATTTTAATATAAAAACCTGGAGAAGGGCACCAAAGTCGAATAATATCACCATGATCATAGAAAATTTTCAACCTAGAAAATTAAAAACAATCAAAGCAATTCAAAAAAATTTTTTTACCCATTATCTGCTATTTGTATCCAACCCAAAATAGAATGTGTTGGTGTAGCAAAAATTACAAGACCTGATGGAACATCCAAAATGACCAAGTTATCAGCGGAAAGCCCTTTAAATATGTTAAACCAAAGAAAAAATAACAAAATCCTTACCGAGTACAGCAGGCATTCTTTGATTCAGAGAATGATCGAAGACTTCCACTTGCCTTAAAAAAGCTGGGTTTTAATTGTTTTTAGTTAAATTCTAATATTGTAACTGGAGACAATAATGGAATTCCATAGGGAATTTTTTTAATATCAAAATATCTAACTTTCACCAAAAGTATGTAGTAAAAGACTGTAATCAAAAAAAACAGGCCTAACCATGAAAGAGCGCCACGTAGTCCAGAATCCAAGACAGGCTTGGGCACAATTCTCTCGCGGCGTTTCACCGACCCACCTCCTCCTAAGAGTCTTGACGCAATTCTAGATGCTCCCTTTAAATTTATAAAATATTTTTTAGTTAATATTTCCAGACTGGTGCATGGATACGGATTTTGCTATCCGTATCCGGATATATCCGTGAGGTCAATATCCGTATCCGTTTGTATCCGTCAATTATCTCTTGGCGTTGGGAATATAATTATTTTCTCTTGGCAAAATGTATTTTTAGAATTCAATCATGGATGTTTAACCGCAGAAATTAGGGAAAATTAGGGACGGATATCCGCGGATTTGGAGCATCATATCCGTATCCATCCGTATCCGTCCGATTTTTAAAAAAACACTATCCATATCCGTCCGTATCCGCGGATACCCGCGGATATCCGGATATTATCCGTATCCATGCACCAGTCTGAATATTTCTAACCTCGTTAGAGTGATGTGTAGCTGCATAATTTTCAACCAAATCTTTTAATGCCTCCCTTCTTGTCCGAGCTGCCATTGAAGCAAATTTACGAGATCTATGAACAGCATTTTCTGCATTTATTATCTAAAAATATTTTTAAATATTTTAATAAAAAATAAAAGTAAACTTTAGTGATCAGAAAGTCATGGAAATGGGTACTTTTCTGGTATACAGCACTTGAAGAAACTGGAGGTCCAAATGCAGGTACATCTTTGGCACGAGCGACAGCAACTCTATAACTAACATTTTCCGTAAGTGGATTGGATACACGTATAACAATAAAAACTAAAAAAATATATTAAAAGTCGGTAAATAATTTAGAACAAACCGTGTTGAAAATGTGATCTGACTGTTATTGGCGAAAAAGGCAATGCATTTGGCTCTTGAAAAATTATTGTAACCTAGAATGATTTAAAATTTTCATGTAAATTTTTAAACTAAATTACTAACCATATCATTGCCAATATGTCGCTTTCTTGCCAACTAAAAATAAAATTAACACTTTAGGAAAGAATAGTCCAAATGACAAGAATTTTTGTTAATAATGTTAAAATTTTATGGACTCGTCCCAAAAATTAATTTTAAATACAAACCTGTTGTTTATTATTTGGAGTAAATGGGAGCATTGTAGAAACATGTAACATAATCTAGTAAATAATTTAATAAGCAAAAAAAATTTTCTAGGAAAAAAACCTGAGCAGAATGGTGTTCAGTATAAATACTATATAATCCTGTAGTATTTCCTTTTGTGTCTAAGCCACCTTTATATTTGAAGGCATCTAAACCTTTGAGCTTTACTCGAGTGCCAAGAAAATCAAGAAATTCTTCAAAATGTGGAGAAGAATTTTCATTATTATACATCTAATAAATTCAATTAAATTCAAAAAAATATATAAAAAAAATAACCTGTTCTTCGGTAGATTGGTTATCTTTACAATACAAAACCCCAACTTTATATCTTGTATAGATTGGTTGTTCATCTAAATATTTAATAAAAAATCGCCAAAAAAATCAACAAAAATAACCTATTTTCAGTAAAAGTTCTTCCACTTTTTGAATATTCGTGGTTGGTCTAAGAGAGGCAAAATGAATTTGAGGACAGACAATATCAAGCAATTCACGCATTAAAGAACGAGTACTGCGATCTTGAGCATCAGAAAGTGCCTCCTCTGGCACAGAAACACGCATTGTTAAAACATCGCTTATCCGAAGGACGAGACTGGAAAAAATTTTTAAAATAAATTTAATAGAAGATCTCCAACAAAATTCAGAAAACTTTAAAGAAAACTTTCAAAAAAAATTACCGATAAATATTATGCTGGCTAGACCCGTCTTTAGTCTCTTCTCTAACCATTGATACAACACATGGTCCCTATTTAAATAATAATTTTTATTATAAATAGAATTTAATTTAAAAAAATAACCAATGTCTCATCCATTCCACAATATTCAATGTGAATTCTTCCAACAAAACAATGCCTAAAAAGATTTTTAAAAATAGAAAAAAAACTTTCTAAAGTAAAGAAAACCTATAATAATAGCTTCCCATATCTTGGGGTTCAACAACAATTTTGGATTGCCTATCAGAACAAAGTTTACCACCCAAATATACATTAGAAACATCCTCAAGTACACCTTATAAATAATTTAAAAATTGTTTTAAATTTCAAATTTTAACCAATTTCAGAAGCTATATGTTCTCTATGTCTTGTTTGAAGACTTTCTTCTTCAGCAGATTTATTTGGAGAAGCTTGTGATTTTCCTGAGGTATTTTGATGACAAGTATGCCTAGAGAGAGCAATTCTTCTAACAGGTTCAACACCCAATTCGTTTCTTTAAAAAAATATTTTTTAATTTTAAAAATAAATTTTTACCTAAATGCTGGACAAGAGACGAGTAAATCGTTTGACTTTCCATCACCTGCATCATCTTCAGATGGACTCTGAGCCTGTGAAGCACCCGTTGGCCCATTCAGACTGGACACGTTTAGACCTAAACTCCAAGCATTGGCCAAAGAATTGCAATCATGGTAAGCACATAAATGAATAGATGAAGGAAGCCATTCCCCTTGACTCAAAGAATTACTGCTATTTTGATTGTGAGAATTTTCCTTTTAAAAATAAAAAAAATAAAAAATATTCTTTAAAAAAATTAAAATTACTTTAATTCCCAAATTTGTTCCACTTGCAGAATTCGAACTCTTTTCTTGTCCAGCATTCTGTGAGGAATTTTGTTTTAATGTTTGATTTGATGTTGCTTCAATCTTTAAAAGAAACTATAAATTATATTTAATTTAAAAAAAAATTTTTACTTGAGAAAAAGAAACAGCAGGTTTTTGATCATTTGTAGAACTCATTATTTATTTTTGTCAATACTTTTTGTAATTTAAATAAAATAATAAGAAAGTAATTAATTCATAAATTTTATAATTTATCATTGCTTCATTTAAATGTTTCAATTTTAATGAAATGAAAAAGCTTAGAATTTGTTTGACATTTAAAAAAAATTCTTTTATTTAATCTTTCTAGTATTTAAAAATGAAATTAATTTTTAAGATCAAGCTGAAAATATTAAAGTGGCATTTAGTGGCATTAATGATGTAAAACATACATTTTTTTAAATAAAAATTGTAAAGTAGATACTAGTAAAAGCTTAAAATTTTTGATATAAAAACTTTAACACTCTTAAAGATTTACATAAATTAAATATCTACATACTACCAAAAAAGCTTAAAAACAAAACCAATTTTAAACTCATCCTTAATTGCGTCACAGGAATTTTACTGACTTATTTTTATATTCCCCCCTTATTTTCTGCCTCTTTTGAAGCCTCACAAATTAATAGCAGTTTAAGGAAAAAAGGGACACAAAAAACATCATGTTTGCTCTGGATGTTTCTCTTATATGAAGAAATTTTTATGTGGGAAGTTTTATTCAACTATGCGACAACATGTACATTTATCCTCCCCTCAATACATAAATGGCCAAGTATTTTTGTGGTGTCTGCGTGTGTGTGCCCGTGTCCAGTTTACTGTGTTTAATTTTTCCATCAAAAGACTTTGAAAAAAAAGGGAGGAGGAAGAATATCCTAACTATTGCCTATGTTCGTGTAGCTATAATGTGTGTGCATGCTTTTGATACTCTCTTCTTCTTCTCTTTTTATTCCTTTTTTACTCCTATGCTATTGCGTAAAATATCTTAGCTACTGCTAGGGGCCAAAAAGAGGTTGAGGGCTAAGATCGAGAGTTTGCCCTCAGGGCTAGTAGGAAATGGAAAGGAAGTGTGAAAAAGTATCAGCCTGGAAAAGAATTTTTCGATAAAATAAACTGAAAGGTGTTCAATATTGAAAAAAATGAGAAATGAATTTATGAAAGTTTATAATAAGGGAAATCTTAAATTTATTAATTTTGAGATCCCCTTATTTCTAAATTATTCTTAAAGGAATTTTGAGTTATGTAATAACAAAGGTAATAAGAACAAATGTAGAACAAATGTTGAATAAATTATTTTGAATAATACCATATTTGTATTAAGAAACTTTCATTTCCAAAGTTTTCAATCTCCCCAGTTAAAGCCCAAACATTTTAAATAATTCAAAAAACGAAGGGCTAGAATTTTAAAAATTCGAAAACTAAAATTGAGAAAATCTTTTAGCAATTCTTTCCAATTTTCAGGCACTAAATATGACATGGTATTCATCTCCCTAAACGAGAACAGTCAGGCTGGCCAACTTCTTTGTTCCCGTCGAAATATTTTTTTTCCTTTTTTCAATGACAGAATTTTATTTCACGCTTCATGTTTTTTTTTCAACTTTTGGAATGTATAGGGAAAAATCCCAACATTCTTTTAAATTTTTGATGGATATTTTTTGATGAAGTATAATCAAATAAATTTTTTTTTCTTTGAGAAAATTGTTTCATTTTTTTATTTAAAATAAATGAAATGGAAATTCTCGTCCAATTCTTGAACAATAAGGAAAACCAAAAAAAATACGGCCACCCGCAATGTATAAAAATATAATAAAATGGAAAGCATAACCACCACGTGTCTAAAACAATTTTTTATTCAACTGACGTGAATAAAAAAATCTCCAAGAAAAGTTTTTGTTTGAAAATAACAATAAATCAAATATATTTATATCCAATAAAATTTTCTTCCTATATCCTAAAAGTCGAAATGGAAATTAAAAGAAAATAACCACAAAATACTAACTTCAGAAAGAGAAAGAAATATTTAAATCTAAAATATCTTATTAGCTTTTTTGGAATTTTTGGACTTGGGTAAAAGAACAGATGATTCTTAGAATTCAGCGACACCGTATTGAACTGTTCTTGGATTAATTTTTTAATTTTGTCAAATAAACATCTAAAATACCTACAAGCTTTTACTTAAAACCATAAAATTTATTAAATTTCCTTTAAATAATTAAAATCACCTTTAATTAAGATATAACGATACAAATACAAATATTTGAATTATTTTTAAGATCAATCAATCAATTTAATATCCAAAATAACAATTCCTTCCTTTACATAATTTGAAGAGAAATTCCAAAATGATAGCCAATATGTTTAAAATAATAACGACGAAAACCTTCACGAGTCTCCTCCACACGATCTTCCGGAACTTGTTCAGCCTTTACTTGCAAATCGACACTGTCCCCCTTTAAAATTTCACAGATTATTTAAGAATTATTAAACATACTTTATCATGCAAAATTAAAATAATGTTCGCCCAAACATCCTTTGGGAATGATTTTAAACGCCATTTCTTAAAAAAATTCTTTTTTATAATTTAAATTTCAAAAAACCATAGAGATTTGTTTATCCTTGATAAGAGATGTAAAAGTCCCAGAAATAGCTCCTAAAAAGAAAAATAAAAAAAATTTAAAAATAAATGACCAGAAAGCATTGAAAAAGATCCTCCATCACGTGCATCAATTGTAGAATCTGGACACCAAACAGGAACTAACTTAGATTTAAAATTATAGTTAAATAATTAAAGGAAAACAATTTAAATAAATTTTTGAATGTTTAAAACTAATTCTTTGCCTTTTGACTCGAAAGAGCAAATTCTAAAATTATAAGACAAGAAAAAGAAAGAGAATTTTTAATTTTCTCCCTTGATTTTCATGATAAAAAATATAACGTTTATTTTACATCAATAAACCGCCTAAAGAAACACAGTCAAAGAAAAATGAAAAACTCCAAATTTAAATAAAAACAAAATTGCAGCTAGTAAAACTCCCCCAATATTTTATTAAAATTTATTTACAAAAACAAACCGATGGATCAGTTAATATTTCATATAAACGCTGTGGCGCAACTTTAAATGATTCCACAAGTTCAAAATTAACAAAAGAAACAACTATGTCAACTAAATAAAATTTAAAAAATATTTTTAAAAAATCAATTTTAAACCTTTAGCTTCAGAAGCACTTTTATTTAAAGTATCACTATTTCTGACGACAGTTCTCGATTTGGAAGGAGCTGATGTTGGTGTAGTATTGCGTGCAGAATCAGTTGGTAGAATTAATCCTTGACTACAAAAAAGAAAAAAAATTAAAATAAATTTAGAAAAAAACAAATTTCCAACCTATATTCCTTCTTTAGATCAACAATATATTTCCCGATTTGAGAACGAACAAGTTCTAGAACTTCTTTATTAAGCAAATTAAACAAAAAGGAAGTCTCAGGACCAGCATCTTTAATAAAAGACGAAGTCTGAAAAAATAAAAGTTTAAAAACGATGTTATCTCTTTGGCTAAAATAAACTTTCTTTTGTTAGATAATATTTAAAAAACTAAAATCGCTAAATTAAAAATCTAATATAAAGAAAATCTTCTCCAATACATTTCAAAGAATCATTTTAAATGCCCACAAAAACTTTTTCTTTTTAATTAGAAAAATAATTGGAACCCCAACAGACTCCAAAAATGTCTTTTATTCTTAATAAAAAATTTAAAAAAATACTCGTATTTCATTTGCTTCAAATTCATCACTCAAATTTTCAATCTGTATAGTTCCAGTATAAACCATAGCCGAATCAATCACGGCAGCTATATAAAATATTTTTTATTAAAATTTTTTCTAAATTTAAAAACCGGTAAAATCAATAGAAATTGTCCATTCATAGAAAAATATAAGCTTTCCTTTTCGATTATTAGCACTTGCCTCTCCTCAAAAAAGAATATTAACTTAAATAATTTTTAGACAAAAAAACCTTCAATTTTCCCCAATTGAGTAAAATCAATTTTAACATTTTCATTTTCAAAAGTTTGATTAACCAATAAATCTTTTAATCTTTGAATTGACCATTGAGTAGCGTCCTTTTCAACCCTAAAACAAAAATTGAATTGGAATTAATAAATAACAAACCAATGCCAATTGTTAACATTTGTTGCATCAGGACCTTTAAATTAAAGTTAAAAAAATTGACAAATCTTCTTAGATTTATTAATTAAATAATTTATTTAAAAATAACTTACGTTCTTCCACAATCCAACGAGGGTCTTAATTAAAATAAATTTATAAAAAAATAAATTTCTAATAAAATTACCGCCTTCACCCCACCTCGCCATTGAAAATAAAATTTAATAAATCTAAAAATTGTATTTTAAAAATAAACTTTTATCTAACAAAATTAAGCGAAATTTCTACTTTATTCGCGAAAATTTCTTTTGTTGATTTTCTTTGGCAATTCCCTTTTCTTGGCATTATGTATTTTTTGAAAAACTAGAAATTTAACAAAAAAATTCTTTTTAATTTTTAGAATGACAAAAAATAATTTTTTTCGTGACGGAGTTACCTACTTAATTATGCTTTCTGGTATAATCTTTGGAGCACATTTTTTCCAACGAATAAAATTTGAATTTAGAAATAAAAGACCTACTGATCCTGTTATTGTTTGTTTTTTTTAAATTTTAAATTTTTTTTTCAATTAAATTTTTAGGTGGAAAGTTTGCAAGAGTTGGGTCTTAGCTCAAAGAAAACTACTGAACAACTTTATAAGGTTTGGGATTTTTTTTGTTTATTTATTTAATGTTTGGTTAATATAAATTTTATCTTTTTCTAAAAATTTTTGATTCACAATTCAGATGCTTTTAATTTAGAAATTCTTTTTTTGGTTTCCTTCAATTATATCCTTTATTAATTTAAAATAAATAGGTTTGAAAATTTGCAAAAAATTTTAAAGGTCTTATACACTTCATTAATTTTTATAGTCAACAAAATTAATCAACAATTCCCAATGTCTAATTTATTTCAAAAATCATTTTTCTTTTCAGGAGATGGTTGAATCAACCTCTGATGATGATTGGGAGAATATTCGAGGTCCTAGGCCTTATGAAGATAATTCGGAATATTTAAGAGCAAAGTTTTTTTTAATTTTTAAAATAATTTTAAAAATAATTTTTAAGAGAAAAGCAACAAAAAGAGCGTCAAAAACAACAAGAAGAGCGTAGGAAGTTGTTAAATGAATCGAGTAAATTTAGAAATGCTTTGAAGAGGGAATTTAAAAAACCTGAAGATAAATAGAAATTTTGTTAGAATTTTTTTTTGTTTTTAAATTTATTATTTTTGATTAATAATTATTTTTAGCTTTACTTTTTTTAAATAATTTTTTAATTGTTTTTGTCAAAACTTCTATTTTTAATTTTATTAAAAATTTTTTTTAGTTTTTAAAAATTTTCTACTCAAAAGCAATTTTTCTTTCAATTTATTCAATGGGAGGTTAGAAAATTTTCATTTTAACAAATATTTAAAATTTTTAAGCTAATTGGTCTAAATCTGTCCCAATTTTAAATTATATTCCTGGCTTGTCTTTACCTCACAAGGTTGATAATAAATTAATTTTTGAAATTTAAAAAGATTTTTTTAGATGTAAGTATTCAGTATTAATAATTTAATTAAATAATAATAAAGGGTTTTTGTTGTAAATACTTCATTAAAAATGGGGGCAGGAAAGATGGCAGCACAGGTTTTGAATTTTTAAATTTATTTTTTAAATTAATTTTTGTAGGTTGGGCATGCAGCTGTCGGTCTTTATAGAAATTGCCAAATGAGTGGAGAACAAGTAAATGTTTTTAAATTAATTTTATTAAAAACATTTAATTTTTAAGGGACAAATGTCGTTAAATCAATGGAGAGAAAATGGAGAAATGAAAATTGTTGTAAAGGTAAAATTTTTTAATCTTTAATACAAAAACTTTGAAGTTATTTTAAAAATTTGTAAAAAATATTTTTTTTACACTTTTTCTCAATTTTTAACCACGGTGCTTATTTACTTTAACATAAGTATACAACCCATTTATTCACAAATTCAAAATAGTCAAAGTAACTTTATTGAAGTCGGCAAGGCACTTGTCTCTCGGGAGTCTACGTGTCCACAACGGTTGCTTGGTTTTGTGTGCATTACATAAGCCTACTGATATCTTGCGAATACTTAAATTAAATAAGTTCCACCAAAACCTCTAATTTCATTAATTAAAAATTAAATAAAAATATCCTCTTTTTAGGGAGAAAATGCATCCCAATTAGACGAATTAAATAGAAAAGCAAAAGATGCCGGTGATGTTTTTGTTTATCTTGTACGTGATGCCGGTCATACACAAATCCCTGCTGGGTCTAAAACTGTGTTGGGAGTTTTTGGAACAATTGAGGCTGTTGATAGAATAACTGGGGGATTGAAACTTTTTTAAAATTTTTTTCGAATATTTGTATCTCTTTTTTTTTAATAAATTTTAAAACAAAATATTTATTTAAAATCCATTTATTCCCTAACAAAAAAAATATTGCACATTAAAAAGAAATTTTATCAAAAATTCAATTTTTATTTTCCTCCATACGCGGAATAACCTCCCTGCTGTCCGGGCATACAATTTGCAGCAAAACTATTATACCCGCTACCATATCCAGTATTACTATATGGAGAGGCGGCATAACTAAAAAGTTTATAAAAAATATTTTTAACTCTAAATTGTTTCTTTAGTTTTATTTTAAAAGGACACAATTAAATAACACCAAAATACTAGTTGATAAGTTAAATAGTATGTTATATTTTGGAGGAAGCTTTGAAGATTGTCTTTATAGTAGAATATTTTAAGGTGTATTTATATCAAGTTATCTAGCTTTATTTTTAATTTACTACATACCCGCTATAACCACTCATACCAGTTTGGCCATAACCTCCTGCGCCGTAACCTCCTGTCCCTCCATAACTTCCATAACCGGTTGCACCATAACCACCCCCGTATCCACCCCCATATCCGGCATTTCCATAACTAAAATTTAAACAATTTTGGAATGATTGGAAATATTTTTAAGAAATATAAAATTTGCCCTGCTTGGCCATAACTGCCATAACCACCCATTTGGCCATAACCACCACCCATTGCTCCATAATCACAAGCAACTTGAGAAAATACAGTAGAAGAGTTTTGCAATAATATCAATAATGAGAGGAAAATGAAGTGAAAAGATGAGCTTTTGAGGGAGGAAAAAAATATTTTTAAAAAATTATTAAATTAAAATACTATATGAATAAATGGATGCTTCTAAACAATCTCTAATATTAAAAAAAAGGCATCCACATTTTATTAAAACCCTTTCCTAATTTAGCTAGAGAATCTGTTTAAAATTAAAAACTTACAATCCTTTGAATGAAAGCATTTTATAAAAATTTAATAAAATTTTAGGGAAGAAAAATTTAGTTTAAAAGTTAGGAATTTATTTTTCTTTTTAGTAGATGATTTTATTTTTGCTTAAAACTTTTCCAAGGCCAACACATTTTATATACCCCAAAAACTTTTATTTATTTACCTCAAAACTTTAAAGTTTTTTTTCTATTTTTGTGACCTCAATTTGTTTAGACTTTTTATAAACATTTACTTACTTAAATTCTTTTTTTTAATCCACTCAATGTGTGGGAGAAAGAAGAAATAAATATAAAAAGATTATATTTAGACGGAAACACCCGTTTTTATTGCGCAACTCAAAAATAAAAAAAATTTTGTGAACATTAAAAAGAAAAGAATAATATTAACAAAGGGCAGACAAAAATCTGATTATTTTTTGAAGTTTACACTGTTGGATACTTCATTTGCAGTAACTCTTGATTGTAATAAATCTCTCCCTTTTTTATTCAAAAATTCTAAAATCCGCAAATTTTTGTCCGCTAAAATTTTTTACAAATTTACTTTTACAATTTAAGCTGGAACGAAAATAGTATTTACGTAAAAAATGAATTAATAAGAAAGAAAAAAAGCAAAAAATATAAAGTAGATGTAGCTACAAAAATGCACCAATTTGTTTGTAGAGAAGAAAAGGATTAATTAAAAGCAACAACAAAAATAAATATAAAATTAGTGGAATTGTTTGAGAATATAAAAAATATGTATGTAAAAGAAGTAATGTAAAAATAAATATATTTTTTAATATAATTATTTCTGTCTTTCTAAAACATTAAATAATTTTATAATTAATTTTAAAAAATATTTTCTTTTCCAAAAAAATCCAATCAAAATCATGTCAGGGTTTTCTGATTAGGATATTTTCTGTTTTAAATTTAGTAACGTTATTCTTCCAAAAGTTAGAAAGAAAATCAGAACCAGTAGAATACAAAATGTTATTTATTCTCTTCCAGATAATTAAAGAGAGATCTCTATTTTAGTTGATAGTCTCAAAATTAAAATTTCTATTTTCTAAATTAACCCACAAATTTTTTTACAAATTTTTGATTAATTTTGTGAAGTTATTTCAACAACTTCCTGTTCTTCCTCCTCCTCCTCCTCCTCATCTTCTTCTTTAACTACAGATGCTCTTTGTTGTTGTTCTCGTTGTATATTTAATCTATTTTGACGTGATTCAAAAGAAAAAAGAGAGGCTGTAGGTGCTGAAGCAATTACTGAACTATATGGAGGTGGGGGCTGTTGTGGTGGAAGGGGTGGTTGTGGAGGTTCTTAAATAATTTTTAAAAAATTTAAGGAAAATAATGAATGTTTTTAATATCTGATAGGTTATTTTTGGGGAAACTTATTTGAACCAGATTGTAAGCCTTGAAATAAAGGAGGAAAGGAAAAAATGGGATTGGATGATCCAATAAGGATAAAGATATACCGGTGGTAAGGTTTAGCTATAAGACCTATACTATTCGACTCAGCTCGTCGAGACGAATCGGATTGTATGGGTCTTGCATCGAAACTTTACCAACGGCATACTATACTACAGCTTCGGATAATACCGAATTTTAAAGTATGTTTCTCCCAAACAAATAAGAGAGGTAAAAAAAATTTTATTTTAATTACCACATTCTTTTTCAAAATTATTTATTGTATTATTAAATAATGGACGGCTACTAGCTTGCTGTTGTTGTTGTTGATAAGAAGAGGCTATTTGGTAATGATGGTATGGACGTTGAAATGAGCGCCTTTGTTGTTGTTGTTGTGCATTATTAAATTGTGGACGGCCTGAAATTTAATTTTTTTAAAAAATTTTCCGAAAAATTTTTTACAAGAAAATTCTGAGGAATCGGCAGCTGAGCATGTTGATCTTCCAATTAAAATATTAGAATTACTACTAGCTTTTCTTCTATGCAACAAAGGACAAAACCGAGTACGCCTACATAAATAAGAGCAACAAATAAATAATAAAAATATTAATGCCAAAATTAAAAGTACAAGTTCTGGAATATGTCTGCAGAGAGAGAAAAAAAAGAAGAAAATTATTTAAAGAAAATTATTGAGCAATTATTTTTACCCTGAAATAAATTTCTTTCTAGCTTCTGATGCTAATTCTGATTCTAACTCATTTTTGTGTTGTTCTGTACCTAAATATTAACTTTAAATTTTAATTTAAAAATGAAATTTAATTAAAATTTACAGTCAATTATTTACTCTTTAGTTAATATAAAACCTGGGAAAGTAAATTTGAATATATGTAAAAAGTAAATTTTTTTTGGTAAAAAAATGAAGAGAATGCTTATAGCCTTTATTGAGAGAATCCTCATATAATAATTCTGTATATAAAATAGAAGGGGGTTTGACTTGAAAGCAGAGGTAGCTCGGAACAGTCAGAGGTGTCGGAAATCGGAACTGGCTCAAAAATCGGAAATCAAAATTTTTTTCGAAAACCGGAATTTCGCCCCACCTCTGCTTGAAAATAAATAGAGAATTAATTAATTGACTGTACTTAAAATATAATTATTTTTAAATTCAAAAAATCTACAAACAACAAAAGAAAGATCCACTAGTTATTTGTGAAGGACAACAGGCTATAAATTTAAAATAAAAATATTTTTTCTTTAAAAATAATTACTACCAACCAATTTCTTCTGGTTCATCTTTAAAATCTGGACATATTTTTATACTTTTAGTTAAACTTTTAGTTTCTTCATTTTCTTCATTTAAAGAAGACAAACAAATTTTTGAATTAATTAATGATATATTTAAATTAAAAAGAATAAAAAAGAAAAAAAGTTTTTTTGAAGAAGAAGAATTGTTGTTGTTGTAATAGGCACTCGAATGTATAAATAATATAAATATATTTAACATTTTTATCCATTAAATTTTTAAAAAATAGGGAAAAGAAAAATATTAAAAATAAATCTTAAAAAAATAAATATATTTTTTTAAATAAAAAAATGGAGGAAGTCCCGTTTCCCGTCGATTCCCGATTTCCTTATCTCTCACATCGTTTGAGAGATTTCGATTCTCGTACGACTCCCAGTCCGGTCTTTACTACTTTTACAAATTTAAATAAAATAAAGCTTGCATAGACCCATTAAGTTTTTAAATTAATAAAAAATATTAGAGAATATAGTTGTTGTTGACAAATAAAAATATTAATAAAAATTAGACCATAAAATATGACAATAAAATGTATAAAATGGATGAAAGGAATAAAAAGGGGTTAATAATAATCTTGTTTAACATTAAACAAAAAATAAAAATAAATTTATTTTTATTAAATAAAATTATTACCCCTTTTATGTTAAAATAATGGTTAATAATTAATGTTAGTCCAATTTTGTAAATTTTCTTCAGAAAAAAATTGAAAAAAAAACGAATTTAAACTATTAGGTAAATATAAATTTGTTTGCCAACTAAAATTAAATATAATTGTCTATAAAATATAGATTTGAATGCCTTGTAGTAGTAAAAAAATAAATAAAAGTTCGGATTTTTAAAAACTGTCAAATTTTCACTTTTCTGCAACCTATTCCTGGCTTTTTATTTTAGATTGCCTATTTTAAGATTTTTACAATCTAGAAATCCTTAAACTTAAAAAGAAAATCTTTATAAAAATCTTATTTTTTTGACATTTTAAAATTCAATAAATGTTTTTTTCCTTGTCATCATCTTTTTATTTATTTATTTCTCCGCTTCACACAAAAAATCTCCCCAAATTGAATAAAAAAAAAATAAAATAAATTTAAGGAAGGGCAACGAAAAAAAAAAGAAAAGAGGAGGACAATGCCAAAAAACGACAACAATTCCCCGGATTGAATTCTTAATGAGTTGACTGACTGACAAAAAATGGACAAAAAAAGAAGAAATAATTCGTTTTTTTTATATTTTGGGTGGGGATATTAAGGCAGAAAAAAAGGTTTTGGTTAGGTGCTAATCACAAAAAATTATCAAAATAAAATTAAAAATTATTAGATTTTTTAGAATAATTAAATAATTCTAAATTTAATTTAAAAGGAAATTCTGAAATTTTTGTTAAATTTAAATATTTATTTTAAAAGAATTAACGTAAAACTTTTATTAACTATCCTGGGTTATTATTGTTTACATCTTCCGCTCGAGGGATAATTAATCGATGAAAGGTTTGAAATGTGAACTTATTTTAGAGCATTTGATTGGGGAGTAATTATTATTTTAATTTATCGCTGGATGAGGTAATTAATAGGTGTGGTGAGGGAGGGTAATTAATACAGGTTATACAGTGAGGTGCATATGTTTATGCCGCTTGTATAAAACATCATAAAATTTTACAGGATCGATCAATTTAGACATTCTTGGTCTTAAAAAATAGCTTAAACGATAAATCAGTTGACATCTTTCGGCATTTTCTTCAAATTCGACTTTTCGACCCCTTTTAGACTGGTCGAACAAACAGCCCATTTGCTGGATCTTTGGAAAAATTATCTAGAATCTTGCTAATTTTATATATGATTCTCCATAAAATTCTGTACAAAATGCAAAAAACCGCATTCGAAATGCTTCGGCCCGAACCGAGATATGATTTTTTGAAAATCGAAAAAAATAGCTGAAAACACCAAAAACTCGAAAAATAGCTATTTTTTCGATTTTCAAAAAATCATATCTCGGTTCGGGCCGAAGCATTTCGAATGCGGTTTTTTGCATTTTGTTCAGAATTTTACGGAGTATCATATATAAAATTAGCAAGATTCTAGATAATTTTTCCAAAGATCCAGCAAATGGGCTGTTTGTTCGACCAGTCTAAAAGGGGTCGAAAAGTCGAATTTGAAGAAAATGCCGAAAGATGTCAACTGATTTATCGTTTAAGCTATTTTTTAAGACCAAGAATGTCTAAATTGATCGATCCTGTAAAATTTTATGATGTTTTATACAAGCGGCATAAACATATGCACCTCACTGTACAACAATAATTAAAAAATAAAAATAATTAAAATCCTCCCCCACCCCCTCCTCACCCTCTTCCCTCATCTTCCCTTCTTCTAATTTTCTCCTTTCATAATTTTCCCAATCCTTTGGGGGAACGGAAGACACGGGCCAATTCTTTTTACTTTTCATCAAAAAAGTGGTAAAAAGCACGCAAATAAATTTAATTTTTGGAGGGAAATATTTTTTGGAAAGTTTGTTAAAAAATAAGGAAAATAATTTTATTAAAAGACAAAGTTTTTTTAAATTCCTTTGGGAGAAGAAAGAAAAAAAAGACTTTTTTTAATTACCTAAATGTATACATATATTTTTTTATAAAAAAAGAAAAAAAGAAAAAAAGGTTTTTTGTTATTAATTATTTTTTTTTTAATTAAAAAATTCTTTTTAATTTCAAATAATTCCTTAAAAAACAATTTTATAATATGTAGAAAGAAAAATAAAAGGAGAATATTCGTAAGTTCCTTCTAATATACCTATCCTTAATTAATTAACATTTAAGTGAAGGAAAATAAACTTAGTCGTCTTATGTTTTATATAAAATGATTTGTTATGATTGTTAAAATATGTTTAATGATCGTATTTGTTAGTACATTTCGGACTCGGTTGGCATTGCTGCAAAATTGAGGATAGAAAAAAGTCTGACCATTCTGTACATACATATTAAAAAATGAATGAGGAAAAGGAAAATAAAAACGCAGCCGATAATTCGATAGTATCAAAAATCGTTATAAACTTTTTAAAAAAGAATTTAATAATATTCATAAATTCAAAAACATTTTTTACAATAAATAATTTAAAAAATAAAAATATTCTAGTTGCCAAATGTTAAATCCAAAAAAGTATAAAAATATAAATTTAGAGAAGCTTTTAATGTATAAATAATGTGTTAATGCATAGTATATAAATTTTTATAAACAAAAATTGTTGTGTGAGAGAATAAGGGGGGGGGGGGGGGGAAATGAATTTAAAAAGTAAAAAAAACATAGGGGAAAGAAGCGGGGATAAAAATAAAATTTTTAAATTAATGTTGATTTTATCTAAAAATATTTTACAAAAAAAATTTTGTAAATAAAATGGAGAAAATTTATTATTTTAAAAAAATGAGAAGAAAGATTAAAGAATGTAGATTATCTTAAATTAATCAAAAATATAATAAAAATTAGTCGAACTTTTTTATATTTAAATTTGGAAAATAACTGTAATAATTCTCTAAATAAATCCTCACTAAATTTTTTAATTCCATAAAATATCTATTATATGTATTCTAAATTTAGTGTTTTAATTAAAATTAATTTATTGTAATTATAAAAAAATAGATTTAGTTATTTTAATTAAAAGTTACTAAAATATGGAGACGTCCAAAGCAAAATGCTAAACTTTTGGCCCAACAAGGCAAATGTTTGATTTTTTCAATATTATTTTCATTTTAGGAAGTATTTAAACTTTTGATGCCCAAGGCTACAAAATTTTTGATTTTTTAGCAAGCAAGTGAAGATTTTGGAGGGGAAAGAAGGGAAGGAAAATTAAACTTATTGTGGACACATTCGAAATTTCCTTAAATTTTATCCGACTATAAGGGGGAATTTATAAGAAAGACTTTCAAGAAAGTCGAGACCCAAGACTCGAGACAAAAACCCCAAGAAAAGTCAAGACTCAAGACTAAGAGCCTTGCAAGTCTCTACTAAAAAATCTCAAATTATTTTAAATTAAAAATATATTTATAATTAATTTGTTAATCTTTTTTACACTTTTCAAGGTTAGAAAAAAATTTAAAAAAAAAAAGAAAAAATAAAGCGACAATGCAAGTGACAGAAGACTTGAAAATGTAAAAAGGAGGTAACGACAGCTGGGAGGTTCGCTTGTGTAAATGAATGAATGAGAGGAATGAATACGCCACCTTCCGTGACCAACCAACCAAACGAATAATGAAAAAAGAGAAAAAGAAGAAAATATTTTTTTAAAAAACGTTTATTAGAGTTTTTAAAAATTAAATATTATTTATTTTTTAAAATTATTTTTAATTAATTTAAAAAAATATTTTTTTGAAAAATCAAAAAATAATAATTTTTATTCAAGTAAAAATTCAGAAAATAAAAAAATAAAATTTTAAGAAAAATTATTGAGGACTTAAATAAACTCTTTAAAAATCCTGTAGAGAATAGAGAAAAAAATAATAGTTAAATCGAATCGCGCAGAGCTCTCTATATTTCTTTTTTTTGGCTGTCAGGAAATATTATATAGTGACAGTCATTGATTAGTCAGTCTGCGCATTGAGTAAAAATTGAAAAAAAAAATAAAAATTGCTTTGTTAAAAGAGGGTAATAATTAGAGGGAATTTTTGTTTGTTTTTAAAAAAGTAATCTCGAAGGTATTAATTGAATAGAATGGGAAAAAATGTTGACAAAGTTATTGGAACAAGTATAAATTAATTCTCATGATGAAATATTTGAGGGAAAAAGTGTTACTTTCTATTTAATAATTTTTGAACGTGTTAAAGGATGACTAATAATTATCCTAGATATCTACAGAACAATGAAAAAAATTATTTTTATAAAATAACGAAAAATACAATCTCCTCCTACTAATACTAGTTTTGGAATTTTTGAACAAATTATTTAAGGAATATTTTCACAAAAAATTTTTTAATTTAGTTTCCTCTTCCTAAATAATATTTAAACAAATTACCAATCATAAAAGCATTTTATCAAATATTTTTTTAAATTAAAGATTGGCCAAAAAAAAGTTCAAAAATTACCAAACTTTTCTCCAAAAATATATTTACAATCATCCAAACATCGATTAGCCCATTTATTTATTTTTCCGTCATCGCCTCTTCAACTTTTTTGTTTCTCAATTCATTTTTTGGACGAGGAATAATAAGTGGGGGGGGGGGGGGGATAGTGGTAAAAAAAATAAAGAAATAAAAATGTGGGGACGTTAAAATGCCATTGAGCTCTTTTTTAAATGCCTCTTTTAAGTAAAATATTATTTTAATATTTTTAAAGTCTTTTTATTTAAAGAGAAAGGAAAACACGAGAAAGGAAAACCTTCAAAAATATTTAATTGTTCCGACTTTATATTGTTTACAGGAAAATAATTTTTAAAAAATAGTAAAATTTCAAAAAAGGAGGTTAATTCTATCTGTTTGAAAGGAATAATAGAAATGTTGATTTTTATGAATTTTTAGCCTTGGGTGCAGTGTTAGGATTAAGTCATGGAAAATTTTAGGTCTTGGATATTGGACCACTAAAGATCCACAAATCAAAGAATAGTACGGTTGATCCGAAAAACCCCCTCGGGTAAAAAACGAAAATATTCCTTCCAAATTCCTTTCACATTTTCTATCAAATATTTTTCAATTGGAAAAGAGAATTAAAACTTTCAGTACCAAATTTTGTTGTTATTTCATTAATATCTCCATTCTTAAAAAGAACTTCAAGATTGCTAGCTCTATCGATCAACGAGTCTTTTTTGCGCCATGTAGTCGAAGAAGTTGGAAGTTGTACAGAATGAAATAAATTTTTGTTTGTTGATCCGTTAAGATTGTTATCTTTTTCAGATAATTCTTTAAAAATTAAAAAATTACTGGTTTATCGATTATTTTTTGAGAAATTATGCTAGATAAAATCATTAACCTAAAATAATTAAATTTGGATTTAAATTCAACGGAGTAATGTTTCGTTCCCATGACTACGTGACTGGATTTTAGTAATTAAAAACACTCCAGAAATTAATCAAAACTGAGTTTCCAATGCTTAACTTATCCACCTCCCTAAAATTTCCCAATAAATCTCTCAGGTTTTAACAGTATTTAAAAAAAACTAACTACTAACCATTTTCTTTTCCAAACAATATTTGTTCTCCCAATTGAAATAGACCACCTCCACCAACATTACTATCATCGTCTAAATCAGCAGAATTAATTTGTTGATCATTTACCCCATTCTGTTGTAATTCATTTTCCTCCTCCTCTTCATTATCAGAATTATCAATTTCACCAAATTTTCGTTTAATTCCTTTTTTGTTTTGTTCTAATTGCCATTCCAATATTTTTATTCGCTTTTCTCTTCTAATCTCAACCTCTCCATCATCTTCCTCATTTAAATCCTCTCCATCTTCAATGTTAAAAATTTTAGACCAATCAATTTTCGAATCTCCTTGCATTCTAAAACGAAAGCTTCGGTCACTGCTCCCAACCTTAAAAAGTTTTTGAGTTCTTCAAATTCAAGTATTACCCAGAAAAATTAGGAAACTGGGGAGAAAAGACTAATAAGAATTTTGAGATAACCTTTCATCTTTTTTAATTTATGTAAAAAGAATTAAAATATCAATTATAATTTTTTCCATAAAACCAATACATAAAACCCAATAGTACTAACCAGATAAAAATAATTTTAAAAAATACATGGTTGTGTAGATCAGAATCAGCAAAAAACGCCTCTTGCAATTTTAACAAACGTTTATCATCCGCATCCCTTTCATATTTATTATATTGTCTAATTAAATTGTCTCTAATTTCATCTTCATTTAACTTTAAAAAATAAAATTTTAAAATTTTTAACAGAAAAATTCAGAACCTTGTCATGATCTCCTTCTTCAGCCTCATATTCATCCATCCCTTCAATATCATCCATTTCGTCGCGATCTGAACCAATATCATCACCAGACAGAGATGCTTCATCGTCAAACATTTCTTTTCTAAAAGAAAATTTTTTAAAAATAATTAGATCGAGATTTAAAAAACCGGGTCCGGGAATCGGGTTCTGAAGGCGGGAGGGACCCGGACCGGGAAAACAGGGAGTTCCCGTTCCCGGTTGCTTCAAAAAACCGGGAAAAGGGACCCGAAAACCAGGAAAAGGATCCCGTTCCGATCTCTAAAAATAACATTCAAAAAAATACTTTTTCAATTAAATTAAACCTTCAAATTTTAATTCACTTACAAATTTTGTCGTTTTGACTCTGCTACATTTTTAGGAATTTCTTCTTCAAAATCTTCCTCTTCCTTCTCTGCTTCATCTATTGATTTATCCAATTGATTATCTCCATCATCATCTTCGACAGTGAAAAGGTCAACAACGCTTTGGTTAACAACAAGTTCAGATTGAATATGTACTTCTTTCAAATTCTAAAAAGGAAAATAGATTTAAAATAAAATTTTAATTTTTAAATTTAGTTAAAATGTTTGTATTGATTTAATAAAAAAATTTAATTACAATATTTTCACTCTTCTCTTCCTCCAAATCCTCGTCATCATCGATAACATACATTTTCTTATTCGGAACATATTCTCCACAAACTGACTCATTTTCTTCCTCTTCCTTTTCTCCTTCACTGTCAGTATATTCTTCATCCTCAACATTTTCTTCTTCATCCCCTTCATAATCAGAAACATCAACATCCGTCTCCTTATCATTTTCTACTTCAATATTTTTAACTTCATTTTCATTTAATGGAATTACATTTTCTTTTTTAGATTTATTACTATTCAATTCATTATCAGATAATTCTTCCTCGCACTCACTATCCCCTTCTTCATTTTCAGAAATTTCATTTTCTACATTGTAAAAACTAAATTTAAAAATAAAAAAATATTTAAAAAAAAATAAATACTTATGCCGCATTTCCAAATCTTTATGCCTCCTTTGTGCCAATCGTTTTGCTAATTCAGTTTTAAAATCAGTAGCTTCTAAAAATAAAAATCTAGAAAAATTTAAATTAAATTACTTTTAGTGTCAGTCTTTTTATCCAATCTTGCATGTCCAAATTTATTCTTGAACCATAAAGAAGCGCCATCCTTTGGTTGAATTTTCGACATAAATAAAGTGTTAAATGTATGTTAATTAATTGAAAAATGAATAATCCTAAAAAAACACCAAAAATTAAAAGAAAAACAAAGAAGGAATTCAATTGTAAAATTTAGAAACAAACAAAACGCCAAACATTAAATAACGACATTTGAGTACAGTTAAGTTAGGATTTTATAAATTTTTGGATAATTTGTAACTTTTTTGTATTTCCTTTTGTTTTTTAACATTTGTAACTTTGTACTCATATCTATCGAGACTTTTAAATGCCATAAAAATAAATCGAATCTGTCTAAAATCAAAAATTTGTATTCAGTAATTAGATTGCGTTACTGAATTGTCCTCCTCTGAATGTCGTTTGAGTCACAGATTTTGAGCCTGAGAGAGAACTTTTTTGGATGAATCAAAGATTTTTTAAACACTTGGTGTCAATTATTAAATTATAATGGAAGGAACTCTAAACGATGTTTGTTTAAAATTTTTTTTTAATTTTATATTCCTCTCTTTTTAGCAAGTCTCTAAAACAATTTTTTCAATATTACAACATTTGGATCCATTACCCTCTGGAAGTTTTGACTTAAATGAATTCGAGAAGACGGTTAATTTTAAAAATTTTTATTATGTCCGTTTTTAAAGGTTACAAAATTTGCTAATGATTCACAACAAATTGCTCCTGTACTTTTATTTAATTCGCCAGTTATTGCTGACGAATGGAAACTTTTGGAACAGTTTGTTAATGCTCTTAATTTGGACTATGAAAAACGAACAATTTTGTTAAAGAAGCGGATTGAGGTTGCTATGGATTCTTTTTTATGGTCAGAAAGGGTTAAAAAGATGGAGGGGCAGATTCGACAAATTTGTGATAAAAGTTTATTTAAAGAAGCAATTTTTAAACCTGTCAATTTGGAACATTTAATTGCTGCAGATTCGAGTTTGATTTCTTTTTTTATTTTATTTTTTTTTAATTTTAGATTTATTATTCATGATTAAGACAAGTTCAAAAGAATTAAGAAAGAAGACTAGAGTTCAACAAGTTAACGACTTTAAAATGCCTGTCGGTGTTGTACCGGATAGGGGAGGAAGGACTGAGATAATGACTCCGTTACAAAGAGAAACTTTTGACCAACAGGAAAAACAAAGAGCACAACAATCTTTTCAAGGTTAAAATTTTTTTTAACCTTTTAAAATTTATTTTTTATTTTTAGAGAGACGACGAGGTGGAGGGGGTGACAGAGGAGGAGGTAGAGGTGGTGGTGATAGTGGTCGTTTAGGATACTTCCCTGATGGTCAGCAGCATGGAAGTCGAGGAGGATATCAAGGAGGGAGTGGAGGATATCAAGGTCGAGGCGGGTATGGTGATTTTCGCGGTGGAAAAGGAGGGGGAGGAGGGCAAAAACGAGGACGTTATAATTAGTAATTTTGTTGTTAAATTTGCTCAATTGTTTTTTCGATTTGATATTTTACTGTTTTCTTTTTAAACAAGAAAATTGTAAATTATTTAAAAATTATAGAATCTTTAAATTTTCAAGACTACTTTATTTTGTTAATTTATTTAAATTATTTATTTAAAACGTTAGGATTATATGTTTTTATTATTGTTGAATGGAATAAAGTTTATCGTTTTTCCATCAAATTCTGATTAATCTTGAAATCTAATTTTATATCTTTTTTATTTTCCTTTTTATATTCAATTTCCTTAAATAGATGTTATGTTATTTTCTTAGTCGTTTTATCACAAACAGGTTTTTACTTAAATCATTTACAAATGTCTACCAGCCTCAGTCAAAACTCTGCAATGTTGCTTCATCTTCAAAATTATTAGAAACGTGCAATGGAAGGATTGTTAATTTGAGGAATTCATCTTCAGGTCTGCCTAAATACTTTAAAAACTAATTAACATTTTTCGATTCTCTTTATTTTATTTGCTGCTAATTTTCAAAAATATTTTTAGATGTTTTTCAGCATTGTGATCACATTCGAATTGATGACCTTGCAGCTGCTAAACAAATTGCAAGCAAAATTGGTCCAGCTGAAAGAGAATTATTACTTCAAATTCTAGTTAAAGAATCACCAAACTATACAGATATTCGTAATGGCGAAGAAGGTGTTCTACATATTTTTAGAAATTAAAAAATTTCTTTTAGACGGTGAATTACATATTGACCAACTCAGACAGTTATTTACTATTAATACAATTCCTTTTATTGGGTTTGGATTTCTTGATAATGCAATAATGGTTTTGGCTGGTGAATATATTGATCAGTCTTTGGGAACTCTTCTTTGTATTTCAACGATGGCTGCAGCTGCTTTGGGGAATATAATTTCAGGTTAATTTTTTTATTATAAAAATTTAAAAAAACGTTTTTATTTCAGATGTAGCGGGTGTTGGACTTGCTCATTATGTTGAAGGTAATTTTATAATTTTGTAGTTGATCATGTTTTTTTATTTAGTTTTTGTTACTCGACTTGGTTTTAAAAGTCCAACGCTTACCTCTAAACAAGTTTTTTTCTTTCAATTATTTTTTTTTAATTTCTATTTATAGTTGGAATCTCGTAAGGCTCGTTTAACTGTAAATCTGGCAAGAGCATTTGGTTTAATTGTTGGTTGCCTTTTGGGAATGTATTTTAAAATTCATAATTTTGTTTTTTATTTTCAATTTTAGGTTTCCTCTTCTATTTTTTAGTGAAGTGGATAAATCAAAAAGTGAAATTGTTCTCTAATATCTAATATTTTTTGAATTTTTTAATTATTGTTTATGGAGGAAATCCCAGAAATATTCTCTTAAATATTTTCGTTGTAATTTGGGATAATTCCGTAATCTGGTTATACCTATATTAAAATTTATAGTTGATTAACAAACATTTCATTATTAGTAGAAGGATTTCCACAAATAAACAATATTTGGATTTCGCGTAATTTCTATTTCATAGTTTAGTCTCCTATATCTATTGTATTAAATTAGTCTTATTTCTGGTCATCTTTAAATTGTTGCATTAATTTACGATTCTATTATACCTTTATTATAGTTATAGTCAAATTGTTTCTCAAATGCTTTAAAATATAGTACAAGTGCATTTAATATATCTATTTAATTGTAAGATTCGATTCCATGTGCAATAAGTGTCATATAATATATTTTTGAACAAAAAATATTTAATGTTTTTTTTAAAATATTTAATAGGTTTATTACCAAAATTTTTCTTTTAACGAATTTTTAAATTACTTTTTTCTTTTAGACTTTATTTTTAATTCATTGCATAATGTCAAGTGCTCCCAAGGAGAGGAAGCGTGTTGGAGAAATTCTCGAACTTGAACGAGAAATTCAAAAGCGATGGGAAGAGACTAAGGCTTTTGAAGAGGAAAGTCCTCTGGAAGAAAAGTTTTTTTTAATTTAATTTTTAAAAATAAAATAATTTTTAGGCCTCCAAAATTTATGACAACCTTCCCTTTTCCTTATATGAATGGACGATTACATTTGGGACATACATTTACGTTGGCTAAATGTGACTTTGCTGTTGGCTATTATCGTCTTAAGGGCCGTAAATGTCTTTTCCCTTTTGCTTTTCATTGTACTGGAATGCCAATTAAGGTTTTGTTAAATTTTTATTTGTAAAATTAATTTTTATTTTTAATAAAGGCCTGCGCTGACAAATTAAAGAGAGAAATGCTTATGTACGGGAATCCGCCCAATTTTTCTGAGGAAAATGATGTAGAGGAGATTGTTGGAGAAAATGGGACTGTTAACGAAAATGAACTTGACGATATTACAAGAGATAAAGCAAAGGGGAAAAAGGTTTTTTCTAATAATTTTTCTTTAATTTTGTTTTTTTGAAGAGTAAAGCTGTGGCCAAAACTGTTGCAGCCAAATTTCAATGGCAAATAATGGAGTCGTTAGGTCTTACCAACGAAGAAATTGCAAAATTTTCTTCTGCCGAGCATTGGTTGACTTATTTTCCAGAGAAATGTGAATATGATTTGCGAAAGATGGGATTGAAGGTTTTTAATTAATTCTATATTTTATTTAATTTTAAAATAGGTTGATTGGCGTCGTTCATTTATTACAACAGACGTTAATCCCTATTTTGACTCCTTTGTGCAATGGCAGTTTTTAAAGTTAAGAGAGGCTAATAAATATATTGAATTTGGAAAAAGGTTTTTTAGGTTTAAAAATCATATTTATAGTAAGATTTACAGGTATACAATCTACTCTCCTAAAGATGGACAGCCTTGTATGGATCATGACAGAGTGACTGGCGAAGGTGTTGGACCTCAAGAATATACTCTTGTTAAAATTAAGGTAGTGTTAGTTTGAATCATTTCTTGATTCTATTTTTTAATTTTTTATATAAAAATATTATTTTTCAGGTTCTCGATCCCAAACCTAAAGTATTTGACAGTTTACCTTCGAACATTCCAGTCTTTTTTGTTGCCGCAACTCTTCGACCTGAAACGCTATACGGCCAAACAAATTGTATATAAATTCAAGCCTGATATATAATTTTTTCTTTTAAGGTTTTCTTCATCCAGACTTAATTTATTCCTTCTTTTATGTTGGAAGCGATAGTTCTGAAATTTTTATTGCAACTGAACGAGCTGCTTTAAATATGTCTTTTCAAGGGATGTTACCAGTAGAAGGGGAAATTAAATATGTAAAAGGTCTTGAAAAAGTTAAAGGGGAAACCCTTTTGGGATGTGCACTTTCTGCTCCACTCACGTCTTATGAAAAAATTTATTCATTGCCAATGATGTCAATTAAAGCAGATAAAGGTTTTCTGTTAAAAATTAAAATTTTAAAATTAATTTTAAGGTACTGGTGTTGTTCTAAGTGTACCATCTGATTCGCCAGATGATTATGCTGCTTTGTGTGATTTGAAAAAGAAAAAGGCTTTACGTGAAAAATATAATATTTCTGATGAAATGGTTCTTCCCTTTGAACCCATTCCAATTTTGGATATTCCTGACCTTGGACAACTGGCAGCCGGTTTGTTTTTTTTAATTTCTAATATTTTTTTTAATTTTTAGTAAATATTTGCCAAAAGCTGGGAATAACAAGTCAAAATGATAGAGTGAAGCTAGAACAAGCCAAAAAGGAAGTTTATCTGAAAGGCTTCTACCACGGGGTTTTTGACTATTTTTTAGTAAAATAATATTTAAAAATATTTAGACGATGCTTGTTGGTGATTATAAAGGTGAAAAAATAGATCAAGTCAAAAAACGCATTCAAGAGGATTTAATAAGCAAAGGATTGGCTTGTAAATATGTTGAGCCTGAAAAGACTGTTGTATCTAGATCCGGAGAAGAATGTGTTGTAGCATTATGTGATCAATGGTTTTTATTTAACATTTTGTTTTTTACATCTTTTTTTAAATTTTTTCTAGGTATTTAAATTATGGAAATCCAGAATGGAAAGAAGCAACAAAGAAATGTTTGTCAAAAATGAATACTTACATGGAAGAGGCTCGTCATTGTTTAGAGAACACAATTGATTGGTTACATGAATATGCATGTTCTCGTATTTATGGACTTGGTATTTAATTTCCTTCTTTTTTAATTTTAAATAATTTTTAGGCTCAAGATTGCCATGGGATCCTAAATATTTAATTGAATCACTCTCTGATTCAACCATTTATAATGCTTATTATACTATTGCTCATCTTCTTCAATCTGACATTTTTGGTTCTAAACCAGGTCTACTTGGATTGAAACCAGAGCAATTAAACACACATGTTTGGGATTATATTTTTATGGGTGTTGGCGAATATGATAAAAATAAAATGGGAGGAATTTCTCTTGAGGCACTAAATAAAATGCGTAGAGAATTTGAATATTGGTATCCAGTAGATATGAGTAAGTTTTTTCTTTTCTTTTCATAAATTCTTTTTTACTTTAAAAGGGGTATCAGGAAAGGATTTATTGCAAAACCATTTGACCTTTTATTTATTTAATCATGTTGCTATTTGGCGAGAGAGGCCCGAAATGTGGCCTTTAGGTATTAGAGCAAATGGACATGCTCTTCTTAATAATGAAAAGGTTTGAATGAACAAAAACTTAATTTAATTTTTTAATAGATGTCAAAAAATACCGGAAACTTTTTGACGTTATATGAAGCGATAGAAAAATTCTCTGCTGATGGAATGAGAATGGCGTTGGCAGATGCAGGAGATGGAATAGAGGATGCTAATTTTATGTTTGTTTTTATTAAAAATTCTAAGAAAATGATTTTGTATTTTTGAAGGTGTGACATGGCCGATGCTGGTTTTCTCCGTCTTTATCAATTTTTAGATTGGACTAAAATTTTATTGAGTAAAAAGGCCACTGTTCCAAAGCCTTTATTACGTTCTGGTGAAATTGAGACATTTGCAGATCGTGTATTTGACAACGAAATGAATCGATTGTAAATTTAAAAATAATTTTTCTTACAATTAATGTTTATAGAATTGAACTTACTGAGGAACATTATGAGAAGACATTTTATAAGGAAGCCCTTAAAACTGGTTTCTTTGAATTTCAGGTCGTTTTATTGAACTTTTAATTTTTTTTGTTTTTTACAGTTGGCTCGTGACAATTATCGTCAACTTTGTGGCAGTGACGAACAAATGAATGAAAAACTTATTTTGCGATTTATTGAAACACAAGCTTTAATTCTTTCACCAATATGCCCACACATTACTGAACATATTTGGTCGTTGTTGGGAAAGGTAAATTATAATAAATTAGAGATTTTTTAGTTTTAGAATGATTTAATTGTAAATTCAAAATGGCCAACAATTTCGACAGTTGATAAATTATTACTTCAACAAAGCAGTTTTGTTAATAATGCCATTAAAGAATTTCGTCAACGTAGAGATGCAAAACTTAATCCGAAAAAGAAAGACCCAAAGAAAGCATTACTTCCGCCCAAAGCTGCAACTATATATTTTACAAAGAAATATCCAGAATGGAAGGAGAAGGCAATTAATTTAATGAGAAAACTTTATGAGGTTAGAAAATTCTTTGAAGTTATAGTTGTCTTTTTGTGTCTCCTCGATTTTCCAAAGGGTTGAGGAGAATCTATTTGTCTGTTGGAGCTTTTGTGTAGTTATAAAACCATCGTTCTCTCTTGGAATTTAAAATTTCTTTTCGATATTTTGGTTATCCTATGGCCAACATAAGATAGACTTTAGGAGAGAAGCACACTTCCTACATATTCTAATACTCTTTTTAGTCAAATAACTCAACATTGCCAGACAATCGTGAAATTATGGAGCTTTTAAATACAACACAATTACCTGAAAAGAAAGAAGTAATGCCTTTTGTTCAATTTGTTCGTGAACGTGTTGCCCAAAATGGAAGCGCTGCTTTAAGTGTAGATGAAGATTTTGATCAAAAAGATGTTTTAGAACAAATTAGAGACTATTTATTGTGTACACTACAATTGGAAAAACTTGATATTGTTGATATTGCTAATGCAACAGATAATGCTAAAGAAGTTGTTGAAGTTATTAAATCATGCTCGCCTGGTTCTCCTTTAATTATCTACAATTTTGAAATGAAGTAAGACAAAAAGAATAGTTTTTTTTTTTAAATAATTGAGCTTCTTATAAATATATAAATAAATACTCGTTGCAAAGAATCCCTGTTTGGTTGATATTTTTCGTGCATTTTTCTTGGATTTTTGAAATTAATTTTTTAGTTGAATTTTTCTAATTTTCTGAATATATCCAAAGATCCAAGTTTGCATAAGAAAATTTAATATTGTTTTTATTTTGTTTAAATGGTTTCTGCTTTGTTGTTAGTTTCTCAATTTAAATAAAATTTCCATTATAATTTTATTTAAATATGCCAACCATAATAAAATCAAACAATTTCACCAGGCAAAAGAATATTTTAATATTCAAACGGGAACAATAATTGACATTATCCAAAGGAAAAATAATCAGAAAATAAAATAACAAAAATTAAACCAACAAATCATTTCCTTCCACCATTCATTCAAAACATAACTTCAATCATTTCTTTGTTTTCTTACGGCTCGGTCCAATTTCTCCCTCCTCTATGTCATCATCCCTTCCTTTTGATTTTCTATTTGAAGTTGACCCATAGAGCGCAGAACGAATTTCGGCAGCCCGATGTTTAACCCAGCTAATTGTTGGAATAATTTCCTAAAATAAATTGGAAGAATTTTGGAAAAATGGAAGAATTTTAAACCTCTTTCTCGCGAGCATTATTCATCCAGCCATAGAATTCATCTTCCGTTATTGGTTCTGAAGCAATGCATTCAAGGGTTCTCTCTGAACGATTGTCAACCTTAAGACGCTTTGAATATTTGGACTTCCCAATTGGAACCTAAATTAAAAAAATATTTGTTTGTAACTATTAAATATATACTTCAGTGTCAACAACGCCCAAAATACGATAGATTGAGTGAAAAGTTGCTTTATCCGTTTTAGTCAAAATTCGAACAAAGCACTTTCTAACCAAATCGTCAAACTTGTCCGGTGACTTCTCAGCAAGACGAATAAGTTTTCCGCGTGAAAGAACAACTGGTTCCAAATCCTCAATATGTCGAACCTTTAAAATATAAAATGAAAACATGTAAAAACAAAGGAAATTTAGAAGAATATACCTCCTCATGTTGTTCATCTTCGTATTCATCGTCATAATCGTAGTCAGACATTTGTAAAGTTTTTATGAAAATCTGTTATGATCCAACTATAATAAACTTAAAAAATTTAGAAAAATCAAAATTTACACCAAATAAAAAGATCTTTTGTCAGAAAAAGTTGAAAGATTTATCAGCAAACGTGAAAATTTTAAATATTTATTTGAGGAAAAATAAATCGACATTTGAATTTTCGCGAAAATTTTGAAGCGAAAAGAAAAAAAGTACTGTAGAATTCGTTGATTATTTCCGGAACGTCCCACTTGTGTACCGGCCGTTTGTGTACCTGGCCATATTTTGAGCCATAACTTTTTCGATTCTTAACTGATTTAAATAATTAATATATCAATCGAAAGCCCTGGATGTGAGGATTATTTTCGCTAAAAGGATTGATTTGATCAGATCATCATACTAAAAGTTAAAGACAGATAAAGATCAAAATCTCGATTGCGCGCATTTATCGAGATGTAACTTTTTATAACATGATCTGATCAAATCAATCCTTTTAGTGAAAATAATCCTCACATCCAGGGCTTTCGATTGATATATTAATTATTTAAATCAATTAAGAATCAAAAAAGTTATGGCCCAAAATATGGCCAGGTACACAAACGGCCGGTACACAATGATCCCCTACCCGATTATTTCATCTTTAAATATTTATTCTCTTGATTTGGTTGATTTAATGATTTTTAAAGCTTGATTTAGTTAAACTTCTGCATTAGTAATTTGTTTTTTAAACATATACATAAATCTTTTTTAGCAAATTCCACTTTAAATGCTATTTTTGTTTACAACTTTATACAATTTTTACGTTGAGAGAAAGAAGGCTGATACAGCGATCAAAAAATTTAAAAAGTTTGTTGCGAAGAAGAATGAACAAATTCGAAGAGAAGACGCCGGTATATTTGATGGGTCTGTGACTTCATCAGACTCTTTGGATGACGACAATTTATGGTTTATTGAGCGCAAGTACAAAGAACTAAAAAAATGGTTGAACTCGGGAATTAAAAAAGCCAAGGATTTTGTCAACAGAAGGAAGCCTAAAAATAAAAAGTGAGTTTAAAACACATTTTTGAGGACCTAAAATAAATTTATTTAGAGTAATTGAAATGCTTCAACTTTTTGGCTTATTTCTTTTCTTACAATTTATTGGAACTATTTTCTATATCGTCTATGCTATCAAGTTTCCTGATAATACGCCATTGTAAACTTTTCTAAACTTTAAAATTAAAATAAATTTAAATTTAAAAAAGAGTTGGTTTGGTGTCTGGACTAGTTGTAAATTGTGCACTACCGGTAATATTATGGTCCCGCCATTTTCGCTGTATTTTCTATGTGATGCTTTCTTCGCTCATTGGAGGGAGATTACGCCTTATTTTATTAATAACTATGGTGGCTTGGGCATTTGAAGTTTTTTTGTTTAATTATTTAAAAATTAAAATTATTTTTAAAAGTATCCAGTACAAAACACAACGGCAAATATCGAAAATGTAATGGAAGGAGTTAATTGTGTTACACAAAATGTGAAGGCTGTGGCTAAGGAAATGAAGGAGAGAGCTGGACACGCAATTGGTGAAGTATGGAAAATAACTTTTTTTTTTGTTTTTTAAATCATTTAAAAATTTTTTGTTAGGCTGTTCCAATGGATAAATTACGTGATTTAATGACTGCCCAATCAATGCCTTTTGAGAATGTAAAGAAAACGTTAAAAAAAGTTGATGAAGCTCTCGGGAAGTAAATTTAATAATTTTTCTAAAAATTTATTAATTTAAAGAATGATGAAATGGCAAAAAAATTTAATTGACAAAATAAATGGTTTAATGAAAAATTGTTCAGCCCTAGCGCAAATACCTTTTAAAGCGGTATTTTTTAGATAAAAAAATTTTTTTGTTTAAAATTTATTTTTTCTAGTGTATTGGTTGGCTTGAAGAACGTCACAAAGATTGTTTTAACAGTTATCCTGAATTAATATGTAAACCAATTGAATTAATTAAAGGAATTTGTTATGCTACAAAAATATTAGAAATTCATTGTACTTGGCCAGGAAAAGTTAAAAGTGCTGTGAAAGAAGGTGTTGGGAAATTTGTTAAAAATTCAAAGCAAAGAATAATTAATTATACAAAAAATACTTTTTTGTATAAATTATTTAATAAAACGGTAAATGGGGGAGGGATGGGGAAAAGGAATAGAGGGGGGGAGGGATGGGTAATGGGTAGGGACGGTAATGGGGGGAATGGAGGAAGAGGAGGGATTTTTGGGAAGAATAATAAGGGGGAAGGGATGGGTAATCGGTAGGGAAGGTAATTGGGAGGAGGGGTAAGGACGGTAATGGGGGGAGGGGATTTTTGGGAAGAATAATAAGGGGGAAGGGATGGGTAATCGGTAGGGAAGGTAATTGGGAGGAGGGGTAAGGACGGTAATGGGGGGAGGGGATTTTTGGGAAGACTTATTTTTAAAAATATTTTTTAATTAATTAAAGATAGCAGAAACAAGACAATTAAAAACTTTAAATATTTCAATTACTCGTGATCAAAATATGAGTGACCATTTTGCTTTTGATCGAAAGAAAATGCATAAAGCTTTACACGATGAAATATCAACTTATGAAAATATAATTAATGCAATTGTTTTTTTATTAGATTCTGTTTCTATTGCGATGATATTCTTTACACCTTTTATGGTAATTTTTAATTAGAGAGAGGGGAGGGACTTCCAAAAATATTTTTTCTTTATTTTTAAAGGCAACTTTATATGTTAGAAGATTTAATACAGGGGAAGCTATTGATAATTTTTATGTTACCCCAAATTTTATTGAAATTGATCGTGCTCGGGCTCTAAATGGTTTACCTACATTATTACCATTTCAACCAATAGAAAGGAAAAGCGTAAGAAGGGAGGGGAATGTTTTTTAATTAAATTTATTTTTTTAAAGATAATTTATACTTGTACTCGCCGTTTAATGTTTAAAGAATGGGTACTTTTTTGTGTTTATCATTTATTTCTAATGATGTCTGTTGTCCCAATTACTTGTTTTATTATTGTTGATATTTTTGTTTATCGAATTCTTCGAAGAGTTTTTATTTTTTTGGGACAAGATTTTACAACTTTTGCCGTTCCAAATATCTATACAATTAAAGTAAAAATTATTTTTTTTAAATTTTATTTTAAAATTTCTTTTAAAAAAGATTACCGGAAAAGGATTTTTAAATGATTTATTACGAAATATTCTAAAAACTTTTGAACCTTTAACTGATAAAGAACAGCGTGATGATCTTTGGAGGCATTGTTTTAAACAGCCAATACAGCCTAGATATGATATTTTTTGGTTTATGTTTATTATTTATATTGTCTCTGTTTTGTTAATGTTTTTACAGGTATTTTTGTTAAATTAAAAAAATTAAATCTTTTAATTTTTAAAAAAAGATTTATATGCGTCGAACAAGGCATATTATAGCAACACATTTTTATCCGGATAGAGCCCAACCACGAGCATTACATTTATACAACAAAGTCCTGGAAGAGAGAATGAGGCGGTGGGGGATGTTGGCTGATATACAAAAAGCAAAATTTAATGTATTTATTTTTTTTTTTGAGATTATTTGGGAGGAAATTTCTGACATTTTAGAACCCCCCTTTCTCATTCATCTTCCATTAATTTTATTTTTAGGAAGATGTTGGAGATAAAGAAAAATCCCTTCTCCTCAAAGGAATGTCTGTCCTAGCCGAAGACAAACAACGCTGCTGTAGATGTGCCCGAACAGATCTTTGTGTGGAGGATATTGAGTAGGAGATTTTAAAAAATAAAATTTAAAAGAAAATATTTTTATAAAGAAATATTCGTGTCTGTTCTGGATGTTATGCCATTTATTGTGTAGATTGTTTTACTGTTAGAAAGCGCTGTTTTAAGAAAGGATGCAGTTCTCTATTAATGCAAATTGTTGATAATGTAGATTTTTATGTTGACAGTAGTTTAGATGAAGATGAATCTGAGGAGGATGAAGAGGAGAAATATGAAATTGTGGATACAGAAGTTGAAATGGAAGAAGATAAAGTTAGGGAATATGACAAGGAAAGCTTGGAAGGGAAGGAAGAAGAAAGTAAAACTATGGAAGAGACAAAAGAAGATAAAAAGGAAGAGAAAAAAGAAGAAGAGGATAAAACGATGGAAGGAACATGGAATGAAGAGAAAAAAGAAGAAACGGAAGAAGAGGATAAAAAGACGAGGGAGGAGGAGGATAGTCAAATGAAAAAGGAGGAAGAGGAATTTAGTTTGTATAATATTTAGGGTGTTTTTATTGTTTAATTATTTTTAATTTATTGTTTGATTTTTAATATTTCATTGTTTATTTAAAAATCTAAATTCAAATTCAATTTTAATAAAGATTAATAAGTGTCAATTTTATTCACAACAAATTTGTCTGGTAAATTAAATTGTAAAAGACAAAAAAAATAAAAGATTGGGAAAATGAAAAAGAATAAAAATTTATTTATTTAGACCCGTTGATTATAGGGTAAATAATGAATAGAAACAAAAATGGATAAAAGATGAGCAAATGCAGAAAAACAAAATTAATGAATTTGTTTAAAATAATGCCCAAAATAAAAGAAAAAATTTTGGCCAAAAAATTAAAAAAGGCTCTTTTCGGTTATGCTGGAGTCTTCAAACTTTTATCCACAAATTATGTATTTAAAATAATTTTAGAAGTAGAAAAGGAAGAAAAATGCGGTTTTGTAATTTATTTTTATCTCAAAAATTTTTCGAAAAATATTAAATTAGTTAACTTTCATTCCATTATTTCTTACTTCTCTTAAGGTATTATCAATGAAAGGGAGTGAAAAAAAAAGAAAAATTTAAAGGAAAGTATCTTCTTCCTTTACTTTATTATGGATAAAAGTTTGCTGACTTTTTAGGCATAACCACCAAAATACAAAAAATAATTGATAGAATGTTATTAAAAGAAAAAGTTACTATCCACTAGTCCATTGATCTGGTGCAATTGCAAAATAACTGAAAATGAAAAGTAAAAGCCCATAAAGTAAAAAGACCCACCCATCAATACGTTCATAAAATCGTTTTCTGTATTGTTCTGGAGAAATAACAGTTGGCTTAAAAATTATAAATTTAATATTAATAATTTTATGTAGCTATGGGGAAATTCATCATAAAATTTAAATTGGGTTTTAACTGGAGATTTTAAAAGTATGGTGTTTAAAAGTTTAGTTTATTCTATTCATTGGAATAAATGGGAAATTTTCGGAACATCACCTACTTTAAGTAATGGTCAATTGTATTTTTAGTGAATTAAATTAAATACTCATTTAATTAACCCATACATTAAATACTCACCAAATTGCTCATAGGAAGGGCAGTTTTCTGAAGAAAAAAATATTTTTAAATAAAAACTCAAAAAAAACTTACAACAAGACTTTCAACTTTTTTATCCAAAGTAAATGTTCTCTTTAAAAAAATAAAAATTTATTTTCAAAATATTCCAAAAAACCATATAATCAACAATTCCAACAATAACTTCATCTTCTTGACCACGAGATATTCCAGCCAAAAGACTGTAATCCATAATACCCTGATTTGCAAGAAAATTGCTGTCGTTAATAATTGCTTGGCTAAGTAAAGTTTTTGAATGTGGGAGTAAATATATTTGGTTTCTCCAAATATCCTGAAGGTAATTTTCGTCTAAAAGGACAGCAGAAGGATAAATACTTCCATCTTGATTTAAATTGGATGAAGATTTTGTTGAGGCTAGTCTTTGAAAAAAAATTAAATGGAAAAAATAAAAAAGGGTTGATAGGTGTATTTTAAAAGGTTATTTATTAAATATTGAGAAAGGTCCCTGTTGGAAATTAATTAGTGTCTCGGTGTTAATTAGTACCTATTTCGAAGAGATCCTTTCAAATCCCAAATTTGTTTAATATCCTAAAAATAAAATAATTTAAATAAATAAAATTCCTCCTTTAAAAACCTTTTTATAAAAAATATATTCCATAACTAAATAATTATTCTTTAAAGAATGTCCATTTTGTTTATTCACATAATTTATTCCATAAGCTCCAAAAATCTTTATTTAATTGGTTCCGTTACTTTTGCACCGAGAACATTTGCGCCGCCATTATTTAAAAAAAATAAAATAAATAGCTACAGTCGGACTTCACTATAATGTAACCCTTAAGTTTAAAAATGGTATCAAGGAGCTTAAAGTCAGGAGGTACAAATATTCTCGACGCAAAAGTCATGACAGCATTTACTTAAAAAATAAAATCTTTTAAAATTACCTTACAAAGAGCAGTTGGCCTATTTTCTTGTTTAACTAAATTCATATAGTCAATATACTAAAAAAATAAAAATATTTATTTTTTAAGTAAATAATATTAAACACCTTTTGAGAACAATTTTTGAAAGAATCCAATTCAAAACGCGAAAGTGTTTTTAATACAAAACGTTCATCCTCTGTACGGAAAAAGGAGGCACCTAAAAATTAATTAAAGTTAAATCTCGATTTTTAAATAGATATACAAAGGGATGTTATTCGTACTTATTTTGGAAGAGAAGTTTTTTTTTTAATTTATATTTGGTTGCTCCAATGTAATGAGGAAATTTTTTAACAAATGTCCTAGTATAAAAGTACAGGAATTTCCATATATCTTACCGACAACAGCTTCACTTGCAGCACGATACTCAACCCCAATCAACAACGATGGCGAACGGCAAGAAGGATGATGACGGCAAGAAAAGCGGCGGAGAGCGAAGCGTGATCAAGGGGGATGGTGGTAAGTGCGAGCAGGCAGTCCAAGGAAGGGAGCAGCAACAACAGGAGGACGCTAACACGAACACGGAGATGATCTCGCGTCTTGAACCGATGGAGGCAATCGCTCTGAATATTGGGACTGTGGTCGGCAGCGAAGGACACAGGAAATGGCACGTTCTCAGCAGGTTAGGATCTGGCGCGTTTGGTGCTGTCTATCTGGTGGAGGAGGAGGGTGCCAAGAAGGAGGAAAAGTATGCCTTGAAGGTATGTTGTTAGAAAGTTTTAAATTTTGGACATTTTTACTATTTAGGCAGAGCGCCTCTCAGCTCAAGTGCAGATGTTGGCCGTCGAAGTGCAAGTATACCAGGCGCTGATGGCAAAGGCAGTTGAAGGAAAACGCCGGTACCCGTTGCTGATTGACAAGGGAGCCTGGAACAATCAGTGCAACTACTTGGTCATGTCATTGGTCGGCCCATCACTTGAGGTGAGTGATGATTTATTTGTAAGTTTGGCCTAACTTTGCAAATATATTATTTTTAAGGATCTTCGGCGTAAGCGTCCCAACAACAGGTTTTCCATGGGCACGGCTCTGATTGCGGCAAAGAAGACTTTGGCGGCGATTGTACAGATGCACCTCGTCGGATTTCTTCACAGAGATGTGAGTTTTCATTTTAAAAAGCGAAAATTGAACTTTAATTTCCTTTTTTTCTATTAGATCAAGCCAGCAAACTTCTCGATTGGACACACGGACAAGAATGTCATCTACATCCTCGACTTTGGCATGGCACGATGTTTTGTACGGCCAGACGGCGTACTTAAGCGTCCACGCGCAGGCAACATCGGTTTCCGAGGGACAGCCAAATATGCTTCAAGAATTGGTCACAAACATAAGGAGCTCTGCCGAGGGGACGACGTCGAAAGTTGGTTCTACATGGCATGTGAGCTTGTGAAAGGGAAGTTGCCTTGGCAGCGTGTTGGCTAATTAATTTGTTGGCTAATTAAATGTTTATTTTTTTAGGAAGAAGCTAAAATACGTGACATGAAGATCGAAGCCTTAAGACCTGGGAAGGTGGACGTCAAAGGAAAGGGGCCGAATTCTGAGGCAGCAGCGGGGACGAAGACCAAATCGGAGGCGAAACCCAAGGTGGAATCAAAGCCCAAGATCGAGACTAAGACCAAGACTGAGGCAAAGCCCAAATCGGAAGCGAAGCCTAAGACGGAGACTAAGACCAAAACAGAGGCCAACCCCAAATCGGAGCCGAAGACTAAGGTGGAGCCGAAGACGAAAGCAGAGGAGGGAAAGGAAGGAAGTGCACAGAAAGCTGAGAGGGAGCCGAAGGATCCACGTCGCTTGCTGCTTGGTGGATGTCCTAAACAGTTCGCCAACATTCTTGAACTCGTCGCGCCACTCCGCTATTATGATGACCCGCCGTACGATGATATTGCCGAACTCATAGCTGCAGCAATAAAGAAGATGAAAGTGCAGGTTTGTTGAGAAATGTTTTTTAATCTTTTAAATTTCTTGTATTTTTTCAGACATATCCACTAGATTGGCAAGAAGGAGGGAACAAAGCCTAGAAAGATGCTTGATGTACGGAAGATATTAGCATAAAGAATTGTGATATAATGTTCTCAGATGTGTTGAATTGTTTTCCTTCACAATGTTGTAAATATATATTGTTTTTTCTGTAGATTTGTAAAATAAATTTGACTTGTATTTTTGAGTTTTTTGATATAAATTATTTTAGGTTAGTTGTGTAAATAAAATTGATTAGATAAGCTAGGGATAGTTTTGTCCTCAAGCATTGAATTGTTTTCTTTCACAAACTTTTTGGTTGGCTCGTTGGTTACAGGAAGTGCCAGAGTGATAACACAGATAAGATCCCCAGATTCTATTTTTCAGACCCAAGAGGTGTATCCGAACCGATTTTTTTATAAATATTTGCCAATATATCTCACAATTTATAACTCAAGTTGGCAAGCACTATAATTTTAAATCTCACCACTTTTTCCGCCTTGAGGATACCACGGAGAGGACGTTGAAAGAGAATTAACATAACTACAAACAAAAATATTATAAAATAATTAATTAAAAAATAAACTCTTTTTCGCTGCTGGAAAGAAAATTTGAACGAAATTTAGAAAAATCATTAGCAAAATAAATCTAAAAAAATTAAAAAAATGTATTATTTACTCTTATATAAAAATACCTTTACATTACATTGAATTTTTTGATCAGAGATTGGGACTTCAATAAAATCTTTTTGTGAAGATGCTTTAAAGAAAGAAATTTTTTTGTTTGAAAAAAAGAAAAAAATTTACAATTAATAATTGTTAAATATTCATCAGAAAGTAAAGAAATAGCTATAATTGCACCAATATCAGGCATTGGAGTACCTTTTCCGTCCAAAACTTCTCTAATTTTTGGACAAATATTTTGTAAATTATCCACTTCATTTTCAATTTTTAAAGAAAATAATTGGCTAAAACAAACATTCAATGGATAAATTGGTGAAGTTCTAAAGCAGCTAACAAGATTTCCGAAAGCAAAGAAATGACTGTGTGAATGAAAAGTACAATGAAGACATTGATGTAAATCAACAGAAGAAGAAAATGGAGAGATCTGTTTTAGAAAATTAAGAAAATTTATTTTTCAAAGAAAATTTACCCAATGTTTGCCATTTGCTAAATAATCAACAAATTTGGCAAAACTTAAATGAAAAATTGTATTTGGCATTGGTATAATAGAAGAATTTGCAGAACAACTGAAAATTTAAAGATTATTATTAAACACGTCCCTCAAAATGCTTCTAATTAACTAATCATTGATAAAGTATTCAAATTATTCCAAGGGAGATTTTTAGTCACGAAATGTCGAAATAAACAAATTTCCCAATTATGTGGGTTTCCCAAAAAATTATATTCGTAGAGGTGGATTTAAAGAGATAATTACTATAGTTATATGAATAAACTTAAAATCATTCAAAAAAATAAACAAAAAATCACTACCTACCTATTACAACGTAACCAACAAATAATTTGTTTACAATTATTATTGGGTATTGTTGAAGGTAAATCTTCTAATGAAAAATTACTTTCACTTAATTCTCCTTCATTTGCCCCATTACAAAGATTTGCCCCACTTCCAAAAGGATTGGGAATTACTGGAGCAATTAATGCTGCAGCAGTACTTCGACTAACAGATACATTTCTTGTAGTTATTTCTAGTCGAGTATTTCGATGAACTATTCTTCTTAAATGTTCAAACATTAAACGATCACAGCTTTTACAACGATAATCAGCATCGAAACAATAACTTTAAAAATAGAAATTAAAATGTTAGAAAAAAAGTTCCAAAAGCTAGAAGATCCTTATCAACAGTAAAAACCCCAATCTTGACTCGATTGGCCACCTCGTTTTTTTGTTTCCCAATTTCTAATTTTCTATTTTTAATCATTAAGTACGGATAAAAGAATCATTAATGATGGATTAAAATCTGCCATTAACCAAATTTCCCAAATATTTCCTTACTTGAGCAAAAATTTCCCCAAACTTGTGTCATTTTCACGGTCATAAAATGTTTTATTTAAAACATAAGGTCCCATACAGAATTCTTGAGTATTTTTTGATTTTTTGGAGTTTGCACAGAAAAGAAAAGCCAATCCTTGATGACTATAAGGACTAAGTAAATTAGTTTCTGATCTGACACGAATTTCTTCTTCTTCCATTTCAAAAAGTAAAGAAGCTGATTTTGATTCCCTTTAAAAATTAATTTTTATTTAAAAACATTTTCATTTTTCTTTCCTACCTTTCCTCTTTAACCTCAAAATTCTTTTCAGCTCTCCTTCTAAAATGTAAAGCTGAACCAAGTCTAAAACTTTTTACGGCTCTTTGATTTAATAATTCCCAAGGTTTTTGTGTTGTTTTAGATTGAAAGAATGAATGTGAAAATTTTGTAAAATTTTCTTCTTTTAATTTTTGTTCTTCAATTCTTAAATTTTCAATTATTTGATTATATTCTTTTTGCATTTCTTTTAATTTAATGAAATATTCAGGCAAAAATTGTTTATTTAATAAATTAATATTTGTTGTTTTTAATTGATTTAATATTGAAGGAGGAGGAAAATGTATAGCTGGGGAATTTATTAATTCAATTTGGGAAAAGTAATCAAGAAAATTTTCTTTTTCAGAAGATTCTAAATAAATCGTTTCTTAATTTAACAATTATTTAATATTAAAAATACCTTCATTTTCGTCCAAATTTTTTAAAGTACTTCTTTGATTTAATTCACAAATATGACAATGAAAAGAACTTGCAGCTTCCTTATCATTACTCATTTCTTTAGGTAAACTATTGAATAAAGAAAGAAAAGCAATTTCCAATTTTGAAGAATATCTTTTAATTAAAATTTTAAATATTGAAAAAAATTTTTAAAAAACCTTGAAAGAACCAAAAAACGTAAAATTCTCTTTGCAGCTTTCAATTCATACAAATCTCTACTTTTTAATAAAATTGTTATTCCAAATTTATTTCCCTCTCCTCCCTCAGAATCTTCTAATGAAACAAAATGTTTTCGGTCAAATGTACAAGTATTGAATTCTAATTGACGAAATTTGCTAACAATACCAACTCTAGGTTGTAGTAGTTGGGCATCTATTGAATTTAGAATACTTGTTGATGTTGCACGAGATATTCTATTTAATACTGATCTCTAAAATAAAATTTTTAGTGAAGGACTAATAACAAAATATTTTTTTAATTTATGTACATACATATGTTTAGTTTATTAGGTACCCTTGTGTTAACCACCCCCAATCGAATTCGGAAAAAAGTAAAATGGGAGCGGATAACATAAGAGTATCGTTTATTAATGTAGGTATTTTAAAATTCATTATTAGGTGAGAAGACTTGTCATGAAAGTTAATTCAATTTTTTAATATTTAAATTAAAAAAAATTAACAACCTTAACATTTGCCAATACAGAAATTCCTTTTTTCGTTAATAAATCTAAAACAGCCACAGGAATAGCATTTTCAGTAATTAACATATTAACATCCACAGACATTATTCTATCACATTGAAGATGAAGAAATTTTTCTTCTTGTTGCATTAATGACTCTATTGAAGAAAATTTTTCTAAAACCTAAAAAAAATAATAAAAGAATTTTCTAAATAAAATAGAATTTACCCGTTCATAAGAAATCATTCCATTTAATAAAATTAAAGAAATTTTTTCCATTGAAGTAGGCATTGATGTATGGGCAAGACTTTTTGTGAAAGCAATTCCATCAATTATCTAAAAAAATTTTTTTGAAATTTTTTTAAAAGGAAAATTTAAAAACCTCAAAATCCGGATCAGAGTTAATATGCAGTTTTTTGATATGCTAAAAATCATTTTAATTTTGAAAATTTAATAAAAAGGAAAAAACTAACCAAAAATTCCAAAGGAAAATTGGTTGAAGCATTATTGAGAGCTACAGGGAAAATTTTATCAGCTACTAATTTACTTAATTTCCACAACAAATCCTTCCACCTAAAAATTAAATTTAAAAAATTTTTTAAATTAAAAAAAACATTGAATGTCCAAGTTGTTCTCTAATAAGGAGCGTATCCAAAAGTTTATTTAATTTATTATCAAACATTTCAATCAATTGTCGTTCAGTTTGAGTATCCACATTTTTAATAGAATTTGAAGGAGAACAAGGCAATTCAGAATTTAATTGCTAAAAAATAAACAAATAATTTTTTAATTTAAAATAAACCTTATTATTTAAATTTAAATGTTTTTCATCTTCTACAAAATCGTTTGAAGTAGAAGGATGTAAAAATCCATTTGGAGAAGTCTTCAATTTTGATTGTTGTAAAGTAAATATTCGATCACTGGAAGCATCAATTGAATTGTGAATTGATGGAGGAAATAGCTTTACTTAATAAGAAAAATATTAAAAATAAATAAAATTAAAGGTAGAAATTAAGGCTAATTTAAAATTAAAACACTAAAAGAGAAATCAAATTTAATTTTTAACAAAAGAAAAATAACAAGGAAAATAAACTCATAATTATTTTTTTACATTTTCCACGTGTCCCACCACCATTTTTTGTATCGATTTGATTTGCACAAAAATTACAAAGCCTTACAATACCCTAAAAACAACAATAAAATTTAAAATCAAAAATCAAAAAACCATACATAACAACCAAAATCAATTCCATTTAATTGATGACTTGTACAATTTTTACAAAATATTTGACCACAAAGGCGGCAGTGGTGCTTCCTCCGGAATGTATTAAATTTTTCACGACACTCATAACATTCATTTCCTGAAGAGTCTGGCATCCTTTAAAAAAAAGTTTTTAATATTTAATTTAAAAAAAAACCAATATCTTCTCAATTCATTTTTTCTTGAATTAAAAAAATTTGACGGAGCGTTGCTTGTTGAAGGTTGTTGTTCATTAAAAGGTTCTTCAACAGAATCTTCAAAAACTACATCCTTCTCCTCAGATTTTGCAATGCAAACACCCTCAGAAAATACTAAAAAAAATATTTTTAAATTAAATTTTAATCAAAATTAAACCAGTTTCTGTTGTAGATGAAGATTTTGATGGTCGAAAAAGATTTGATAAAATACCCAAAAAACCACCATTTTGCTCATAATTATTTTCCTGATTGTTATTTGTATCAATAAATGCCGGAAAATAAAAAATACTGTTAGAATTAGATTTTGTTGGTGATGAACTCATTTAATTCTCTTTCTTTAATCATAAATTTTAATATTAAAAAAAATAAAAAATATTTATGTTTAAAATAAAAATATTTTTTCGTAACAAACAAAATTAAAACTGAAAAATATTTATTCAAAAAAATCAAAGACAATGTTATACTTATAGTAAACGAAAATAATGATAAAAAAGATAAGAGTGCAAAAAGTGGCCGTTCCGAGTCAACAAAAAATTTAGAAAATAGAAATGATAACACAGTGAAAGATAAAAAGAAATTTAAATTTAAAAAAAATTTAAAACTTTTGAATTTCTATCAAAATTTAAAAACTACATAAATTTCTCTGTTGGTCACTCTTTCACGCAGCATGTTTATGTTTTCCCGTTTAAATCAATTAAATATATCCCTTCTAAAAAAAGTATGGATAAATTTATCGAAAGTAGAAAAACTGGATTTAAAAATAAAATTAAAAGAGAAAATATAAAATTAAAAGCAGACCGCAAAATCTACTACCAAAACTGGAGTAAATCTGAAAGAGAGAGAGAAACTCTCGTTTTTCTTCTCTTTAAAAATATATTTTTTCGCCGCGCAGAGTTTGTGTTACAAGTTGCACAACTGTAAAAATAAATGTAGCAAAAAAGCTTCCAGCTTTTATTTATTTTTAATACTAAAAACATATCTTCTTCTTTCTTCTTCACATATTCCCCCAAAACATTTATTCACTCCAAAAATATTTTCTACCACAAAAAAACTAAAAAAATGAAAAAATATTTCTACTATAATTCTTGTCAATCTTTAGTTTTATTAATTGCTTTTTCAATAGAAACTCTTCAACAAGAGGCTGCTGTTATATCTGATCATATCAAAAAGGCTGCAGAAGGTCCCATAATTTTGAAAAAAAAATTTAAAAATGATTTTCCCATCATTTAAAAACAAAAATTCAGTCTATGATTTCGCTACACAGATTATGAATTTGGGTGGAAGTATTATTGGCGAAAAAGAATTTCCTACAAATAACGGATACGGTGGATATGGAAGAGCACTTAAAATGAAAGGTTTTGAATTTTTAAGAGCAAAATTAAAAATTCAAAAAATAAAGAAAACAGTTTAAATCAACGCTTTGGAGCAACACCAATGGGTCTACCTTATAGTGAATATGGAGGAGGTAAAAATAATAACCAATGTTTTGGTATAAATACTCTTTAAAGGCCCATTAGGTGCAGCACGTTCAAGGTTTTTAATATTAAAAATTATAAACAAACCGAAAAATAAATATAAAATCTTAAAAATATTCAAAAAAAACTTAATAGATCTCAACCAAAATCATTAGTTGAATCAATGATGGAAACTTTTCTTGGTTTGAAAATAAAAAACTAAAAAAGAATTTTTCTATTAATTTTTAAAGGCTCTTCAACTTCTCAAGATAGAAGCTCCCCCTACGACCCCTATGATCTTGGTTATGGTTCTAGTTTATATTCAAATGGATATGGAAATAACGTAAAAAGAGAGGGACCAAATTCAAATATTGAAGGGATATTAAAAGCTTTGGTTAGAAGTGGAGCCAAAAAAGCTGAAGTTGCTGAACCTGACGGAACTACTTCATTTCTTAGCCAATTTTTCGGAAGATAAAATAATTTATTGTTTTTCAATTTATTTTTTCTTAAATAAATTTTTAAAGACCAAAAAATAATTGTCAGAAATAGAGTAAAAACAAGCCAGTAATAAAATAAAAATATTTACTAACTTTTCAACGTTAGCATTAAATATATTCTCGAAACCGAGAGAAAAATATATTTATTTAATTTTAAGCTTATCTATATATTTACTTGTCTTCTTAATCAGTCTGAGCACTCTCATACCGCTCCTCAATATTCTTCCAATCGGCAATCTTCCAAATAGCATTTACATAATCAGCACGCACATTTTTGTATTGCAAATAGTAGGCATGCTCCCAAACGTCAATTCCAAAGAGAGGCACAAGTCCTCAAATTAAATTCTTCCTAACATAACTTTAATTAATTAAAAAACCTGTGGTAGGCTCCAATGGATCTTGATTCTGACAACAAGCAACTTCCAAGCGTTTGTCAATTTTGTTGTAGCCAAGCCATCCCCAACCAGATCCTTGAACGGCTATTGCAATGGCATTCAAACGGGCTTGCAATCCTTGGAGAGAACCAAAGTCACGATTAATCGCTTGCAGGAGTTTGCCAGATGGTTCACCTCCGTCTTTACAAAGATTTGTCCAGAAAATACTATGATTGATGTGCCCGCCACCATTAAATTTTAGAGCAGATTGCAATTGAATAGCCGAACGAATATCTCCTAAAAATAAACTGTAAAATTTAAAAAAAATAAAATAAACCTTTGGCAAAAGCCTCTTGTATTTTTTCTTCAGTCACATTTAAATTGTTTACATAAGTTGCTGAAAATATAAAAAAATAAAGATTAAATCCAACAGACAAACCATGATGCTTTTGATGATGAATTTTCATAATTTCAGCAGAAATTACAGGCTCAAGAGCATTATAGTCATAGGGAAGATCAGGCAAAGCATGTTTAAATCGTTTTGATAAATGAAGCTGTCGAACTCTAAAAAACTAAATTTTTTTAGTGAAAAAAATGAATAAAATACCCATAAGAAAGTTTGTCCAAATTTTTGTAGAACATTGTTTTAAAAAAACTCTAAAAAGGAAAAAAATAAAATCCAGATATAATTTTCTTTAAACTTTTACACCATTGAGGTGTACATAAATAAACATGGAAGAAAAAAGGTGATATATATTATTCTAATGACCTTTCATCCTTCTTGTTTACAACTTGTTTTTTTTTTCAATAATAAGTAAAAGATCTTGACTAAAAAAATTTTTGATAAAACACCAAAAATCAACAAAATTAGAAAAAAATAGCTGACAATACAAACTTATTCTTTTCGAAATTTCTCTTAATTAAATATTACAAATTGTTAAATTTTAAAATGTTAATTTAGTAGAAATGTTCATTAAATCTAAAAGTATAAATCAATTATGTAATTTTAATTTTCTGATTCCTAACAAAAGTCAAAACTTTTTTTTATTAAAGCAGGTTTATTTTTTTCAATAAAAATGGAGAAAACTCCCAATAATTCAAATTCTTCTAATATTAATTCACAACAAAATAAGCCTAATTTGTGTAATAAATACAAAAGATATGAGCAATCAATGATGGTGCAGGCTACAGCACTTATTATCGATAATATTGGGGTTTGTTTACGATTTTAATTATTTATTGAAAGCTTTGAAAATTAGATGATATTTTGTTTATTCATAAATTTTACATTTAAGTTTTCAACGGCGAATGGTTCCGTGATGAATATACTTTCTTGGTTGCTTAGAACGTACTTTGAGAAATTATGTAGAGATTCTGCTTCTTTGGCTGAATTTGGTTACTAATCTTAATTGTAAATAAATATTTCAATTTTTTTCAGCTGGTCGGGATTTTGTAACGCTTGATGATGTTTCCAGAATGTTTAATCGTCATTCGATAGATTGTATGTTATTCAAAGTTTTTTATTTTTAATAATTTTTTTAAGTTCGCGATCTTCATGATTATCTTCAACAAGTAGGCAGTTTTCATTTTCCTGAGCAGCCTCCTTTATTTCCTTTGCCTCTGTCTTCCTATAAAGCAATAGTTGAGAAGCAGGAATTAGATCAGAAGGAAGAAGAGGTTACAGATAAAGCTGATATTAACGAGAAAATACATGTAAATGATGATGATAATGAACAACAAGATGATGTCAAACAGGATCACAGGCTAAATATTTTTTACTTTTTTAAACCTTTAAATTTTTCTTTAGAGGTACTCAACGATTTGCTCAGAAAGCCTTCCCTAACTTTTTTGGAGCTTATGCTCCTGATCTTGGCATCACTGTTAAGAAATTTATTCTACCATTGGTAGAGATTAGTTTAGAGGCAGATTTTTCCAGAAATCCTCAAGTAGCAAACACTTCATTTACGATTGTACGACAAGACTTTTTCTCTGTTCCTTGTTTAAGTCTGAAAGGTGTCCCTGAATCTGAACGTCATAAAGAGAAAAAAAGGCGAAAAAAAGAAAAGCGTGAGCAACAGCAACTCGAAGAGGAAAAACAACAAAAAATTGAAGAAGAGAAGAGATTACAATTGGAAAGAGAAAAAATACTGGAAGCTGAAAGGATTCAAGCTGAAGGTTTTTTTTAAATTATTCAATTTAAATTTTGTTTTGTAGAAGCAAAGTCAGCTGAACAGCAGTTAAAAGTTCCAAAAATAAAAATACGTTTTGGTCCAGGCCTTTCCACTACTACTTCACAAACTACTCCATTATCCGAGCCACAACAAACTCAACGCCAAATGTTGATCTCTCCACCTCTTGTAACTTCAACTGATAAACCAAAATTAAATGCTCCTCAACCCTTACCAAAAACTGATAAACAAGCACAACCTTCAACATCGAAAATTCCTACATCTGATGCCTCAATATCCAAAAAATCCTCGCCACCCGTTGAAGAAATAATTTTTGTCGAAGAAAAACAACAATCTACTCCCGTTGCAAAAACACCACCAGGTCTTGAGGAAATTAAAAAAGGAGCTAAAAAGCGAAAGAAATCACCAAAAAGAGCTGTTCCTGTAGTAATGGAGCCAGTCGAAGAGTTGTTCATTACAGCACCGATTCAGGTCCAAACATCTATAAAGGATGCGACACCTAAAAAGGAAGAAGGTTGGCATTTATGATTTTGAAATAAATCATTAATTATTTTTTAAGCCGTCAAATTGCCAGATACTGAAAAGAACAAAAGAAAAAGAAAATCACCGAAACGAACATCACCGTCACCTCCTCGAAAGAATATTCGAGCTTCTACCCCAGCAAAAAAGGAGGGAGGCTGGTTTCATTTTAAATTATAAAAACATTTTTTGATATTAATTTAAAATATTTTAGTTGACAAAAGCACTTCAAAAATCGCTCCTTTACAAAATATTGAGAAAAAAATCCCGAACCCGGTGCCAACTAAATTGCCGACTGAAATACTTACAAAATCAGTGCCTTCTGTAAATTCAACAAGTTCAGATGATTCTAAAATCTCAATTAACTCTATGAAAGAGGTTCATTTAAACAACGTCTAATTTTAAATTTAATTTTCCAGGAACCCCCAGCAACTTCAAAACGGAGCAGAAAAAGTGAAAAGCCAACTAGAGTCGTTCCTTTAATCGTATCAGATAAATTAACTTTAGAAGCAGCTCCTTCACCAGCGCCTTCACCAATTCCTTCAAAAGCGTTGGAAACTGTTTTGGAACCTTCCAAAAAGAAGGAGAAACCTTTAGGTTATTAAATTAATTTTAAAATTCTCACTTAATTTTTAGAATCAAACAAAAAATTGCCTAAAATATCTGATACACCTACGAATACTCCTCAAACATCTGTAAAAAAGCCACCAATGAAATTGTCAAAATTACTTAAACCTTCTACTACTTCAACACCTAAAAATGAAGATGTAAAAACGACAAAAAGTGGATCAACATCTAAATCAAAAACAAACGAAAAAATAATTTCAACACAAAATAAATCAAAATCTAATAATAAAACGCCAAAAACTTCTGTTATTAAAACGGTTGAAAAAACAACAAAAGAAGTGATAAACAAGGAATCGAAAATTGAAGAAGTAAAAGAAGTTGTTCAGCCATCTCCAACTGTAATTAATTTAGAGGAGGATCAAGAAGAAGATGTTTGGATATGTCCAGTTTGTTCTGTTGCCTATGTAGAAAATGGACCTGATATGGTAAATTAATTGAAGGATAATCTAATTCTTTCCCTCAAGATGTAGGGTAAGAGGGAGTTTATATCCATGGCTGCACTTGAACACTATCTCCGTTTATTTATCCTATTTAAAAAAATATTTTTCAGGTTGCTTGTGACACTTGTGATAGATGGTTTCATTGGTAATTATCTAATAATAATTATGTTCAAATCCTTTAAAAATTTTTTTTTAATTTTTAGGAGTTGTGTGGGAATTTTAATTCCTCCGCCAGATAATGCTTCTTGGTATTGTAATGAATGCAAAAAGAAAAATAAGAAAATTTCGGGTACAAATAGTGGTGGAAATACTAGTCGAAAGTCTTCGATTGGAGGGGGAACTTCAAATAAGAAGCGTTTAAAATAAATAAAAGATTTTAACGATTTTGTGCCTTGTTTTCAATAATCATTTTTTGCTTGTTTTAATAAATTATTTTATTAAAGGTGTTATTATTTTTTAAATTAATTATTTCAGTTAATTATTGATATTTTCTGTTTTACTCAATAATTTGTACATTAGAGCATTAAGCAGGCCTTTATTTTTATGTTTTGTTTGTTCTTTGCTTTATGTAAAGCAAAGGCATAATGCTTGCAATAAAAAAAACTAGATATTAAAAATTTAATAAATTATACTTTAAAAAGTTTGCACGCGCTCACATGTTTATATAAAATGTTTAAAGATTTTTATCATTAATTAACAGACATTTTATTTTTTCATTCTAAATTTTAGTAATTTTTGATTGATTATTTGCAAAAGACAGCCTGTCTTTCTATACAATTTGCGCAATCATTCTCTTACTACGGGTCAATTAAACAGACCAGACTTATTTGGAGGAACTAACATTGTTGGTTATTTAACACGGCAGACATCTTTGAGAATCCTTGTTTTTACATTGTTCTGGTAATTTAAACAAAATAAAAGTTTCATTTTTCCGATTTTTAGCTTTGATATGATGAATAATAACCACGCACATATGAATGGGAATAGTACTGCACATGTGAAGGTGCGACCTGCTTCGCATGCTGGATCATGGTTTTTTAATTTAAATTTATGTTTTTTATAAAAACTTAATTTAGGTATTCTGATGCTCCAGGGGAGCTCGATCAACAATTAAGTGGCTGGTTAAGGGATGCAGGTTCAAATGTTGGCTCGGCTAGAGCAATAATCTCACCGTATTTTTTAATAAATATTTCTAAAATTATCTGGGTTCGGGTGATTCTATAACTTTTTTTTGTCTTTGTAATTCCGAACTTGTATAAAATAGTTGAGGGTTCTAAATTGATATTTAGAAAGGGGCTTAACTCTTCTAATAAAACCTTAAAGCTTTTTTGTTTGCAGGCATGCTGGATATACTTACTGTGGAGAGACAGCTGGTAACCTTTTATATTAACCTTTGTAAAATCAAATATTTGTGTGTAATTTTAGCTTTCGCCTTCAAACAAATTATACCTGACAAAATGTTTTTTTGTTTTCTTAAAATTTTATTTTTAAAATTTTTTTAGAAAAAGAATTTTTGTCCTTGGTCCTTCTCATGTTGTGGTTTGTTTTTATTTTTTTTAACAAATTTAATTTATTTTTAGTATCTCTCTGGATGTGCTCTAACTACTTGTATGAATTTTGTCTCTATCGAGTTATTTAAACTTTTTTAGTTTCAAAATATGCCACTCCACTTGGTGATCTCAACGTCGATTCTTTTGGTCAGGATTACTTTACATATATTTTTTTGAAAATAATTTTTGGAGATTAAAATTTTAAATATTTTTTCTGCTTCAAAATTCTTTTTTCCTATTGCCTAAAAATTCGAGGCACTCGCAGTCAGTGAACAACTTATCAACTCTCACGGTTCTGACGCATTTGAATGGATGTCGACGAGAAATGAGGAAGCTGAACATAGTTTGGAAATGCAAATGCCGTTTATTGCTAAAATTATGGAAAGGTGGTGAATTGTTCTTAATTATTGTTTAAAATATTTTAAAAGTCAATCGTTAAGAATACGTGGCCAGGGCATAAAAATTTAACAAATTTTGTCCTATTTTATGCTTTTATTCCCGGTATCTTACACATTTCAAATTAACTTGAAAATAAATGTCATATGTAGCTAATCTAACTGAGGAATTCTTAATTTATTTAAGTTTTTCCCCATTTCTTTTCTTAACGATTGACTTTTTTAATCTTAATTTAGCTGTCTATAGCTAAAATTTAAATATAATTAAGCCGCCCCCTCGGAAGCTTCAAAATTGTGCCAATACTTGTAGGCTCATTAAGTACTACACGCCAACAATTTTATGGACGTATTTTTGCCAATTATCTTGCTGATCCAACGAATTTATTTGTTATTTCTTCTGATTTTTGTCATTGGGGTTAATTTATATTTAAATTTGTAAATTAATTTATATTATTTTTAGGACAACGTTTTCGTTATACCCCAACTGAATCGGCAGGTGCTCGACCAATTTACGAACAAATTACAACACTTGATAAACAGGTTTTCAAAAAAATGTTTGGAAATTTTTAAATTTAATTTTAAGGGAATGGATGCAATTTCAACTTTGGACCCTTCAATGTTTAATGAATACCTCAAAAAAACTCAAAATACAATTTGTGGTCGTAATCCAATTTGTGTTTTATTACAGGTTTTTTTTCTATTTAAAATATTTTTTAAACTCATTTTTAGGCCTTTAATCATTATCAACAAACAAATAATGTGACAGCAGAACTTCGATTTTTGAAATATGCTCAATCAAATAAGGTTAAAAAATGTTTTTTTAATTTGGAATGAATTTTTAGAACAAATCATTTATAAAATTATTAAAACTTTTCCTAATTTAAAATTAATTATTTTTGCTATAACCCTTTTCGATCAAATAAAGTTATTGAATAGTTTTTCTGAAATCCTTGGGCATGTTTCCAATATAAATAAAAATATATTTTCATGTTTTAATTTGCCTATCCATATTTTTATACAAAAAATCAAATTTTGTTTAATTTTTAAAAATATTTTTAAAGGTTCGCTCATTAACTGATTCATCAGTTTCATATGCCGCAGGTGCCCTTTTTATTAATCCGCGCAACTGAGCCGTTTTTGTCGTCGTTTGCTTGGCTCATTCAATAAAGAAAAGAATATCATTGAATAAAAATAAATAAATTATTTTTAATTAAATACAAAAAAACACATCAAATGAAATCCTTTCAAAAACAGCCAAAACCCCTACAAAAATAAATTGCCTAAAAATTAAAAGAATATTTTGAGGGAATTCTTTTATATTTTTAAAATTTTGGCGCGATCTTTCATTATCATATTTGTTTTTTTCTAAATTAAAAACCATTCATCCCTTCACAACCAATCAATTTTAAATAAATTTTGTTGTTAAGATTACCCCAATTGCTTAATGTCTCTTTGTTTTTTGTTCTGAAACTTAAATAAATATTTGTATTTAAAATTTTGTAAGTTTTTTTGTTGATAAGCTTATGTTCTTCAAAAAATAAGTATATGGTGTGTTAAGAAATTATAAAACCCCAGTTTTTTCTGGTTTTTTAGGTTCTTGTTTTCCAATAGACCTGAAATCTTTATATATATTCAACCAGAACCTAGTTAAATTGAATTAGTCTCAAAGATCCAGAAAATTTACAAAAAGGAAAGAGGAAAGTTAGGGAGGGAGTCCTCAAAAAATGAAAGCATCCATTCACAAAAACACCTAAGAATGATCAATTCTTAATTACTATCTCATTTCAAAGAATTCAAAAAACAATCTTCAAAAACAATTTTATTTACAACAAATACATACATAACAATACAATATTATTGGTACATTATATAGGGAAGAAATATCACAATTTACGATTATCTATTTTGGGTGGTCCTATTTTGGGTGGTCCCGCTGCCCAAGTCGAAGTGATCCGCCAGAACGGCCCTCCAAAAGGTGATGACAAGCTCGAGATCTGCTTCGCTGGGGCTCCTCCAGATGCTGGGGACGCCAAGGCCATCTTCCCTCCTGGATCTTCTGGCGAGTTCAAGGTCGACGTTCCTATGGCTGCTGCATGAGTATGGCTGCGGGACGATGGATAAAGATGATGGATAAGAACACACAGTAATCTCTTGATGTGAAGAATAGATGCTGATGTGAATAGGACCACCCAAAATAGATAATCGTAAATTGTGATATTTCTTCCCTATATAATGTACCAATAATATTGTATTGTTATGTATGTATTTGTTGTAAATAAAATTGTTTTTGAAGATTGTTTTTTGAATTCTTTGAAATGAGATAGTAATTAAGAATTGATCATTCTTAGGTGTTTTTGTGAATGGATGCTTTCATTTTTTGAGGACTCCCTCCCACACTTTCAACAATTGTTTTTCCTCCTAAAAACTTTCCATTTTACAAACTTCACATTTAAAATTAAAGATTCAATTTTTCCATCAATTTTTGTTTTTTTTAATTGAAAATATAAAAGAACGAGAGAAATTGAAGGTCAAAAATATCTGATTCGCCCAACAGCTCCAAATAAATCTGGCGTCAAATTCAAATTTTAACTAACCCAACCCGACTTTTTTCTCAACCCAGCTATTTTAAATATTCTTTTATTTTAAAAAATTTCTATTTTCTACTTTGGATTTTCGAAGTTTTCTTTTGTTTCGACGCAGCTCTGGTCCGAACATGAAGAACAGCTATGAAACCCAATCCCAAATTAAAACACAGAAAAATCAAAATTTTGGTTTTCAGTTCCCAATTGACCGGTTAAATTGAATTTGTCCTAAGAATGAATTTGGACGGTGATATTTTGTTTATTTTTAGGACAAATATATGTATGTACATACTATATATCCTCAATAAAAGTATTATGATGATAGAAATTTTATTATTTTTTAACATTTAAATATTTACATTTAAAGTGAATTTATTTAAAATTATTTAATCAGCATCAGGTTGAAGTGCATGCCAAGCTGCTACACTTCTCCTAGGTGTTGCTATCTTTTTTAAGAAAAAACAAATAAATTTAATCATTTATTTAATTACCATATCATGCCAATGTTTTAACCCAACCCCAGAAGCATTATTTCCAATTATTACATGCCCTATTCTCTCATTAGACCCAACTCTATCGTAATCTGAGACACTAAAAAATTATAAATAATAAAAATTTCAAAAAAATAATTACATAATATGTAAATGTACCCTTTGCAATTTTTCTGGGCTAACTTCGTAAGAGAAGGATTCGTTATAATCTTAAAATTAAAAAATAATTTAAAAAATTATTTTTATTTTACATGGATTTAATGTTTTCATTTTTATTGTTGTCTTTTTCTTTTCAAGTCGTTTATTTTGTGCCATTAAATAAATTTTGACATAAGGATCGGAAAGGCCGAGAACATCCTTAAGAATAAAATAAAAGATAGTTTAAATAGATGAGATTATTTATTTGAAAGTAAACAATTAAGGGATTATTTAATTAATATTTTTGGGGGAGAATAAAATTTTTTTTCAATTATTAGTGTCAAAAAATATAACATAAAGTGATTTTAATTTATGTGCTCAGAATTGCGAATTAAAAAAATGTGAAATCGAAGCCCTTTAAACATTTATTTCTATAAATAATCCCTTTTTAATTAAATTAATTAATTAACCATTTTTTTAAGATTTTTACATTCCATAACAACCACAGTTAATTTATTTTTATTTGGAACATAACGTAATGCAAGACAAACTTCTCCTAATCTATTTTCCTAAAAAAAGAAGAGAAGAATATTTTAAAAAATATTTTTATTTAATACAGGAGATGCTTCAATAGCCACAGTTTTCTCAATTGTAGTTGCCAAATCAACTTTCCCAAGAGGGACACTAACTTGCCCTATTTGGTCGTGCTTTCCAAAACGGTCAAAATCAAAACTTTAAATTCTTTTAATTTTTTTCTCTCAAAAAATACTTACACATTCATTACAAGTGTTTGACTATTTATTTCATTATAAGGTACCTTTTTAAATTAAAAATAATTTTTAAAAATTATTTTTAGACAAACTTTGAATTGAAAAGATTCGTTAAATACCTTTTTAAAATTTAAATTAAATTATTTTTTAAATAAATAAAATTAACTGGATTTAATGATTTCCTTTGAACTTTTGTTTGAAATTTTTTCTTCTTGTCCTATAAATTAATTAAATTTTATTTTTGTATGCAGAATTTGAAGGAAGGAATATTTTTGGAATAATTTTGTGAGATGACAGAAAACACCTTTTTTGTTTTTGAAAGACTTTTAAGAAGAATGACTTTTATGTCATTTAAAATCCCCCCAAAAAATTTTTTTTGAAATTATTGTACATATTTAAAAAATTAAATGATAAATTTTGAATTAAAAAGGGGGAAAAATAAACTTACAGGAAGTAAATAAAGTTTAACATAAGGATCACTAGTTCCTAAAATTTAAAATATTTAAAAAAATTCTTCTTATTATTTACCCCCCAAATCCATTGCAGGCAAATTTTCAGCGCTCAAAACAGTTACATTTAACTTTAAATTTAATTTAGAAAATAAAATTTCAATAAAGAAATACAATAGATTTATCAAAATCGTAGTCAATTTTGTAGGAAAGCATTCCGAGAAATTTTTTTTCTTTTTCCCCTTCCCCCCTAGCACTTCCTGGAGGTTTTCTTCCACTGCTAGGTAATGGGGAAGTCATTTCTTCTAATTGTTCTGAAAATTTAAATTTAAATTAATGATAGAAAAAAGGAGAGAGAAATATATTAAAAGTAATACAAAAATTTATTTTTTATTAATTAAATAAAAAGAATATTTTTTTGGTACTTTTAATTAATTTAAAATACAGAAAAAAAAACATTTTATTTTTCCCTTACTTCTACATTTATCAACTAAACTTTTTCCAAGTTGACCGGTTAATAAAGGAGCCTTTTTCTGTTGCTGCTGTTTTGACTCTTCATTTTCTGATTCTGACATTTTTTTGAATAATTAAATTTATTTTAATTTTTAAATAATTCTCAAAATAATTTTTAAAAAGGGAGATAGTCAATAAAATTACCAGCCAGCAACAGAAAATTAAAATTAAATAAAAATAACAGTTAAATAAATAAAAGATATATTTAAAAAAGAGAGTCTATAGCTTTTTTAATTTTTTCCCCTTTGATTTATAAGAGAAAAAAGTTTTTTTAGTTTATTTTTTTGAATACATAATTTTCCTTTAAATACACCCACAGATCACAATGAGAGCAGGCCAACTTACCGCCGAACTATAACTTCGTTCAAAATTGTCGAATCCGGGAGCCCTGGTACGGTTCGATACAGCCCGCCTAGGTGCATCGATCCATACCAGGACATCCCAGATTCGGCAATTTTTAACAGATTTATAGTTCGACGATACATTTACCTAGCGGTAGGTTCTGGTGTACTCTTCACAATTCTTTCTGGATAAATGGAAGAAAAAGTTAAAAATTCTTTTATAATTTCCGATTAAATTCCAATTTCAATCCGGAAAAGTAAAATATTTTAAAATACGTAATAATTTTTTAAATTTATTTTCTTGCATTTAATTAATCAGAGTATATTGTCAGAGTTAATGACGATAATAAATATATGTATGTAAAGTTTAAGAATAAAAAGTTTTAAAAATAGGGAAGTAAAAATTTAAAAAAATTGTTAGTTACAGACACAAAAAAATTTAGTTTTTCAAGTAATTATGTAAATATTTAGATAAATTTAAAAGTAAATAGATAATAAAATAAAAAGAAAATATTCCTTTTTTTAATTAATAAATTTACTCTTAAAAAATGAAAAATATTTAAATATAAAATTTGAATTTCGATTTTTATAGCAAAGAAAAAAAGACGTGATTAAAATATTTAAATAAAAATTAAAAAGAGGAAAATTAAACAGAAAATAATGAAAAATAAAACCATATAAATAAATATAATTTTAAAAAATTTTAATTTTAAAGGATCTGGTTTCTATATTTATTTTAAGTAAAAAGGTAAACAAAAAAATATTAAATTTAATTTAAAATAATTTAAAAAAATATGTATTGGTTATAAAAATATATAATGCCTAAAAAATTGTAATTATTAATTTTGTATTTGTAAATTAATTCAAGTGGGAGAAAAAGTAAACTTGAAATTTTAATTCCAAAAATATAAAAAAAGGAAAGGGAATTATGTAAACTTTCCCAAAATTATAAAAAAAATAATTTTTAATTAAAAAAATTTTCTTTTTTTTGAGTATTTTCTCTTTAATTTTTATAAAAAAATTTCTGTGCGCATTGCGAGAGAGGAATATTTGTGGATTGACTTTTTTTCATTTTTTTCTATTCAAGTATTATTCCTCCCCCACACAAATTTTTCCTGCGGCGCTTCCCATTTTCTCATTTTCAACATTTTTTTGAAAATAAAAAAAAAAGAAAAGGGAAGGGAAGGATAAGAAAATAAGTAAAAAAATAAGTTTAAGTAAATTAGAAGAATTTTTAAAAAATTCAAAATAAAAACAATTCAAGTAGAAAATAAATAAATATAAAATAAAAAAAGAGCACAAGAAATTAAATTACTTAATTAATTTTAAATAAATTAAAAAAAAAACAATTACTACTAAAAGTCCTCTTCTTCTCTTTTGAATAATTATTTTTAGCCAATTTCAAGTTACTAATAGTTTTAATATTTTTTATTTTTTTTTGTCCCAATGCCGCATCCAACGGCATTCTCTTTTCTCTCTCTTATTTTCTTTCAACATTCTCCTCCCTCTTTTATTTTCCCATTCCCTCCTTCCCTTATTTTCATTATATTCAGCTTTTCTCATTTTTTTCTCTCATTTTTTCATTTAAAACGAGCCCAACGGCAATGGACGGCACTTTTGTTGGCACTTTTTGTTTATTGATTTCCTCAATACAAACACGCTGGAAGGCTTTTTTGTAGAAATTCGAGAGAAGGAGGACTGAAAGCCAAAAAAAGTGAAAATAAATTATGAAAAGAAATTTTAAAAAATAAAAAAAATATTTTTGATTAAATTATTTAATCGGGATTTAAACAAAAAATTTTTTGGAAATTTTAAAATATTTAAATTACTGTTAATAAATAAAAAAATTTCAAAAGTAGTAATTTTAAATAATTTTAAATATTAATTACAAGGTTACCCCCGAGACTTTTTTTACACCTTTGCAGATAATGTTATGTAGTCCCCTCAAAAGCTTTTACAAAATTGTTAGGTATTTGTAAGCTCTATTTTGCTAAAATTATTGGTTTTGGATATTTTTAAGAATAAATAAGAATATTTTAAAATAAAAATAATTTTAAATATTTGAAAAATAACTATTAAAAAAATTTTTTAAAGTCTTAACAGTTCTTTTTTGACATTTATTAACTCATTTATTGAAAGTAGAAAGAAGCAATGCTAGGTATTGGACGTTTTGTGTTCCAAGAATTTCAAAATCTCGGCTATTAATAAAAATTAAATTTAAAATATTTAAAATTGAGAAAATAATTAAATTTCAATTTAATTCCCTTATTCTCTCCTAGTTTGAATTTATTTTCTGTCAGTCATTCAACAATTAAAAAATCTATATGTACAATAGTAATTTTGTTGGTGATCATTTATTTTTTTTAAAAATATTTTTACAAAATTAAATAATAATTTAAATAACAAATAAATTCTCTATGTTTTTTAAATAAAAAAATAAAATAAAAATATTTAAATTAATTAATCATTTATTTAAGTATTTTTTAAAATAAACTCCCTTTATTTTTGCAACTTTAAATTTATTTATTTTTTTTTGTCAAAAATTGTCAATTTATATTTTTATTTATCAAAAAGTTTTGCAAAATTTAAAAACAGCTGGCATATTTTTATTTATTTTATTTTGTTTTTTGTTTGTTTGATTTACTTAATCCAGACATATTTTTAAAAAAAGTAAAAAAAAGAAATCTTTTCCTTTTTTTTCTTTAAATTTCCAAACACCTTATTTATTTAATTAAATGAAAAAAATATTAAATATTTTTTATATTACTAAAATTAATTAAAATTTTAAAAATTATTTTAAAAATTAAAATAAATAAATTATTTTTAAATAAAAATATTTCAGTCTCTTAATTTAAAAAATTAAGAAAAAATTTTTATTTAAATATCCTCCTTCCTTCCTTCATTAAAATATCCAAATCCTTTTTCTTTAAAATTAGCGGTTTTTGCAACCCGTCATTTGCTTATTTTTGTTTGATCCTCCACACCACGACAGATTTTTTCCTTATTTTTTCTTTTTGTTTTTATGAAAAAGAATTGTTTTTTTTTTAATTTTATTTAAAATTTAACGAATTTATTTTTAAAAAAATTATTTTTTAAAAAGTATTTACTCGATCATAATTAAATTAAAAAAATTACTTGATTAATTAAATAATTATTTTTTCAATCAAGAGAGGGTGGGGGGAAGTAATTAATATATAAATTTTTCCCTTTTCCAAAAAATATATAAAAAATATTAATTCAGATCAGAAAAAAAATTTTTTAGGAAAAAAGATGGAAAAGGTCAAATAAATTATTAATTATTATTTAAACTAACAAAAATACATATATTCTTTAATGTATTTTTGTTCTTTAATTTTATTTATTTATTTCTTTATTTAATTTTTATTTAAATTTCCAACATTTTTCAATTTATTCTGAAAATTTTTTTTGCATAAACTTCAAACTGTGATTACCTCAAACAAATAGGAATTTGAAGCAAAGATTGAAAAGAAATTAAATTTAGGAGAAGGAGGAAAGATTTTGTGGGAGAGGGAAGGGGAATGAATTGAGAGAGGGAAATTTTGAATTTTTCCATCTTTTATTAAAAAAATTTTTTTTAATTAAAAATTATTTTTTTTATTTTTATTTAAAAAGAAAAATAAAATAATTATTAAATTAAATTAAATATTTATTTATTTACTTCATTATTTGTTTAATTTAATTTCCCCATTTTTCTTTTAAAAATAAAAATATTTAATTTTCCCCTTTCATCAAATTTACAGTTAAATGACCACACAAAAAGAAAATATAAAAATATATTTTTATTTTTTTTTGTTTTTCGGTTTTCACCCTTTTGTTTTGCCTTAAATCCTGCAAAACAATTCTTTTAGGACACGAAAAGCGCAAAAAAGATTTTTCTTTAAAAAATATATTTTGTTATTTTTTTTGGATATTTTTGTTTGGTTAATTACTATTAATTTATTTTTAATATAAAACTTTTATTAAATAAACAGAATTTTATCTTAAAAATATATCTTATTTCCAGTCATTCAATTTAAAATTTTGCGCCTTGGATATAAAAATTGAAAAATTTAAGCCAAATTAAAATTTGCTTTTTAATTATTAATTTTTTATCTCGACATACGAGAGACACCTCTGTATACCTCTACTCTTTTAATTAACGTATTTACTCGATTAATTCCCCCGAGGAATTATTTTTTCAACCCATCCATGGCATGGGGAATTAATAGAGAGTGGGGAATTATTCGAGGGTGGGGAATTAATCGAGTAAATACGGTATTTTATTTTTCAGAAATTTAAAATACTCTTTTAATGAAATAATTAAAATTAGCTCTTTCTTTTAAAATTTAATGTGCCCCCTTCAATTTAATAATGGACGAGAAAATTTTAATCAAGAAAAATCATCAAAATATAATCAGGAAAGTTCTACTACACCCACAACTACTTCAAGTTTTAATAGTACTGCTACTAATTCTTCTTCAAAAATATTTAAAAGAATTACTACAAAAAAGAAAAAAAATTTATTTTTATTTTTAATTTTTGGGTTTTTAATTTTGTTTGGAATTTTTATTAATTTGGTAAGAAAATTAGAGTACTCATTTCTACTAGGGATACAGGAAATTGGAAATTTATTTTTAATATCGGCAGAATCTCTGCAAGGAATGGATTTTAAAGTAGAGTAAATCCGAGTTCGATCGAGTACACCCAACTCGATCGCTCGGATTTTCTTTGTCTTTACTCTGGTTTTTCAAACTCGGCATTACTCGAACTCGACTATTTTAAAGATTGGAAGGCGAAAGACGGAAAAGAGTACATGTCCTGTATTTCAAATAAACAAAATTCTGAAAATATTTTTAAAATTATTTTTTAGTTTTTTTTGTATATCTCAATTAATCATTTTATGGATCTCTTACGACAACATTGCTCCAAAAATTTGTCAAAAAATAATAATAAATTAATTACTACAACTTTGGAAAATAAAGAAAGTTAGTTAATAAATATTTAAATTAAAAATTAAATTATTTTCTTTTAAAGAAAATAATAAATTAACAAAATATTCTTCTACTTCTTCTTCATCTTCTCCAACTTCTCTTTCCACTTTTTTAAAAAATACAAAAAATTTATTAAACAATTCTTCAATTCTTCAATTAACAATTCCACCATCCATTACTCCCTCCTCTTCCCCTTTTTCTACAAAAACAACAACTAGTTTATCTTCTAAATTAAAATTAGCTTCAACTAATTTAAAGTAAATAAATTAATTTTTAATTAATTTTTTGATAAAATAGAAATTTAAAAAAGAGGAAGTGTAAAATAGGGAATCCATTCTTTAACTAAAATTTTTTAAAGTTTCCATCCTTCAACAACAACATTTCCTCCACCTCCACCTCCACCAACAACAACAAATAATTTATTAGAAAATTCAAATAATTTAACTTTAGTAACAGCTTTATTAGATATTGGCCGTGATAGATGGAATCAGTATGGCCGTACATTAGCTCAATATCATCACTTTTTTAGATATTTACTTCAATTACGTTTACCTATGGTTTTTAATTTATTTTTACATTCTAAAATATTTGGAGAGTTGAGGGAATTGTAAAAACTAGTCTGTATCTGGATTAGAAAAGTCATTATTTCTTATACTCCCTCCAGCTTTATTACAAATTTTTTTTTATTTTTTCATTAGAAATTTTTAAAAATAACAGACTTTTTCTTTGTTCTTTAAATGTTCTTTTTAAAGTAAGAGTGATGTAAAAGTTTATCCTGCGACCTCAGGCAGTTATTGCTAGGCGCTTTCAGCGGGGCGCTGCTTTCACCTTCTTTTTTAATAAATCTCAAACCCCCGCCTAGTAAGCGTTTTAAATGCTAGCCAGCTGGATCTTTCTTTTCCTTACATTAATTAGGAGTTCTGACAACCCCATATCCCCTCCTTCACAAATTTTAACTTTTTATTTTAAATTATTTTTTAATTAAAAAAAGGTTGTATTTGTTGATAACAAATCCTGGCATTTTGTGCATCGTGAAAGATCAAGAATTGGATGGGGAATTAAAACTAAAGTATTTTTTTAATTAAAAAAAATAAATTTTGAAGAATTTTTTAAAGGTTAAAAGAATTACTCTTTCCCAACTTCCCTTTTTCTCTTTTAAATCAAAAGTAACAAAAATAATGAGAGAAGAATTAAATAATTGGAAAAATGAATGGAACCCTTCTATGCGTTCACATCCAGAAGCTACACATCCTGAATATTCTCTTTTGGTTGGAAATTTTTAAATTAATAATATCTATCCCCTTTTAACTAAAATACATACCATAAATCTTCTAATAGAAGCACACCCTCTAATATAGGCACACCCTACGAGAAGATTGAAAAATAAAAGCACATGAGCTTCAATTAGAAGTGTTACGGTAAATTAAATAAAGTATGTATCTTCAATCGACAAATAGGTCATTTAAATTTAATTTAGTGTTTTGTTTTCTGTTTTATTCAAAACTCGAGGCTTTTTCAGCCTGCCGTTCGAATAATTATCCTTTCTCAAATAATTACACAATTACTTTAAAGTACCCCCTCCCCCCCACTCCCTCAAATGCTCTACTGCATGTTCAAATTTCAAAACTCGTATACTTATCCCCTCTCAATTAATTGCTCCCTCCAGCCAAAATTAATTATTTGAGCAGATATGATGGGAGATTACCTTCCTTTGATCCTTTTTATACTAATAAACTTTTAAAAATTTGTTCTCAAACCGACCCCTCAATTTAACGAACGTCTTAAAACACAAGCTTTTTCTTAAGTCTGACAGTAATTTATTAAATAAAAATTTTCGACTAATTAAAAATAATTTTTAAAGGTAAATTCAAAAACATTTTTTCTTGTCGAAGCAGCTGTAAGTTACCAGAAATAATTTTTTTTATTTAAAAATTATTTCTTTAAAAGGCTGAGAATCCTTTTGGAACAGAATTTTTTGTTTGGTTGGATGCTGGTTATGGGCATGGTTTTTAAAATAAATTTAATAAAAAGATAATATTTAAAAAAAGGTGATCGTTCAATTTTCCCGTCGGGATGGAAGTGGCAGCCAAAATTTGAGAAAGGAATTATTTCTTTAATTAAAGTTTGGAATTTATTTGTTGAAAACTTTCTCTAAACCTCTTTATTTTGTTAACAAAATGAGACTGACAAACAAGCCTCATTCCATATTAATTCTAAGAAAATGTAGAAAACAGCCTATAGTAGTTATTAATAACGAGAGTCAAGGCAATAACACATAAATCCTTAACAAGATATAACCCCTTTAAAATTTAATATTTTCTAGTAGTAGTCTACTATTAATAAAGAGGATAAATCAAATTTTTAATTTTTTTTAAATTTTTAGTTAACACCTCCAACAGACTTAATTAATCATTACAATTTACAATCTCTATATAGAGTTTGTTTTTAATTAAAAATAATTTTAAAAAATTGTTTTTTGTAGCAGGATATTTCTGTAATAAGTGGTGGTTTTTTAGCTGGGGATAGAAATTCAATTATTCGTCTACACCAACTTTATTATAAAAAATTTATTAATTTAATTGAAAAACAAAAAGTTGATGATGATCAAGTAAAATATAAAATAATTTTTTATTTTAATTTTTAGACAATGCTTGTTTTGTTAATTAATGAATATCCAGAATTCTTTCATATTTATTATGGGGATTGGTTTGATGCTTTTGAACTTTTTTGAAGAATAATTACTTTCAATTTTTAATATTAAATGTATTTATTGCTTACAAAATACTTTTTTAAATTATATATTTAAATATGTAGTGGACTTTAAAAAGAAAAAATGTAAAAGTAAAATCTGAGCTAGATTTTATTCCTTTCAATGTGGAATTTGAAGGTAACAATTTATCCATATGGACTGTCCCATGAGATTCACCTCAAATCCTCCTAAAGCTAGAATAAAATTTGACATCAGAAATTATCATTTCAATTTTACTTATTTTTCATTCCACAATTATCCCAGAAAAATAAATTTCAAAATTTTTTTAATCTTTACATATTTTTTTATAAAAATATTTTTAAAATTAAAAAGAAAAAAGCTTTATACAAAAGTAGTATTTTTAATAAAAGCTGAAATATTCGATAAAATAAAATCAACAGGATTTTTCAAAATTCAAGAAAGAATTTTTCTATTAAAGATTATGAGAGGATAGGAAGTTCAGAATATCGAGAATACACGAATTATGATAAAATGTAAATAATTGAGGGGGTAATAAAAGTCAAAAAAACAAAGGGAAAAATCGGGAAAATTCGACTAAAAATTTTAAAAATGTTCATTTGTCTTCAAACATTTAACCACGCATATACATCAAAGAAAGGAAAGAAATTCGACTTAATTGATTTGGTGTACTCATATAGTGAAGTTCACGACTGAAATAATTTTAATTAGGGAGTATTTTTTTAAATGCTTTTCTTTGGGGTTTAAAAATTGTATCAAGGTTAAATTGGGGATATCACTTATGTTAGGTGGTTCTCCTTAAACTAATGTCCAACTAAATTCCAAAAAAACATTTAAATTTGGTTGGAAAACTTATTCTAAAAATGAGGTTTGCCAGTAAATATTAGAATATTTTCACAAAGAATCAATCTAAACTTACTTTAAAATTTCTGGTAAAACATTTTTTGCCTGTTGTTTCAACCCCAATTTAAGTACAGCTTCAAGACAAAGTGAAGAAAGTGTTGGGGAGAAGTCAAGAACATAAAGATCACCCAAATCTTCTAAAGCACTCCTTCGGGGATGTGGACTTAAATTAAAAATTTTTGGATTAAAAACAAAAAATCTCCTCACGTTGTCCCTCCAAACAAAAATAACCGATTTCCAATCATTACATTACATTGACGACGGCGTGGAGAAGGCCCTAAAAATTAAATAAAAATTAAAAATCTTTTAAAAATTAAACAATCAATTGTCCTTTCCCCTCACCTTTTCCCAAAACTTTCTGTTCAATCCAGGAATTCGTTGTTGGGTCAAAACGCCACAAATCGTTGAAGTGAACATTTGAAATTGAATTGTAACCACCAAAAAGATATACAAATCCTTTAAATGTCCACATTGTATGAGAACGACGCCCACAAGGTTGGTCATTGTTAGATGGCTTGACAACATTCCATTCCATAGATTTTAAGTCGAGAAAGTGTAATTTGTCATCATAGAGATCTTTTTTAAAAATTTAATTTTAATTGAAATTTTATTGAAAATTTAATAATTAGAGTCCTAAAATTTTCCGTTTTGGAATCTAAAAATATATTTATATCAATCTTTTCTCATTTTTAAATTTAATTTTCTTCTAAATTTCAATGAAAATAATTTTTTATTCACCATGATTTGTGTGTGTTTGCCCACTTTCATCTGAACGACCGCCAAAAACATACTAAAAATAAATTTTTGTCAATTAATTTTAATTAATTTCCATACCATTCTTCCATCAAGTACACAAGCAGTATGGAAATCTCTATATTGAGGAGGTTTTCCAAAAGTTTTTAATTTATTCCAAGTATTTGATGGAAAATGAAAAGAATAAGTTTCTTGACTAAAACGTTGTTCACGTTCTTCATATCCACCAAATATATACATATAATCATCCCAAACAATTGCTGTATGTCCATCTCTTGCAGGGCATTGACCAAATGTTGTAACGATAGACCAAAGATTTGTTGCTGAAAAAAAATGTTAAAATTTATTTGTGTAATTTTGGATGTCAGAAAAGAAGTTTTTAAACTATAAAGATCTCTCACACATTTTGGTACAAAAATGTAAGAGAAAAAATAACAGAAAAATTCTTAAATTTTACATTAAAACTATTTTTATTGCACTTTTTGGGTAAATACTTTTTTGTAACATAAAATATTTTTCTCTTAATTTTTTACAATAAATAAGTAAATCGACACAAAATTGTTACAAAATGTAAGAAAAGTTTTGAAGAGAAAGAAAAGGGAAAGATGAAAGAGTAAAAACTTGTAACCAAATGTACTCCTTTCAACCTTGAAATGAGCATAGAAAATCATTAAAAAACTCAAAAATTGAAAATTTGGACAGCTAATTGTAAGTTTTTCTTTTTGTAAAAAATAGAAATAAACCCCCCACAAAAAACCAAAAATTGACAACACATTTAATAAATGTATTCTCGTGATTTTTGATTCAAAAAAATATCTAAAATGTTCCTTTTTTGTTTTTAGTTTTGAACTTTGATCTATCTATGTAGTTTAGTGATTTTCTGTTAATTAAATATTAAATGTAATAAAATTAAAGAATATATCTATATATGTAGATTAACATTTTGGAGAATAAAAAATGATAAATTAATTTAAAAAATAATGAACCAAAATTAGTGGGTGCCGGAATTTTCGTCTCTGGAAATTTCGTCTCCAAGACTTTTCGGAACTTTCGTCTCCAACATTTTCGGAATTTTCGTCTCCAGCGGAATATTCGTCTCCAAGGGAATAAACGGAATATTCGTCTCCGCAATTTTCGTCTCCGCTAGGAACTTTCGTCTCCAGACGAAAATTACCTGTTGACCGAACAACATCCCCAGTTAACGGAACAACATCCCCCGTTGACGGAATAACATCCCCGTTAACGGAACAACATCCCCAGTTGCGAAACAACTTTTCCCGTTGCCGGAACACATAATTTTTTCTCTGGTCCGTCAACGGGTAATTTTACTCTGGAGACGAAAATTCCTAGCGGAGACGAAAATTGCGGAGACGAAAATTCCGAAAATGTTGGAGACGAAAGTTCCGAAAAGTCTTGGAGACGAAATTTCCAGAGACGAAAATTCCGTACACCAAATTAGTCATGAATTTATTTAAAAGGGAATATAATTTAGTGTGAATTTGGTAAATTTTTTGGTACATTAGACAGTATCCACTTGTTAGCAAGATTTAAATTTAGTTTCCTCCAGTAATAAACCCGAAAATATTCTCATTTTCTTTTTCAAATAAACAAACAAAAAAATATTTTTAATTAATATTTTATCTAATTTTTCTTTTTCAAAGTACTTCCCGGAACAACATTTTAAAGGTTAAAGTCTAATGTATCAAAAATTTAATTACTTCAAGACAAAGTACATTGGTGTCATTCCCCACATTTTGTTTTATCATTTTTAATGCTTCTCGAAAAATTTTTGGACAAATATTTTTATGATAGCAATTTTAATCGTAAAGAAAAGAAACGTGACTTGACTTTATTTGGGGGTAAAGAGAAGTTTTTTTTTGAAAAAGTAGGAAAGAGAATAAAAATGAAAAATAAATAAAAATATACCTGGATTGTAACGATGAAGTGTTTGTCTACATCCTGGAAAAATAAAGAGTAAATAAAATTTTAAAATAATAATTTTGGAAAAAGATATTTTCTATAGGGAATTTTAAAGAAAACCAAATACCGAATTTATCAAAAAAGAAGCTAACAAAAAGTTAAGCTCCATAACAAAAACGAAGGAAGAAGAAAAAGCCCTAGATAATTTATTCTATAAAATTAAAACAAACCATAAGCATCGCTCCGTCCACCCCACAAATAGAAAAATCCTTTATAAGAGACAACAGTGTGTCCATAAAGCTAAAACGAAAAGTAATTTTTAAATATAATTCTTTTTAATTTCAAGAAAACCTTAAAAGGAATTTCTGGGTGCTGTCTTAATTTTTCCAATCTGTCCCTATCCACATTATTTGGCAAATCCAAATCACCAATTCCATCAATATGGAGAAAAATACGTTCCTCTTCTTCTTCAATTAAATCCATATCTTCGTCCTCATCTTCTTCACCTTCTTGAGAATTTTCGGAATAAACAGAAGAAATGTCAAAGGTAGCATTTTCGTCGTTGTCATTTTCCAAATTATGGTCAATCTAAAAATTAAAAAAGTGAATTATTTTGAGTAAATATTTGATGGATAAATATTAAATAAATCGACTTTCTTAATAAAAAAATTGTGAAAAAAAAACAAATTTTTTTAAAAATTTTCTAATTTATGGTCAGACTACAGTTTACGTTTACATAAAATTTAGTTGAAGTTTAGTATAATTTTTTATAAATATTATTTTAAAATTTAAATATAATTTTTTACATTATAATGAAAACCAACATCACTGAGTATTTGTTGGTAAACAGTAAAAGTGTCAGTAGCTTGTGTAACATCCATTTCGTTGTCTTCTTCGAGAATTGATGCATTATTAGTATTTGCTTGGTTTTCCTCCAAATTATGTTCAATTCCTTCCAAATCATATAATGGAGGATTTGAATTTCGAATTTGTGCTAATGGATGTGAAGAGGTGGAAGTTGAAAGACTGCGAGTTCGACGACGTTGAATTTGAGTAGACTGGCTGGTTGAGGGAGGAGTTTCTGGATGAGAGGCAGAAATGGTAGAACTACGAGGCTTTTTACCGCTTTCAGCAGGAAAAGTTGGAAGAAGCTCCCAACGGTAGGTGACTAAAAGAAAGAACTTTTTAAAAAAATTTTTTTTAATCCTTCAAAATTATTTTATTCAAAAATCACTTTAATTATTCAAAAACCAGTTTTCCTCCCTATATTTATTTTCCCCTTTAATTTCAAGGTTAAAAATAAAAAATAAATAATTTTTTTTTGTTAATTACTTACAAGTGTTGAGTACATGAATGTCAATAAAATCATTTTGGGGGCCAACTTCCGTCGCTGTATACCCACCAAAAGAATAGATGTTATCTCCCATAGCCACGGCTGCGTGATTGACCTGTATAGAAGTATTTTTATTGGCCTTCAATATAGGAGAAGTAAAAATAAACTCGTTTAGGTCCACCATATGAACTGAGAATCCAACGAGCCATAATGATAAATTGAAGGTAGGTAATGTAGACAAATTAAATATAATATTTTTTTAAATTAATGTCTAAATAAAATAATTTTTAAATTTAAAAGAATGGAAAATTATTTAAAATGATAAATAAAAGCAAAAGCCCCCCTAAAAATAAGCGTGGAAATTTTTTGGTTTAGAAAGATGATAAATTTAAGGAAAAACGTTGCATATTAATAACATAAAAAGAGACAATGCTATAAAAATATTTTCAAATAATGAGAAATGTTTTAACATTTAATTTTATTTTACAATAAATTATCAAAAAATACATTTAGGTAGTTTATTTAATTCAAATCAAACTAGAAAATTTTGTTGGCAACAAAATAATTTAATAAATATTAAATTTTAACGCGAATAGTTTAAAAAAAAGTTTTGTGTAAAAATAAAATGATTTTCTTCTTTTTAAAGAAAAAAACGTAATTTTTTTGCTAGCAAATATTATTTTTTGTCTGGTCTATACATTCATCAGAAAAAATTCTCTCATTTCCTTTTCAATGTTATTTTGCCTACACAAAGCAGTTGGGGGTTATTTTAAGGCTTAAAGTGTGAGTGAAGGATTTTGTTTGATGAATTGTATATGACCTTGAACAAAAAATAAAAAGGTAAAATCAGCTGAGGAAAAGAAAAAAACATCAGAAATATGTACATAGAATAAAAATTACAAATTGTGAATCAAAAACAAAAAATGTTATTTTATGTGTAATTCTTTGTTGAAGAATTACAAAATCTTTCAACAGGTAGAAATAAAAGGGTACGTAAATGACGTATATTTTATTAGTCCAGCTTTTGGCCAAAATGTGTATATGTAGTACATTAATTGGAATGGGTTATATAAGAAGAAGAACTAGTTATTTTCTCCCTCCTACTTTTATCTGGTCGCTGCGCTTTCTTTTCCCCTTACTCCAATAACTCCGCCCATATTTTCCTCAAAAAATGTTTTCTTCCCAATTGCGTAATATTAAACAGGAAAGCGCTGAAACTCGTAAAAAATTATAACAATAGTTTGGGAATGATTTGTACATATTAAAAATTTATGTGAAAATTTAGGCAAACTTTGATCTAATCTTTAAAAGGTAAAAGATTATAGGAAAATTAGAAAAAAATTATTTGAACAAATATAATTGAGGGAAATGGATCTTCCTTTACACACATTTAAAAAGTGCAAATTCTAAAAAAGCTTTCTAGCTTGGCCAAGGGATGGCCTAATCAATATTTTCCAGCACTTGGCCCTTTCTTTTTTAAATTTAATATCTTGGCATTATGTTAATTTTTATTTAAATTAAAAATTTCTTAAAATTTTTGTTGTGAATTAAAAGTTTTTTTTATTTTTTATTTTAAAATTAGCACATAATTAATGGGAAAAAGACAAAAAATTAGAACAGGCGCTGGTGATCTTGTCACAACTCCTGGACCTCTTCATAAACAAATTGAAAGATCAAAACTAGCCAAGCCGAAATTCAAGCCTTTAAAACGTTCAAGAGAAGAACAAAAAGATGAAATTGAAGTTTGTTTTAACTTTGATTTTTATTTAATTATTAAAAAAAATTTTTTTCTTTCAATTAAAATAAATTCCATTTTAGCTTGTCGATCCATCTTTAAAGGGCAAAATTATTATTAAAGCAAACAAAAAATTGGAAAAAGATGTTGTGTTCAATGAGGATGGTGAATCTGATAATTCTGAAGAGATTGAGGAAGAAGAAGACGACAATGATGAAAAGTTGGATGTTGATCAATTAGTATCGAAGCATTTGGAAGATTTAGATGAATTAAAATTGGTATAATTAGCTATAAAATGTTTAATCTACCATTGTTTTTAGGATGATGTTGTTGAAAATGCTCGAAAGAAAAAACGAAATTTTGATAAAAATAACAAAGAAAGTGTTATAAATAAGGCTGAGGTTTTTTGGAGTTTTTAAATTTCCTTTAATTTTTAATTTTTTTAGTTTGCCGATATCGACCCAAAAATTGTTGATCTTTTTATGGAAATTGGCCAAGTTTTAAAGAAATATAGAAGTGGACGTATTCCCAAAGCTTTTAAAATTATTCCAACTTTGGTTAATTGGGAGAAAATTATTGAGTTTTTTTTAAATATTTTTAAACAAATTTTAAACCTTCTTAACTTTCAGATTAACTCGCCCAGATGATTGGTCGGCAGCCTCAATGTTACATGCTACCAAAATATTTGCTTCAACTGCTACTCCTGCTCAATGCCAAAGGTATTATTTTTGAAGGAACTGGTGAATTAAAAACATTTTTAAGGTTTTATAATTTGATTTTGTTGCCTCGTATTCGAGATGATATTGACGGATTAAAAAAATTACATTTCCATATGTACCAGTGCTTATTTAAAGCATTGTTCAAACCAGCTGCGTTCTTTAAAGGAATCCTTTTGCCGCTTTGCAAGGTTTTATTTATTTTTATCTGTAGACAAAAAGTTCAAAAATTTGAAAAAAACTTTCAAAAAACCTCGAAAATTTATTTGGAATTTTTGTCTTCCTTTTTTGTCTTCCAAAGTAATATTTATGTTTATTTGTAGATTATTTCAGATTCTTTGTTAAAAAATTTTCTCGTTTTGAAACTTCTAATTTCAAAAATTTAGTCGAATAATTTTTCTCTTCGAGAAGCTGTTGTCCTTGCTTCGATGCTTCGAAAAGGTTTTTTTAATTATAGTAGTAAAATATTTCATTTTTCAGCCTCCATCCCTCAATTACACGCAGCCGCAGCATTGTTGAGTGTAATTTAATTTTTATTAGATTTTTTAATAAAAAATTTATCTTTCAGATTTCTTGTTTGGAATATACTTCTTCAAGGGCTTATATCCTTCAAGCATTGATTGAAAAGAATTATGCATTGCCTTTAAGAGTTTTGGAGGGAATTGTTTCTCATTTTCTTAGGTATAAAATTTTAAAAATATTTTTTTTAATTTAAATTTTTAGAATGAAAAATAATAAAGAAATAAATTTAACAGTTAGTTGGCATTCTTGTCTTATTTCTTTTGTTCAACATTATTCTAATACTTTAAATAATGAACAAAGAAATGAACTTATTGGACTTGTAAAGGTTTAAATAATTTTTTTAATTTTTAAGATTAATTTTTAGATTCATTCTCATCACAAAATTACTCCAGAAATATTAAAAATATTGCGAAATAATGAATCAGAAGGTGGAGAAAAGAAAATTGTTCCTGACTTTGGAGAAGATGAATTGGATGATGAAATGGATATTTAAAAATAAAAATGTTTATTTTTTTGTTTTTCTTTGTTAAATTTTTATTTTAATTTTCTAAAATGTTTAGTTAGTTGTTATATTCTACAGAAATTTTCTTTTAATTTTAATTTTATGATATTTAATCTGTCTTTTTAAGCAAAATGTTATCATTTGATGGACTTTCTCGTATACTTCTAAATGTGGCAAGACATGAAGTAGCTCAACTTAGGTTTAGCAGGTAATAACAATTCGTACTTTTACTAACAATAAATAATTAAAAAATTAAAATTTAAAAAATGAATCCTTTTTGAACTAGAAATTAAATTCTAATTTAATTTAAGGAGACGTGCAAATCCTCCACCTTGGGTTCCGCTAAAATACCACCCTGTTCGTGCTATGCTTTACAAAGACGATAGGTTATTTAAATTTAAGTTTTAATCTTAAACATTAATTTAGGCGTTTTATTGAAGCAAATCGAGATTTAGTTGCACCAAATAGGCCCATCTATCATAAAAATGATGGTCATTTCAGCTTGATTCCTGGTATTCCAAATCCACCAGATTGTAAAGGAAATGTTTACAACAAAGATAAAAGTAAAAGAATTGGAATGGTTGGACGGAAAATTGGAATGACTTTGCAATGGTTTTGAAAATATTTTTTATTAATTTAAATTTATTTTTAGGTTAAATGATGGAACTCGCTGTCTTTGCACTATGATACATTTCCCTGACAATGTTGTACTTTCAGCAAACGATCCAGAAGTATTTTAGTTTTTTATAATTAAATATTTTTTTTAATTTTAGACATGGTGGCGGCTAAGTGTGACCGGAAAACAAAAGGCATTCGGAAAGCGTGGGCCCATGTGGAGTGTAATAATTTTTTATATATATTTGTTATTGAAGGAAATTAAGATTTTTCAACCTAAAATGTGTTTCTGAAAGAGAACAGACCACAACACTTTTTGTTTTCAGAAAATTTTAACATTTATTTTTAGCAAATGGTTGGAGCATACAACGATGATTCTGTTTTCTACACAGACGAATATAGAAAAATATTTGAAAAAGTTGGCGTCACTTACAAAAAATTCATGGCTGGTTTTATGGTTTCCGAGGACGCAGTCGTTAAGCCTGGAACAATGTGAGATAGAATTTTCATTCATTTTTATTTTTGAAAAATTTTCAGTCTCGATGTTAGGCATTTTCAAGTTTGTTTTCTAATTTTTCGTAATTTTTTTCAATTTTGTTTAGGTTGGCCAATATATCACTTTAAGTGGTAAAACAATTGATTGGGGATTTCAAGGTGTAATGCATCGATGGGGAATGAAGGGGATGACAAGAAGAAAGTTTGTTTAAATTTCTTAATTTTCTTTAAAGAATTGTTTGAAGCACTACGAAAGCACATCGGCGTGTTGGTTCAATTGGTGTTAAAGGAGAAGGCAAAGTTTGGCTGGGACGCTGCCTTCCTGGTCATATGGGTTACGAATGGCGTAGTATTGCTGGGTATCAAATTCTTAGAATTAATCCAATTGAGCAGGTTAAATTGTTCTAGATTTTAACGTTGTTTACTGAAGTTTTAAGGTAATTTATGTGCGAGGCAGTCCTCCTGGCGATAATGGCGAAATGCTTTTGGTAAGTACTTTTTAAGACTCCCGTATATGTATCATTTTTCTCGGTTACCATTTTTTCCAGTTTCTTTAAAATGTAAAAATTAAAATTGTTCAGCCTCTCTTCAAAATTGCCAAAAGAATTATTTTTTAATTTACTTTTTAGGCTACCGATTCATTTATTAAAAAGAAACGAATTGAAAATCCTCCATTCCCGACATTTTATACGGAGGATGCAACTGAAAATGAGGAATATAATTCAGAAGAAATGCATGCAATTTATAATGTTACTTCAAAAGATATTTATCATCCAAAACTTTTTAGAGTAAATAAATTTTTAAATAATTTTAAAATTTATTTTTTAGTTCAATCAACCTTCCATTATATATACAGAAGCTGACGAAATAAAATCTTTGGCTCGTGATAAGTCGAAAGCAAAAACAGCGCAACTTAAGAAAAAATGAGAATTTTTTGGATTTTATTACTTTTTGTTATGTTTGTTTTTAATTTTATTTCAATATAAAATTGTTTTTTAGTATAGATATTTAAAGCAAAGATTATTTTTCACGATTAATTTTACTTACAAATTTTTGTACTTTTAATTAGAAATTTTAAAAACTAGTTTTTTGAATTTTCAGAAATGTTAGAGATTTAAATATCAATTTTTTAAAACAATCATTTTTCTGAAAAATAATTTAAAAATTTGTTTTCGTGATTAAATTTGTTTTAATAATTTAATTTTAATATTTTTTAAATATCTGTTTAGATTCAAATATTTAAATTTTAATTAATTAATATTTAACTGATTTAAGCCAAATGCATTTTACTCTGTACAGATTTTTGAACACTACTAGCAGACTATCAAACGTTGTGAATGGAAGATGGACTACAACACATTATTTACAAAAGCCGAGAGAAAAGGACGAAAGAGTTTAAAATAATTTTTGTAATTAAAAATTAATTTTAATTTTTCAGTGGAAGGATGTGGACATGGAACGTGTTCAGGATGATTTTGACGTTGTAATTGTGGGAGGCGGGCCTGGTGGATTGTCTGCTGCTATAAGACTAAAGCAATTGGCAGCTGAAAAGGAGAAGGGTAAATGAATTTAAAGTTAATTTTCTAGTCAAAAAATTAACTCATTTAAAGAAGTTAGAGTTTGTGTTGTTGAAAAAGCTCCAGAAATTGGTTCCCACACTCTTAGCGGTGCTATTATCGAACCACATGGTCTGAACAAACTTTTTCCAAATTGGCGCGAAATGGAAGATTGTCCAGTGAAGCAACCGGTTGTAAAAGATTCGGTTTGTTTTTGTGAAAATATTTTGTTGATTGAAAATTTTAGTTTGGGATTTTGACTAAAAATGGGCGGATAAACTTGCCTTTGGTTTGTTTTCTTAAAGAATTTGAAGTTAAATATTTTAATTTTACTTATTGTAGCTTCCAGGCTTCCCTTTAAAAAATCATGGAAATTACATTGTTAGACTAGGTAATTGAAATATTTTGAATTGAACTATCACAAATTTAGGTCATGTAGTTCGGTGGTTAGGTGAACGTGCAGAAGAATTAGGTGTTGAGGTTTTTCCAGGTTTATTTTCTAATTTACTGTTTTATTGAATAATTAAATTTAAAGGAATACCTGCTCAAGAATTGTTATACAATGAAGACCAGAGTGCTGTTGTTGGAGTTGCTACAGCCGATATGGGGATTGCTAAAGATGGAAGTCCAAAGGTTAAAAATTACTTTAAATTTTATCTATTTTTCTGTTTTAGGATAGTTTTCAACGTGGAATGGAATTGAGAGCTAAGTGAGAAATTTATCTTGCTATTCCATTTATTTTTCATTTAAAAGATGCACAATTTTGGCCGAAGGCTGCCGCGGTCACTTAACTCGTTCTCTACTACCTAAATTCGATTTGGCCAAAGGCCGTGAGCCAATGACATATGGTATTGGTATTAAAGAATTATGGGAAGTAGAACCATCAAAACACCGGCCTGGTTATGCAGAACATACAATTGGTTGGCCTTTGGTAAGGTTTTGGATTTTATTATGTTAAGGAACTGTTTTTTTCAACTAAAAAATAATTTATAGACTTAATAATTTTAGAATAATTTTATATGTTGATATTATGGTTTTTATTATTTTTATATATTTTTTAGAAACGAGATGAATATGGAGGTTCTTTTCTCTATCACATTGAGGACAATGGACAGCTTCTTGTTTCAATTGGTTTTGTTGTGCGTTAATTAAAAATATTTTCTTAATTTATTGAGAAATCATTGAATTATCGAAAATTTTTAAATTGTTGTCATCAAAATATAATTTTTAAAATTTTTTTCAGCTTGGATTAGACTACAAAAATCCATACTTGAATCCATTTAAAGTTTTAATATTTTTATAATAATTTTAACAAAAAATATTTTTCAGACTTTTCAATTATATAAAACCCATCCTTCAATTCGAAAACATTTGGAAGGTGGAAAAAGAATTGGTTATGGGGCTAGAGCATTAAATGAAGGAGGATATCAAGTAAAATAAATTTTTCTTTTTTTTAATTTTTTCTTTTTTAATTTTCAGTCAGTTCCAAAGGTTGTATTTCCTGGTGGTTGTTTAATTGGATGTTCAGCATCTTTACTTGTATTTTTTTAAATTATTACAAATTATTTTTTTTATCGTTAAAGAATGTTGCAAAAATAAAAGGAACACATAATGCAATGCTTAGTGGTTGTTTGGCTGCAGAAACAATTTTTGAAGAAATTGAAAATTCTGGGGAGGAAATTCAAAGTTTTCTTTCAATTAATTTTTTCAATAATTTTAATTTATCATTTAAAGCTATAACCCCAACAAAATATGAAAAAGAATTAGCAGAATCATCTGTAATGAAAGAACTACGTCAATCTAGAAATGTTCGACCATCTTTTGGAAGTTCTTTGGGATTGTGGGGTGGATTGGCTTATACGGGAACTTTCTTTGCTTTGGGTAAAAATAATTTTAAAATAAAAAATTTATTTTTTTAAAGGTCGAGGAATAGAACCTTGGACTTTGAAACATGGACATAAAGATAATGAGAGTATTGAACTTAAACAAAAAGTTAAAAAATCTATGAAAAAAAATATATTTTTTTTTAATTTTAAGCATAAACAAATAGAATATCCAAAGCCGGATGGAAAAATTACTTTTGACCTCCTTTCTTCTGTTCATTTAACTGGTACAAATCATGAAGAAGACCAACCTGCACATTTAACGCTTAAAGATGATACAATTCCTGAAGATGTTAATTTACAGCTTTATGATGGTGAGAAAAAATATTTATAAGAAAATGTAAAAAGTAAAGAAATATTAAAGAAAATATTATTGAGAGAATAATTTTTGAATTTAATTGTTAGAAAAAAATAAATAATTTTTTTAAATTTATTTAGGACCAGAAGGAAAATATTGTCCAGCTGGTGTTTACGAATTTGTACAAAAAGAAGGCGGAAAAGAAGGTGAAATGCGTTTACAAATAAATGCTCAAAATTGTATTCACTGCAAAACTTGTGACATAAAGGACCCTCTACAGGTATTAAACAAAAGATTTTTTATTTAATATTTTTGTAAATTTAGAATATTTATTGGGTAGCGCCGGAAGGAGGTAGAACAAATTTTTTTAATTAAAATTTTAATTAAAATTTGTAGGAGGTCCAAAATATGATGGATTGTAAATTTGTAATGGGTTTTTCTAAAAAATAGTGGTTAATGATTGCCTTTCAAAGCCAAAGAAATTTGACATATATTTTGAATATATACCTTAAAAATACATATGTACACATATTTACATAAATATATAAAAGTTTTATTAAAATTTGATGTCTTAAATTTACATTTCCGTTGAAAAAATGCCAAACTTAAAATTATTTTTATATCTAGTATATAAAAGTAATAATTCAAAATTTGAGTTGAATTTGAAAAATTCTCCCTTTTAAAATCCCTTTAGTTAAAAAACTTAATTTAGAAATTTTGAAAATTTATTTTATTATGAAAAATAGATCTACGCAGCTAAGCATGTACAAAGGACTTTGTTAATATGTATACTCGGAATGTATGAATCTAACAGGATTATATGAAACAGTGATCCTGGAAATACGCGACCAAGTCGTCGTATTTTGAAAAAAAGAACTCAGCATGGGGCAATAACTGTTTAAATTATTGCTATAAAACACAAAGGTCCTATCAAGGTAAAAAAAAGCTCATGAATAAAACTCCTAAACTTAACACCTCATTGGGTAAAAAACTTAAATCTCAAAAAACAATTTTTTTTACAAACAAATTTATTTTTACAAAAAAAACTTCACAATAAAAAATTAGCGAATTACAAAATGAGTACAAAATATTAGCAAGCATATAGGGAACGAAGGAGAAATGTGAATATGGGGATAACAAACAATATACAGAAAATAATGTCAATTAGGAACAACAAATACTCATGTACCTTATTTCGGATATCAATTATTTTCATCCTCTTCCAGATTTCTTGCTTCTTCGACTGCTTTTGTTGTCCGATGATAATGAACGTCTAGAGCTCCTGTCTCCACTTCCCCGGTTGCTTGCCGTTGCTGTTGCTCCCATAGACGTATGGACTGAGGCCGTATCACTTCCAACAAGTCGCAATATGTTCCGGTCCATCCACAACATAGCCTGCTGGATACTGCAGCGAATGTCCGCGTCACCGTTCCAAACGCAGTTCGTGATGAGCTCCGCAAACTCCTCTGGAGTGTCGTCGCTGAACCTAAGACGCTCGCCTGTGATAACCTTCAAAATGAAAAAAATTAAGATTAATTTAACAACACTATCTTTCTAACCTTTCTGGCAACAATGTTGTTGCTTCCAACCCCGGCGTAAGGCGTAGCACCATTAGAGAAGATCTCCCAGCAGAGGACTCCATATGCCCAGACATCAGATTTTTTTGTACAAGCACGCTCGATCATGGTCTCAGGGGCAAGCCACTTGATTGGCAATCGCTGATCTTTGCGCAGCTTAATGCACTTCTCCTTGTGTTCCAATTCACGGGCAAGGCCAAAGTCTGCGATCTTGACCTGTTAGCAAAAAATAAAGTAAGCACGATTATAAATTTAATTTTCGCTGCAAAAATAAATTTTACCTTGTTTTCACTGAACAGGCAATTCCTAGCGGCGACATCGCAGTGGACAACATTTCGATCGTGGACGTGGCTGAGGCCTGAAGCAGCTCCAAGACACATGTATAGTTTGCTGCGCACACTTCTCGTCTGGCGCTGTAGATGGTCCTTGAGAGCGCCCTCGGTTGCCAAATCCATGACGATCATCAGCGGCTCCTGACCCACTGCTACACCTAAATAATTGAACACACATTAAACTATTAGATCAGAGATAGTTCTTACCATAACAGAAGATGACATTTGGGTGCTTGAACTTCCTCATGACTCTTGCCTCGTTCATAAACTCCTTGATCTGGTCCTTCGTGCATTTAGACAGCGTAGCCTCCTTGATCGCCACGTTTTTGACTGTTCCATCAGCGGCGGTGAATGTGCCAGTCCGGACGACACCAAATGCGCCACTCCCAAGCTCATCACCTTTCTTAATCGCGGAGTGTGATAATTCCCAATCATGTCGTCCAATCGCGCGCTTGAGCAAGACGTTTCTGCCCTGAAAAGGGAAGACAACATTTAAACTTTACAAGCCTAAAAATATAAATTCTCTCACCGAGCAGATGGAGGTGTTACTCTGTAGATGAGCTTCCACAAATTCCTGGATCGTGGCGTAGCCTCTGTTTTTCTTGAAGTCGATGGCAAACATGTTTTGTTGTGTCCGGAAGATGTAGTGTCTTGGAACTCCTTCGAAGAACGTCGATAAAACGTACGATCGGGCATCACCGGCAAACTCCTCGCTCGTCCGAATGATGAAGTCTCCTTCCTTCTTCAGCATGGCTACAGCGTCTTCTCTCGGTAGCTAAATTCAAAAAATCATCATTTGAAACTAAAAACTAAAAGAAAAAAACTCACAAGTCCATGGTAGTACGGTAGCCGCCACAGAGCATCGGTCGACATTTACAGGAGCGGTGGTTAGTTGGCGTAGTAACGTTGAGTTGATGTAGTTCAAAAGCTGGCAAATTTTGCCTTCAAAATACCTTCTTTTTATAGTAACTATATTCGAGATGCAAAAAGCTAAAACCCCTTTACTATAAAAACCTTTAATTGCATTATCTGTTAACCGCACTATCTGCAAATTTCCGTTCTCCTCAATCCGCAGCCGTTTAATAAGTTATTATGTACTTAATACATAAATAACGTTTTTATTCTCTTCGTTTTCAGATTTGTTGGCATTTCTGGACACTTGTGGGTCATGGCAGATTTGGATGCTTATCATATCGTTCTTGGCGTTGCACTCCTTGCTCGTGGTTTTTGTCATCGACAGCTTCATAACGTGTTTGTGCATTCGTCTTCGCAAAATTAAGGAAGAGAAGGAACAGAAGTTGCTGCTACTTCACCCACCTCCAACTGAAGAACCAAAACAACCACCTCCACCGAAGCCTAAACCTATGAAGCCGACGAAAGAGAAAAAGCCGACAAAAGCAACGGAAGAGAAGCCAACAAAAGATAAGGAAGAGAAAAAGCTGGCAAAGGATAAGGAAAAACCAGCGAAGGAAGTGGAAATAAAGCCAGTTGTTAATCTGGCGTCTGGTCTCTACGAAAATTGTGAAGCAGCTAAGGAAAAGACGCCACCAAAAGAGGAACGACCGTTGGAGAGTACAGCTAGATCTTCTCGAGTTATTGCTCCTCCTCCACCACCACCACCAAGTCCGCCACCGGAAGTGAAGAGTGAAGTGAAAAAGTCAAAGAGTGACGTGAAAATGTGAGTATTTAACATCTCTTTTCTATATTACATACTCACTTTTCAGCAAAAGGGAAATCAAGATTTTGCCAATCATGGTGAAGAAAAAGGAGAAGAAGAAGGACAAGAAGAAACCAAAGAAGAAAAAGCCATCGGAGAGGTATTATTTATTCGGGTGTAACATTCTTTGTATTTATTTTTCTTTCTTAGGAGCAGCACCTCAGGGGAATCAGGCAGCGATACAAAGACAGAAAAGCCAGCTAAAGAAACTAAAGGCAGGACTGTTATCCAGGCGAGTTTGAAGAATTTTTTGTTTATTTTAATCATCACTTTTTTCAGTTCCAAATACCTGCACTTCCAAAGTTCGAGTTTAAACAAGTTGGTGCAACGTCGGCAGCATCGGCAACTTCCACCACAAAAGGTAATACTACGGGAACCTCTACAGTTGGCCGTTCTACGACCTCGGTGGACACTAAATGAAAGGTGAATATGTATTGAATTGAACGAGAAGAGAGGACAAGATTTTTATCTTGCTTATTGTATATATGCTTTATCTATAATATATCTAATTTTGCTTGAATAAGTGTAGTATCCGTTATTGTTTAATGTACATATTATCATTTGTGTAAATAGTTTCAAATTCACAAAAATTGAGTTTGTAGCTAAAAAACATTGAAAAAAAGGGGGAGGGAAGTAATGCATAGACCAAGTAATGGAAAAAGTGATGGATGGGGAAGACAGGCAGAATAGCTAGAGCAGTACAAAACCACAACCTAATCCAAACTAACTGATTTTCGTTATCAATCGACTCGTCTCGATTAAATACATCTAAATATCTAGTTTATATTTGCATTTTTTAAATTCCCTTTATTTAAAAAAATAAATTTAAGGATTTTAAAAATTTATTTTAATAAGCTAATTTTAACATTTTGTTTTAAGGGGTCAGATAATGAAAAATAGGAAATAAGCAAATTTAGTTAATTGGAAATTAAATAGGGATAGAAGCAGCAAAATAATTTTTCTTTTTTTTTGACAAAAAATCTCAGAAATATTTAGAAAAATTATTTCGACAAACATTTTAGGAATTACTAAAAGTAAAGGAGTTCTTTTGCAAATCCAAACAAATTTCTGATTAAAAAAGAACTCTCTTTTAAATTAATTTTGGAATAGAAGCAAGTCAAATCTGAGGTGACAAAATTGTAAAAAATTGAAGAAAATAGAAAAATAATTAATTACAATTTTTGAGGTCAATGACTTTTTTTAGTAGTACATCTTTTCCTTCCAAAGGCAAAAAATTAACAGTTGGTCTCTTTACACTTTTCTTTTTTTCCTATTTTTATTCTTCTTTTTTCTCAGAAATTTCCAACTTCAAAAATGGCAACTTTTCATGGGCGCTAAAAGAAAGGATATTTTTTAAATTTTTGTGAAAATTATGTTTAATTTTGGACTTTAGTTAGTCCTTTTTATATTTAAATAAAATTCCCAAATTTAAACTTACATTTTGCTAAAATGATCAATTTGGTCTTTAGCAAGTTTAATATACTGGTCAATAGGCTAAAAAAATATTTATTTTAAACAAAAAATTAAAAAAATCTTTTTTTTACCTCCTTGTAAAGTTCATAAGTCTTTGGCACAGAAAACAATGCCAAAATAAATACCAAAAGCAAACCAATACCAGAAAACCAGCTAGCAGCATAATAGAGAGAATAAAGTAATAAAGCAAACTTTAAAAGAAAGAAAAGTCTTCTAAAAACTTTCCAAAAAATTTACTTTAACAGAGTCGACGAGATTTTCGACTAAATAGATGTGTCGTAACTTTTTAAAGAGAATGACAAAATTATCCACAAAAATGTCCATCTGGGAATGAAGTTTTTCTTGGGGAATAGTTACTTCCAAATCCAAATAATATTGAAATGGGTTAACTAAAGCGTCATTCTTCTTTCTTAATTGACCTTTGAAAAATAAATAATTTTTTGATTAGAAAAATCTTCAAAAACCCCTCTAAACATAAAAAGTTTGAGAAAATAATTAAATATATAAGAGCACAGAAAGGAAATTAAAAAATATTAATTGGCCCCATTATAGTCTCAAATTTTATTTAAAATTCAAATTGTTAAATAAAAGTTTAATTTTTATTGTTTAACTACCTTCCAATTGTTTTCCAACACGGAAAATAATTGTACAAAGCAATCCTCCCAGTGCCACCATTACAATAAGCATATGGAAAGTAAATCTGTGGAGAGCATAAAGAATCCCCAATAAGAAACCAAGCACAGCACCGCTAATTTTCACGTCACGCCAATAAACTAATTCGATCACTTAAATTAAAAAAACAAATTTAGAATTTTGGTTAAAATATTTTTTTGTAAATTAAAGGAATATTCGAAAATATGAGGAAATCCCTTTGTTAAATTTATTTAGGCTAAACTACAGTTTCCGTACCAGGCTCAGAATTGAACGATTTATATGTCATTCGAAAGAGCTCGTCGAGCTGAGTCGAATGACACCAAAATTTTTCAGCGGAAAAAATTCTGAGCCGAGTTACAGACCACTAAAGTTCAAAAAACCATAGGGGGGACCAAGCTGTTTTCTGGGGGTGAAAAATTCGAATATGCAAATTATACCTCATTCGAAAGAGCTCATCGAGCTGAGTCGAATGACACCAAAATCAATGAAATCAGACTTGATTTGACAAAGTTATGCTCGTTTGTTTTAGCTCCTTACCTTTGTTCTCCGTGGATGTTCTTGCTGCTGCGGAGGAAGCTGGGCATGCCCATCACAGCGATAATTGGAATAGGATTAAGTTACGAGCCCAGACCCAGAGCCCGTAGACTCCCCGCGAGGCGCGTGCCGCAAAACTCCGCGCGAAGCGCGGAGTTTTGCACAAGCGCCTCGCCGACGCCCCATAGGTTTCCGTTGTTTGTTTTTTCTGTCATAACTTTGAACAAACTTGACCAATCACGGCGATTTGGGTGTCATTCGACTCGGCTTGAAGAGCTCTTTCAAATGAGCTATTAATTGCATATTCGAATTTTTCACCCCAAAAATCAGCTTGGTCCCCCCTATGGTTTTTCGATTTTCGGGGGCCTGTAACTCGGCTCAGAATTTTTTCCGCTGAATAATTTTGGTGTCGTTCGACTCAGCTCGACGAGCTCTTTCGAATGACATATAAATCGTCCAATTCTGAGCCTGGTACGGAAACTGTAGTTAGGCCTTTATTTATTCAATACTACATACTTTTTCCTTTAAAATCCTTTGCCGGTTCATAACGCTGTTTTAATGTTTTTTTAATTTTATTAGACATTTTTTGAATTTTAGAATTATTTAAAATTAAATTAAAAAATTTAAATTTAATTTTTAAATTATTTAAATATTTTTTCTAAAAAATTATGAAAGAAAAATATTGAAAAAATCAGTCTGGTTTAGAGGAAATGAGAGAGAAAAAGACACGAAAAAATAAAATTGTTTGAATAAATGGATGGATTTTTAACTGTAAAAAATATTTTTTTAGAGAAGAAAAATAGTCAAGTCAATCACACACAAACACACAAAGAAAAAGCAGTCAATTCCCTCCCCTTTCTGTGTCATTTTTCGATGATTTTTTTAAAGAAACATATTACTAGCTAGCTATTTAATTTATTTTTGTAAAAATTTTGGTAAATATTTTTTGTGGTTTTTGAACAATGAGCTATAAAAGAACTAAAAATTGTCTAGAAAAATGTTTGTTTTTTAAAAATTTATTTAAATCAGGGTGACCCTTTCCAAACCACCAAAAGGGGCATGGCTTCACAAAAAGGGAATATACCTGAAAGAAATTAAACTAAAGATTTTTCCGGCCTTTTATGAGAACCAACTGAAAATTTCGAGAATTTTGGAAGACCATAAGACAGTTTTCTTACTTTTTCAGAAAAGATCAAAAAGGGGAAAAATGCCCCCTAAAGGTAGTAAAAGGGTGATTTAAATATATTAATTTTTGAGGAATATTTAATCAAAAAATATTTTGAAAAAAAATTCAAAATTCTTCAAAAATAAATTGAAAAAAGAATCGATTGAAAGGAAAACAATAACAGATTGTGAGAAGATTGAATGAAAAATACTTTAATATTTATTGTATACAAAAATATTTTAAAAAAATAAAAAATAATTTAAAATGTCCTTGGAAAATAATTTACAAAAAATAAAAGAATGACCGTCAATAATAAAAAAATATAAATAAATATTTAGGAGATGTCCATCAATAAATTAAATAAAAATTAGAACAGCCCCCACCCAACGATTGCACACAAAAATATATATTTATTTATTACTACCTAATTAGAAGTAAATTCCTTCAATTAAAAGTAATTAATTTGCCTTAATAAAAATATAAAAATTGGGAGGGGTTTAGAGTTAGTACTATGGGTGGGGAAGTACTTGCTTGTTAGGGTTGCTAATTTAATAAATAGAGAGAATTTAAAATTAATTTTGAAAAAATGATTGAAAAATGAAAATGAATGCAAAATTGTCTAAAAAATTTTTTCTATTATTTTTAAAATTTAGTGAATAATTTAAACAAATTCTCTCTTTCTCTTTTTCTCCCCATTATTTAAATATTAAAAAAGTATAAAATCAACTAAATAAACAAAAAATTAATTTAAATAAATTGTTTTGTACTTTTAAAGTATTTTTGTAAAAATATTTTAAATACAGTTAATTTTGGTAATAGTCTCGTTTCCCAGCCCCATTTTTTCCTCCCAATTTTCTACCCTATGTTTGTACGGAATGGTCAAATTTTCCCCTTTCTTTCATCAAATTTGCCTTTCCATATTTTGCCTAAAATCAATCAAAAAGATTAATTTTTTATTCATTTCTTTCACAAGGAGGTCTTTTAGGCACTATAGAGAAAATGAATAAATCAGAAAATGAATAAACTTATTGTTAATTTAAAAGTTACAATAAAAAATTAATCTTTTTGATTGATTTTAGGCAAAATATGGAAAGGCAAATTTGATGAAAGAAAGGGGAAAATTTGACCATTCCGTACAAACATAGGGTAGAAAATTGGGAGGAAAAAATGGGGCTGGGAAACGAGACTATTACCTTAATTTTTTTAAAACTTATTTTTATATTACTAGGTCGGTTCATAAAAAAGTTCGTTTTTTCCAAAAATTTATTTTCCAAGAAAAATCGATAAATCTCAAGTAAACTAAAACAGATAAAAAATCTAACCTTACTAAATAATTGTCCCGAGTCTTAACAACATTCTTAAACCAGAAAAAAGTTTGTGGATACCTCTTTTTTAAAAAATCTGACCCCATTTCTGAAGCACTGTCTTCCCCACCACAGTCTCGACCTTGGCGTCTTCAGCCAAGTGCCCGTCCCGTAAAAATTTTTTTGAAGAAGTGAAATGATGTTAATCTGATAGAGCAGACTCAGGGCTACAAGGGGGGTGGGGTAACACTTTCCAAGAAAGTTTATTTGGGGTATGGCAGGACGTCAAAAATGAGCGGTGCAAAGGAGCGTTATTTTAATGGAAAACCAGAGGTCTAATAATCAGTCCCTGGCGACGTTGAAGGTAACAAACGAAATCTTCCTGGGTGAGTTAGTTAATATGCATGTTAAAGCTTGTAATAGTACCAATTTGAAATACCTCCGTCATCAATGGACCGAGCACCATCCAAAAGAATACACAACATACGTTTTTTGGGTGGTTGGTTAGGCGGGAGACCAAAAGAGGGTCTTAATAATTTTTCCTCCAAACAATTTTTGTATATTATTATCGTAATTGGCATATGTTTAAACTTAGGTAACAATCCGGTTCCATGAACAACCCTATCGATAGTTATCCAGGCTTGAAAGGCTAAAAAAAAGTCCCTGTTGTTTGTGTCTCCCAGTCGGTTGGTGCATTACTCTTTTTGTCCTCCTCGGCTCACAATCCGTTTTTTTCGACACTTGCTATATTGTACTTATAGAGCAATGTCCCCGCTACAATACTGTCAAAAAAATATCCGGATATCATTCTAACCGACAAGGAAGGACGTGTTTGTTTACAGTCGGTGGCCTTACCGGACCAAGTTTGCGTTTGGTCCTATTGTTCCCAGATCGAATTTTTTTGAAAAATTTTTGAACTACACTAGGTTAGACAAGATCCCTGCCTATCATTTCATTGATTTTTCTTGATGCCAATATTGCATTATTACTTAGTTTTAATGGGATGTGTAACTGCCCCTAAATATTCCCCTTACCCACGCTCACTTCTGAAGGCATAAAATTTTTTTGATCTTTGATATTTTTAAAATTTTGGTATCATTAGAAAGCTAAGACTGGGTACAGCCCAAGTAGGCGCGGGCCAAGTAGGCGCGACCGAGTAGGCGCGACCGAGTAGGCGCAGGCCAAGTAGGCGCAAGGCCAAGTAGGCGCACGGCCCAAGTAGGCGCAAGGGTAAATTTCTTAATTTTTACCCAAAATTTTTTTTATTAATCTTCAACTAATTTTGTTAATTAGTTGGCTGAATAATCAAGCAACTTTATGTGGACACTGGACTTTTTCTAAAACTGCCCTTCTTAGGGAAAAAAATTTATTAAGTGAAGCTCGTTGATGTTTTTATTTTTTGATAAAATTAAAAAAAAATCTTTTAATATTTTTCTCATAAAAGCTCCATACTTAGCTGCTGATAAGTTTTGGATTATTTGCTAAGTTTGTTAATCAGTGAGAGCCATGCTGCTTTGATAATTCCTGTGGCTTACCAATGTTATGAATACTCTAACTAGTTCAACTAGTTTAAGGGGGACTAACTAGTTAGCCTTTAGGAACTAACCAGTTTAAGGGAACATGAAGTATATACAAAGGTACAATTAACAATCAAGATACGACTATCAAGGCGTTTCACAAAAAAGTCCAGCTACAGTTAGGAGTCTTTTGATGATTAAAAGCTTTTAATGGATTAAAAAATAAATATACACTTTTGAACTGCCTAGTTAATGCATACAGTACGAACGTATACTAACAGGGTATCGATATTTAAGGTGTTTTTCTTCTAAAATAGGTACCTTTCTTCTAATTTTTATCAAGAATCTTTCTTCTAACTCATTAACATAAAAATATATATACTGACTTATTTTTTAATTTGAATATTTTAAGCTAAAAGATTTGCGCCTACTTGGGCCGTGCGCCTACTTGGCCTTGCGCCTACTTGGCCTGCGCCTACTCGGTCGCGCCTACTCGGTCGCGCCTACTTGGCCCGCGCCTACTCGGGCGTGTCCCGCTAAGACTCTGGGCTACAAAATAAGATAAAAATAAAATCGGATAAAAATAGTTTTCACCCAAAAAACTTACGATAACAAAAAACGAACTTTTTTATGAACCGACCTAGTAAAAGAATATTTTTTGTCTTTTTAAAAATAAAAAGAAGTAATTTTTAAATACCCCCCCCTATTTTTAATTAATTTAAATTACCTTCTCTTTTTGATTGAATAATTTTAAAAGTATATTTTCCAACCAAGCAAACAGAAAACCCCAAAGAAATCCAAAGAGTCAAATAAGAAAGTGAAGAAAATAATAAACGAATTAATATATTTAGTAAAGAGCCGACAATTGATCCAATTGAAGCTAATTTACTCATTTTTAAGAGAATTAAGTAGTTGTTAATTTAACTGAAAAAATAAATTAATAAAAGTAATTTTTAAATAAAAAATATTAAAATAACGATTTAAAAAATTAATATCTAATAGTTGAGAACTTAAGATCTAAACTTGTTGACAACCGGTTTTAAAATCGAAATTTTTGAAATTTTTTGCAAAAAATTAACCGTTTTTAAAAAATTTTAAAAAACGAAAACCGGGAATTTGTGAAAATGTGGTAATTTTATTAAAAATTCCTACAAAATAAAACCGGGATTTGACCAAAATTCAAAACCGAAAACCGGGGGTACCGGTTAATAACCGGTCGCCAACAACCCTAATCTAACCTATTAATTAAAATTTAAAAAATATATAAATATAGAAAATAAGCTTAAAAATTAAAAATAAAACAAAACAATTCTCGACTCCTTTATTAATAAAAATGCCAATAAAAATGAATTGACAATAATAAATATTTTTTCGTAGAAATTAAGAAATAAAAACTAAATTTTCCTTCAAGAAATACTAGAACATAAAAAGCACACAATTTAATGTGTATATGCATTTTTAAAGGAAATAAAAGGTTGAAGCTTTTTGCCAATAGCAACAAAAATAACAATAACCCCCCTCCCCTCCCCCTATTTTCTATGCATATCCAAAAAGGGGGCAGCTAACCAGCCAGCCCGTATATTTGCCACAAAAAATATATAAATAATTATTTTTAAAGGCAAAAACATTATTTCGAGTCTTAAACACATTGGAGAAAAGCAGGCACACACAAACATGTGATGGCGGCCAATTTCTTTCTACTCTTGTGAGGATTGGCGGCAAAAACTAGGAAAAAAAAGAAAAGTCTACCACCCTAGAAATACAAAAATCAATAAAAAGACTGAGAAGCGCGAAGTTTCAGGCAGCGTTGTTGGCTCAAAAATTAAAAAGAAAAAAATATTAAAAATGAAATCCCCAAAGTCATCACTTTTTTAGAGAGGGGAGAAAAACAATGTAGGTTCATATTGCCTGGATTAAATATTTTATCAAAAAAATTTTGATAAAAATAGTCACAGAAATTTGAATATAAAAATGGATGTTGACAAAAAAATTTTCATATTCTATGCCGGGAGAATTATAATATTCCCCGGCGGAATTAATATTTTAGCCCATCCATGGGGTGAGAAATTAAAAATTTTCAAAAATATTTTCAAAAAAAAATTAAAAAAACATACCTAATTAATAAGGGTTTTCCCACGCATGATTCGAACTTGGGTGAAAAAATTAAAGACAAGAACCTTATACCGGCTAGTTAATCTTATACTAAAACTATCAACCCTTAGATATACGGTGTATACCGAATTAAATCTAAAAAACGTACAAAACTTTCTTGACCGAAAGAATTGTCAAAAAAAAATGTTTTGGATTGTCAAAATTTTTAAAGGAAGTGAAAAGAGCCATGATGAATTTAAAATAGAGAATGCGCCCTTTGGTTTTTGCGCCTTTTGGTCATGTGACGTTTTGGCCAGCTCCGTTTCGTCCTGCGCCGTTTTTGTCTGCGCCGTTTTGGGCCGCGCCATTTTGGGCCGCGACGTTTCGGTCACGCCGTTTTTGTCCGTGCCGTTTTGGGTTCTACCTCAATTTTAATTTTACTTAATAATTTATTTTAAGAATATTAATTTTATTTTTATTATTTTAATTTTAAAGCTAAAAATGCCAAGAGAACGTTCAAATACTTTGAGAAAATCTTCACCAAATGAAATTCAAGTAGGTGATCAAGTAATGGTTTTATGTGAATTACAAAATAGAGAACCGATGCTGGCACAAATTGTTGAAATTAAACAAGTCGAACCGAGTACCTCAAATGTTATTAAAATGGAAGTTGATGAACAAACAGCAGAGATTATTGATACAAAAAAAGAAGAAAAAAGAGAAGAATTTCTAAATTCTGAAGAAAATAAACGAGAAGGTTATTTAAATTTTTATTAAAAATTTCTAGGGTTGGAGTTTTTGAGTCGGGCCGACGTTCGAGTGATTTTTTCGGGCCGGCCAGACCACGTTTTTTTCGGGCCAAAATTTGATCGATCTTTCGGACCGGACGGCCCCCAGCCCTAAAAATTTCAAAAAACTTTAGTTTCAACTTCTGGAGGTGAAGAAAGTCAGAGTGAAAGTAAAGAAAGGGAAGGAAGTCCAGAAACTATTTTTTATGTTCACTATGTTGGTACTGATCGACGTTTAGACGAATGGGTCCCGAAAAGTCGGATTCTTCGACAGGCAAATTATTTTTGTTTTTTTAATTAATTTAAAAAAATTTTATTATTAGGCAGCTGCTGAAGCAGATATTTTAAATGGAAAACAATTTTTGACAAGAAGTCAACGTCGATTAAATGAAGATTTTCGGCATGTTCCAAAATCCTACGAAGATATGGACGCTTATACAAGAAAATTGGAAATGGAACATGAACAGGTTTTGAATTTTGAAATAATTTATTTTGAATCTCCCTTAAAATATCTCTTAATTTATTTTGAATTCTTGCTCTCCCTCTTTTTTTGTCCTATCAAATAGAAAAGAAAATTCTGACCATTATATTCATTTTAAGGAGGAACAAAATTAAAAATTACTTTATTTTTAGAGAACAAAAGTCAAAAATGTGGAAAAAGTGCAATTTGGTGATTGGGAGATTGATGCTTGGTTATTTTATTTAAAAATTTTTGACCATATTTAAACAATATTTTTAAGGTATTTTTCACCGTTTCCTCTTTCGATGGTTATTAACAAGTCAAAACTTTATTTTTGTGAATTTTGTTTATGGTATACTTCAGATCAGGAAATATATACCTGCCATTTGGTTTGATTTCTGTTATTCTATTATTGAAAATATATTGAGAAATTTAGAAATTGTTTTTGTCTTTCTTTGGCTTTTAGATGTCAAAGTTATTGTAAAATTATTTCGATACCTAAGGAATCCCTCTTGATCAAAAATCTTAAATTTCTGAAATTCTAAAAGAATTTTTAGAGGAGAAAATTTTCAAAAAAAATTTTTAAAGTTACACCGTTGTAAAAAACGCCGACCACCCGGAGATAAACAAATTTATGAAGATCGCCAAGCAAGTCATTTGGCTGTTTGGGAGGTTAAAGGCAGTCAATATAAAGAATATTGTCAATCACTTTGTCTTCTTTCAAAATTATTTTTGGATCACAAAACACTTTATTATGATGTTGAAGGATTTTTATTTTATATTTTATGTGAATTGGATACAAATGGAGAGGCACATACTGTTGGACATTTTTCTAAGGTTTTTTTAAATTAATTTTTAAATAAATTTGGAATCATTTTTTAAGGAATTAAATTCAGCAAATAATTTAGCCTGTATTATGGTTCTTCCTCCTTATCAAAGGAATGGATATGGAAAATTGCTCATCCAATTAAGTATTTCTTTTAATTTTAAAATAGAGAAAAATTGGTATATCAAATATTTAAAGCAACTGTCAAAAAATCCACATTAATTTTTCATTAAATTTTCCTTTCTAAAATCATCTTGATATCACACGTTGATTTTTATCCACTATTTTCTTCGCTTTTAAATAGGAACCCTTCAATTTCACTTAAAAAATATTTTATTAAATTGTCTCAGTTTTCCTATCATTTTACAATAATTTTACAATAAGAGAAACACTTGATTCAAAAAAACTTTTTAATTTAAATTTTGTAAATAATTTATGTTAAATTTAGGCTATTGCCTTTCTGAAAGAGAAGGAATTGTTGGAACACCGGAACGTCCACTTTCTGATTTGGGCAAAGTTAGTTATCGTAGTTATTGGTGGTGGGTATTAATTGCTGTGCTTGATAGAGAATTAGGCTCTGGGCGTTTAGAAGCTGGTTCAATTTCTGTAAATGAACTTTCTCGTCTTTCTGGCATTCACACAGTAAGATAATTAAATTAATTTTTAAAAATATTTTTTAAAAAGTTAGACATTGTAGACACATTTAAAGCATTACAACTTATTAAATATTGGAGAGGAGACCACGTTGTGAGAATAAGTAGAAAGGTTTGTTTTTATATTTAAAAAATTTGGGATAATTAAAAAAAACCACCTTGACTTCGTTTTATGGTTCGTTTTCCTATATTTTTGAGTTCTCGGGAGAGCATTTTCTGTCTATTTCCTCAGGCATATAGCTTGAAAAAAATTTGAAAGGGGAATGAAATTTTATTTTAAATCTAAATTTAAATTAATAAAATTTCCAAAAAAAAATATTTTTCATTTATTTTTCAAAAGATAATATCACAAATAAAACAATTAAATGTTTTTCACGCCCCAAAATTACTTTTACAAAAATCGACAGTTAAATGGGAATTAGAAAATAATTATAATCTAACGACAAGAAAATATAGTAGCGATGTTGAAAAGTTTGAAAAAAATTAATGAAGAAAATTAATCTCTTTTTCTTTTTTTATTGAAATTATTTTTCACTTTTTTTTTTAATTTTTTAAAATTCCAGTTTTGCTTTAATTTTCTTATTTATAATTATATCTCAATTAAAATTAACAAATATTTTTTTTTTAATTGATAAGAATGGTTGTTTAACCATTTAATTATTTTGTTTGTAAACAATTAAATAGAAAATTGTCTTGAACTATAGGAGGTTAAAAAATAGCTTGAGTCTTTCCGAGTTTGACCCTCAACTTAATTTACCTCTCATCTCAATTAAAATCGAAAATTCTATAATTTATTTTGGCGAAATGATTTTATTTAGTAAAAAACAGGAAAAATAATCTTTACATTACGTAATTTTGAGTTATTTTTATTTAATCAATTATTGCATCATTATGATATTATTTTCTTAATTTTTAAGATTATTTTAAAACTTTTTATACCCCTTAATTTTAGATAAAAACATAAATTAATTTATAATTAAAAATGTCTAAAGCTGGACGCCTCGAGTCTGACACGGTTTGTCTAAATTTAATTCGAATGATAAAATTTTTAGGATCCGAACACTGTTACAGTTTTGAGGAAGCATCAGGCGCCGATGAAAGTGCTTAAATCGGAAGCTGAGGTTTTTAAATATTTTTATATTTTAAAGGATTTTTTTGTTAAAGATTAATGCTGCCAAGAAACGGGGAGACGCTGTTGATACAAATAAGAAGTATTTTGCTGGTCAGAATCGGCAGCACAAAACTGATAAGAATACTGCTGTTTTAGATGCTGAGACGGAGGAGTTACATCATGAGAGGTCTTTTAAATTGATAATTAAATTTTGGGGTCTTTATTTTTTAATTCTGTGTAAAATTCAAGCACAGAATGTCCAAAAATAAGGGAAAGGTCCCCTATCGTATATAACCTCGGTATTTCGTGTTGTTTAATATCCACCACTTTCAAAATTCCTTTTAATCTCATTTTATATTTTTCTCAGTTCAGGGTGACTTTATCTCTTGGTTTGGCAATTCAACAGGCACGTCAGGCCAAAGAATGGACGCAGAAAGCCTTAGCTACAAAAATTAATGAGAAGGCTGAGGTTATTCGTGAATATGAAAGTGCCAAAGCTGTTCCCAACCAAGTGGTTTGTTTTCTTTTTAAAAAATATTTTTAAATATTTCCAAATTTAAGATCTTAGGTAAACTCGAACGTGTCTTAGAGGTTAAGCTTCGTGGTAAAGAAATTGGTCAGCCTTTGGCGAAAAAAGCGGCGGCGGCACCTGCTGCGAAGAAATAAGATTAAAGAAGGATAAGTATTAGGAGGAGGAGAACAATTTGAAGGGAAAAGGCTGCGTTATTTTAATTATTTTTTGTCGTTAAAATGTGAGTTTCCTCAAAGTTTTTCATTGTATAATCTTTTTTGGACATTAAAATATTTGCTGTGCGAATTTTTTTTTAAAACTGAAGATGAGGTTTGAGATGGTCACAGAAAAAAACATTGGTTTTCTTCATAAATTTTCTCTTCACACTTCCAATTCAAAAGAAGAAAATTACCACCTCAACACAATTCTATAATTAATTTATATATTAAAATAACTAACAAACAAATAAAAAAAACTGGCACGAAAAACTTTTATTTTCTACTGAATTTGAGCGAGATCCTCAACAAGTTTGAGTATGTCTTCTGGCTTTAAAGGCTGTGCATCACCCATTGTCCCATCAGGTTTTCTCATTTTCAATCCTTCACAAACATCCACCAACATTTCCCTCGGCATTTCGATTACTGTTTCTATTAAATCTCCGTCAATAAAGCCCGATGCTGCTTCTGTCCGTCTTTCACTGAAAAAACTTCTGTAGGAAGAGTGATCCACTCGCATACTTAAAAAAATTATTTTTTTAATCTCAACATTTTTCTAAATAATTTATTACCAATTATGAGTTTTTGAAGCAATTGATTTTTGTAAATCCATTAAAAGTCTAAAAACATAAATTAAAAACAAAAATTTTAAACAAAACTAACGAATAAATATGTGGCTCTATTTGTACAATTGCACCTAAACCTCCATCTGCTGCGCCTTCAAAATATTTTTAAAAATTAATTTAGAATTATTTAAAAAAAATTACCATAAATTATTGGATTAGTAAAAAGTGTTTTGCGGGAATCTCTTTGTTGATTACTAATTATAGTTCCTCTATAAAATACATTAACCAATTCACCCAAATAAAAGAGACCATTTTGCTGAAAATTTTTTGCCTTAAATTAATTTAAATATTTCTAGGAAATTATGTGCGGGAGGAGGAAACAATTGACAGTTATTTAAGAGAAAAATATTTAAAGTAATATAAGGACCAAATTAAAGGTAATAATAAGAACACAATCTCCCTTCGAGAAAAGGAGTGGGGCATTTTTCTAATATTCCACTTTTTTAAAAATCAAAAAAATTACTTTTAATCTCATTCTGTCCTCATCTGTTTCAGCATTTACGTCAATTTTACAGCAATAAATATTAAAATTTGTTTCGGCAGCGAAAAATGTTTCTGAGTCAACAATTTCACAAGAAGTTGTCCATTCAGCAGAATAATCTCTTTAAAAAAAGAAAAAAAATATTTAATTTTATTTAAAAAATAAATTACCTTGCAATTTCTTCAAATGAAGAATCTGCCGGTTTATAACTTAAGAGACATATTGAACGCCTAAAAAAATTAAATTTTTCAAAAAATCTTCAAGATTCTCCATACATTAAATCACCAATAAGAACCAAATCTCCTTTTGTTTTTAAATAAAGTGCTTGAATATAATTAAAATTTGAACATTCTAAACGAAGTTCTCTTTCTGGTGTCCATTCAAAAAGTCTAACGGTGCTATTTACTGTACAAATTAATTTATTTCCAAGTGTTGTAATTGAATAAACTGCCCCTAAAAATTAATTTAAAATTTTATTTTTCATTTTTTTTACCTTTAACTTCTTTTTCTGTTACTATTCGTAATTTACTTCCAAGACCATCAGTTGAATCTGCACTTTGTGTTGCTTGAACTATTAATATCCTTCCCTCAAAATTTATTAGAATTTTCAAAGTTATTAACGCTTTTTATAAGAAGAATATTTTTTTCTTTAACTAGAGTTATGTCCCAAATTTTCGGTAGCACTTCGAACGTTTAAAACATCAATCCAAAAAATCGTTTGGAAAGAAGTTGAAATATTCAAAAATGTAAACAAAGAAAACCAAACCTGTTTAGGTTCTTGTTCATCAGGCACAACTATAGCTGTCCCAATAGCAAAATAAGGTGTTGGATCATCACCCAAATGTGCCGAACAAATAGAAATTCCAACTTCTTGTTTATTTAATTCCAAAACATTTAAACATTCAAAAGTATTTGAATCAAGAAAACAAACAGAATAAACTTCAATTTCTGTATCAGAATTAGGAGCAATTACTGCTGGAGGAGCAACAGCAGTAGCAGAAGATGTTGATGGTGGGGCACAACAAGGATCAATTACGGATGTTGTTGTTGTTGGTTCTACTTGTTGACATTGAGATTGTTTATTTGATGAAGAAGGGGTAGATGTTGTTGGATCAGAAAATGGTTGTGGTTGCTAATTGAAAAAAATTTTGCTTATTAATTTAAACAATCGGATCTCATTTTTACATAAATCCACCCAATGTTATTAAGTAGGGGATATCCTAAGAGATACCACATATTGAACTGTATACTTTTATTTATTTTCTTTTAAATTTTTTACTTGTTGCTGTGGAAGTTGAACAACTGAAGCACATTTTGCTCCCATTACAGAAATTGATGGACGAGAATAGCTATGCTTATTATTTTGCATAACACCATTACATCCAACATATTCCTCTGGCCTATATGTGAGAATAGCGATGAGACGCGTTTCTGGTTGGTAAACTAAGCGGCTGACAGCTAAAAAAATTTTTTTTAATAAAACGAGGGTTAAAAAGAAGGTTAAAATTTAAATTCCACAGAATAAAGGAAGAAAAATGAATAGTTAATTTGCGAGGAATTTTTTTTTGTTAATTAAAATAAAGTATTTACATTCTCCAAGAGGAACATTTCTTATATGCAATTTTTGAATGTCATCAATTGTCCCAATAAGTAAATTCTCTCCATCAGTGCTTAAATAAATACTGAATCAAAAAAATCAAAGAAACTTACAGTGCCAAACACCCTCTATAATGTTCAGAATTTAATGGACACATTTGATTAACAGAACGAAGATTAACATTAGAAAAAGATAATTTATTATTGCTTGAATAAATAACTGTTGGTCTATCAGAACAAACAAAAACATTTACAGCTAATTTTTTGGAAATAAATTTCATTAAAGTTGTTGGCTGTGTCCCAAGAGAAAATTTCTTTTGATTAGATAAAAAGCCTTAAAATTTTATTTTAAATTAAAATAATTATTTATAAAAAAATTACCATTTTCTAAATTAATTTTAAAATGTATAACAGTCCCATCTCCTAATGCAACAAATAAATAATGAAAAGATTCCATAGTAATCTTTAATTGTTAAAAAAAATTATAAAATTATTTTGATTAAGTGTAAATATATAAAGTTACTTGACAAAAAAGGATTTTCTTAGATTAGCCCATCATCTAAACCTTAATTTAACCTCCCTACACTTAGTCCAAAATCCTAATTAATTAAGATAATAGCGGAAGTTTAATTAATAAAAATATTTTTTTAATTAAAACTAAATTACCAAAAGCAAAGATTTCGGCAAAAATTCATTGCTTAGTTTCTCTTCTGTAAGTTTTTGTAATCCTTTTTCACCGATAGAATATACTGCAATTGAATGTTCAGCCCAAAATCCAATTGCAATTAAATTGGAATTAATTGAATTAGCTATAAAATAATTAAATTAGAAATTCCCTTTAGAAAAAACCCCTTACAAAGAGGAGAAATATCCACACAAGCAATTTCATTAATAAATTCTAAATTTTCTAAAAACAAAATTTCTTCCATTTTAACAATTAAATAAAATAATTTATTCCCAGAAACAACAACAAATTGCCCAGATTTTGGATTAACCGAAGCTAAAGATATTCTGCAATTTGGAGGTATCCAGTGTTTTGTTTGGAATTGGTTATCGACAATAGAAATTAATTGGACAGAATCTGGAGTAATTTGAAGTATTTTAATTGAAGAAGAAAATATATTTCCTGCCCAAAGTGTTGGCCTAGATAATTCAAAATCTGAAAAAAATAAGAATTCAAGTTTTTAGTATTTTTTGAGAGTAAATATCTCCAAAAAAGTAAATTTTCTTTAAAATATTTTAATTTTACCTTGAATTTGTGTGTCTTCCAATTCCTCTTGATCAATTAACAATAAATGAGTAACATCAGCAAATGAAAGAACCAAATAATTATCCAATTCAGAATTTATTCGAAGTGTAAAAATTGCTTTAATTCCAGCTAATTCAACTGTTGCCATCTTTATATTTTTTTTAAATTATTTAAATAAAATAAGAAAAAACCTCATCAATTCCAATACCACTTCTAATAACACGCAATGAACCATCCTTATATGCACCAGAAGCACATACCAACTATAAAAATAAAATAAAAAATTTAAAATAAAATATCTAAAAACCTGTTTTTGTCCATCAACATCAATTAAAACCAAATCTCGAATAGGCCCCAAATTAGGAAAAGTATCAATTACTATAACAAAAGAATTAGAAATTGAATCGACAGGTTCAGTTGAAAGTCGAATTAATTGACTATCCCCAAGACGTGAACCAATAAATGCAACAGAATTATCTAGAAAAAAATATTTTACAAAATATTAAAACTAAAAAATAACAGAAATAAATATGTAGTATTGGAAAGTTGGAATTTAGAAAGAAATTAAAATATTTTTTATATTGGAGAGCCATAATCGGAAAAATAATTTTTGAATCCCTTGTGGATAAAGTAATCGAGAGTCTGACATGAACTTTAAAATGCTACGAAATCGAAAAACAATACAAGAAAACGGAAATAAAAGGGGAAAAATAAGAGATAGGAAATGTAATATAGAAATTCAAAAGTGTCAATAATTTTCATAAAATAATGAATAACCAACCCAAATAGACCAAACATTCAGGAATTGAAATTTCTCCAAGTAATTCAATCTAAAATTTAAAAACTGATTTCAAATTTATTAATACCAAAAAAACCTTTAAATCTCTAATTTCATCAGTATCAGCACCTCTAAGCAATAATAACATAAATAAACGTCCAGACATGTCACCAAGGAGGAAACGTTCCCCTGTTCTATCAATTCGTCCATAACAGTTAAAACGGGCCATGTTAATTAGAGGAGGTGCAACAGCAACGAAATGGCTTGGACTCTGTGAAATTTTTAATTTATGGTTGAAAGAAAAGTAAAATAAGTAAAAATTTTACTTTTTGATAGCTAATTGATTCTTGTCCTACCACAACCAAACCTCCATATGGAGCGGGTATTGGAACAAGTAAAGTAGCTTCTGCTTCAATATTACCTTAAAATTTTGAAGAGTTATTTTAGATGTGAATTTAAATAAAAACTTTGATGCCATAATGCAGCCTTTAATTCATGTCCTTCCAAATCAATCTCACAAACTTTTAAATGACGCCCATTTAAATCCTAAAAAATATAATTTTGTTCAAAATTATCCAAAATTTTATTTTTCATTAAATTACCTGATAAAAGTAAGCAACTATTGGATTCTCTATAATTTAAAACAAAATTTAAAAAAATATTAAAAATAATTAAGTACCTGTATTTTCTAAAAAAGCAACATCTGTAACATTATTTTCTTCAAATCGAACATTAAAATTTTTCAAATCTCTGCCCTCTTTCCATTGTATTAATTTCAAATGACCTTCATAAAGACGCAAACCAATCAACTAAAACAAATTAAATTGATTTTTAAAAATTTTTTAAAAATTAACCCCGCTTTCGTGCACACAACTAATTATTCCGGTTTCTGCAGGCCTACCAACTTTATCGGCAACATGTCCATATGCTCTTGTTTTAGGGGTACCATCTGGCTCAAAACCAAGAATAGCAAGATGATATTTTGCAGTTAAAACAAGTAAACTATCCAATTTCTTAAAGTTAAAACAATCAAAAAAAATATTTTCAAATATTTTAATTACTTCACCAGGAAGACGATATAAATTCATTGAAGCAATCCGGCCAAAAATTGGTATTTCTTTGTGTGGTTTAAGACCTTCAGATGTGACTAACAAATGTTCTATTCGGTTAACACGAGCCTGTAATTTGTAGCATTATTCGAAATATACAAATATCTAAACTTACCAACATAATGTCCAGCTCATTTGAATTGCGGAAATTCCCAACAACAGCAAATTGAACTGAAAATTAACAAGGTACCGCTGCAAAGTTGGAAGCAATTTAAAACAATTCCAACTTACCCACTGTCGGCTTCTGTAAAGATACAACATAACTACAACCGTCTTTATCCATTTTATAATTTATCTAAAATACATAAATTAAAATAAGAATGTTAACTTATCTAGGCAGAAAAATCTTTCTGAACAAAACTAATGAAATCGGAACTGATGAAAACAGACTTAAAAATGATTGAAAAAATTCATTTTGGTTGAATATTCATCCAAATTACCAAAAAAAAATAAACAACAAACTGTTACTCATTTTTATAATAGTATAAAACATTAAAAATGGCTTTATCAAAGAAAATCCATCAACAAAATATAGTGGAATTTATTAAAATTGTTTTCGTGTTTTGAATCAATAACATAGAGCATTTCCCCGTTTAAATCCGTCATCATAATTTTCATTCTTACAATTATTTCACGTCAAAATTTGTTGAAGCACCGCGTTTTGATGGCTGTTCAGATGGAGTGAAGTAAGAATTTGGTTGAAGAGTTGTTCATTCATTTGAATGTGTTTCATAATGGATTTCTTAAAAATAAAGAATATTTTTTATTTTTAAATTAAAAATAAATTTAGACCATTCTGGCCTTTGTATTTTCCAATAATTCTGATGCTTCACCATCAAAAGCTCCATGAGAGAAAGTATGGAGAATAATCTTTAAAATTTAAATTCTATTGTATACAGCATCAGAAACTTTAAACACCTGAAAAATTCGTGATGGATCACCTTGAAGTGCAGGATGTTGTGCCTCAACTAAATCACAAAAATAGTCATAGACGTATGGAACTTCTTCATGATCATTCCAAACAGGTAACCAACTAACAAAACGAGGCACAAATTCATGAACATTTAATCCGGCTGAATTGTATTTTAATATCTTGGCAATTGCGCTGATTGAATTTTCTGTTGCTGCCGAACTTTCTGCAACGTTTTAGGTTAAGGAATACAACAACAAAATTAAAAACACCTTCTGTACTACGAGCATCAGATCTTTCAATTGATACAATTAATGGCTGAATAAGTTGAGTACAGTGCTTTTCGTATGCCTAATAAATTAATCAAATATTGCACTATGAGAAAAACCTGGCCGCCTTTTAATGCCATTATTCCACAGCCATAAGCAGCAGCTTGACGTACCTTAGAAAATAAAATTAATAATAATTTTGGGATAAAATAAAACTTCAGAATGTTTCTCACTCAATGCATTAACTAATGGCTGCAAGAACAGATGTTGATATTGTAAACTTGACTAAAAATAAAAAATTAGTAGTAAAGATTAATAAAAAGTAAAATCTATACAGGGCCACCAAACTCAATCAAATCATCAAAAATACAAATTGCCCATTGTCTATCCTGATAAGGCCTTCGAGGATCCAAAAGTGATGCAAAATGAATAGCCATTTTATCAAAAAATGGAACATTTGCTTCTTTTTTTGTCTGAAAATAATAAGGAAAGAAATGTAAATAAAACCAAACCATAAATAAATAATGATTAATATCAGCCAAACGGGCCCTAAAAATTGTATTCAATGCAAAAATATTATTATTAAAATATCAGTTAAACTTACAACATATTGGATTCAGCTTCGAAAACTTCATTTAAGGATTCTTGTTCATCTTCATCATCAATATCTTCATCATCCTTGCGCTATAATTAAACAAATTACTTCAAATATAAAAAATAAAAAAACATCTGCTTCTCTTTCTATACGCCTCTTTGTAAGATATTCCAATCGAAAGAGAACAAGTTCGTAAATTTGTTCAATGTCTTGAGCAGTAATAATTGAAGTTTCGCCAAAATGTTCAACACATTCGGCGATACCATTAAGTATTTCACAAATTACTTCGTTTTCATTTTCCTTTTTATTGGCATCTCTACAAAGAAATATTTTTATTATTCAAACTTTCAACAATTACTTATAAGCATTAAAGACAGTTTCCCATGAATGTCGTAAATATTCCTCGCCAAATATTTTCGAGCTAATCAATAAGAAAGGAAGGCATTCTGCTGCCGCTGAATAAAAAAATTATTTAATATTATTTTCTTCCAAAAATTAACCCTGTCTCACGCCTTCGTGAAAAACAAATCTGAGCAATTGTATCATCATCCCCATAACACGTTCAGCATAAGGTGCAAAACCTTCTTTGAGTTCACGTGCAAAACAAACAATCATTTCACAAGCAGTGACTTTATCTTCCAATCCAGCTGTTCGAATACCTAAGGAGCGATTAGCACCTGAAAACATTTTTGAAAAATATTTAAAATTAAAATTTATTACCAATAGGAAGATAATTCCATTCTTCGTTATCTTCTTCATCTCCTTCTCCATCAACAATCGTTACTTCAGGTTTAAAATCAGCGGCCAAAAGAACGGAAGGCATAATTAAGTCCAAATATTTAGCAAAACTTTAATTTTATTTTAAAATAAATAAACAACAAAAATTACCCAGGTCCAAGAACTTTACAAATTCTTGCCCAAGCACTTATAAAATAACTGAAAGAGCAAATAAGACAAAACACATATTTATTTAAAAACCTAATTTGTGGGTCATCATTTGCTTCAAAATTAACACCAGATGTAAGAAGAAATTGCCTTAAAAATATTTTCTTAAAAAATAAAAACAATAAACATTATTTGGTCAGCATCGGCTCCAAATAAGTCTTTTCCAACTGCAAGTCCAATTAAAGATATACATTCAATTGTTCTACCACGCAACATTTTACAATTGTCGCCCTTTGAGTTCTCAAAAACTAAAAAAGAAAAGTCAAGAATAAAAATTAAAAATAAAATAACTGTATTTGAGAGGAGGCATTAACTCATTGTAAAATGCAGCAAAATGATCTTTAAAATAAATTGTAAAATAATACTAATATTCACAAATTTTTACCTTGTGCTGCATCAGCAATTGAAGCAATTGTTGTGATTATCTTAACAAAACATTAACTTAAAAAATAATATTGGTTAAAAAGAGACCTGTTCTAAAACCAATTTTTTGCCAGTTGTTAGCATTTGTTGAAGAGTCTGTTGAAGAACTGTTTGAATTTTGACCATCAACTAGAAATTTAATTAAAATTATTATAATAAATTATATAAAAACCGATTGAAGATAAATATTAATAATAGCCTTTGGACATTCTTCACAAAAATTAACCATTGCTGCAGCAGCGTGTGCAGCAACACGTGGAGTGTTTAAATCAGACATTGCAGTCAAAAGAGCCTAAAATAAAGATTTAATTTTGTACAAAAGTATCATAAAAAAACTCACTGGTACAATCGTTTCATGACATTTTTTCTGAATAGTCGGTTCAAAATCTGTACACATTTGACCTATCGCATTGCATGCAGCATATCGTACACGAGGATGTGGATCGTTCATTTTTGGAATGAGCATTTGATTTGTAATGTCATGTATAAGTGGTTCCATTTGCTTTTTGCATCCCTAAAAATTGTGATAGAAATTCATAATTCATTAAATTTTACTTCGCCAATTGTTGACAATGCACAAAGACCAGCATGTCGATATTTCCAATTTTCTTTGAAAAAAAAATTAAATAAAAAAATAAATAAAAATTTAAACCATTTCCAAGCAATTCATTAATACATTGCAACGCATGTGTCATTACAGCCTTTCCACCAAGAGAACAAGAAATTCGGTCAAGGGAAGTCTCACCAATTCCAGCAGTTCTAGAAAAATTTCTTATTTAAAATTACTTTAAAAAACACAAACTCCTCATCCAAATCCTCATTAGCGTCATCTATTGCCATCCATTCGTTTAAATCGTCATCGAGCTCTTAAGGAATTACAATCAACATTCTTATAATAAAATTAAACCTGTCATTAAATGAAGACATTGCTGGACTAAAAAATTTAAAATTAATTTAAAAAATCTTTAAGAATATTACTAAGCGCAGGCAGATAGTTTGCTCCTTTTTTCTTCATAAAATTACCACTTTCACACATAGAAACCATTACCTCCAAACTACCTAAAAACAGAAAATATCATCAAACAAAATTTAGATAAATATTTACTATGTCTATACGATTCATCTTTTTCTTGATTAGCAACAATGCTTGAACATAAAGTAAAAATACTCGCAAAATGAGGAATTAAAATTTTGGGTAATGAAGCAGCCAAATCGCTAAGGCATTGAAGAGGAACATCTACAGAAAGATTAAATTTATAAACAATACATAAGCATAAAAACCAACCATCATCATCTTCAATCTCAACAACATGTTGACAAACTTTAACAACAGCCGGAATAAGGTCAGAAAGTGCTTTGACTACATTTGTATCCTCATCATTGTCACAAACAAAAGCAACATAAGCTCTAACAGCGGCTGTTCGAACAGAGCTATTGGCTCCAAACAAAAGAGAAGCATGGAACATTTTCTAAATAATTTACTATAAAACGAATGATAAACTTAAGAAACCTTTATGTCATTAATATATTTGATGGAATCAGAACCGAAAATGTTTGGAACATTCCTTTAAAAATATTAATCAAGGAAAAAAAGAAAAAAATTTACTCAATTAAAGACATTCCAGTCTCACGGAACGATGGATCTTCCGAAGTAGCACATAATTCAAGAAATTGCATTACGCCTGTCCAACATTGTTTTCCTGTATTTTCGTCTGAAAAACATAGAGTAATGAAAAATTTCAAAGAATAAACCAATAGTATTTCTCGCCAGTTCAGCCAAAATATCAGTTAAACGTTTTTTCAAAACTGGTTGTTGTTCTGCACTAAGATAACGAATAAATTCAGAGTGGAAATGGTCCTTCTGGATTTGGGAGTCACGAAAGAATTCCTCATAAGAGGAAGCAACAAGACGGCGTAGAAGCACGAGAGCCATGGAACGAGACTTCAAAAGTTGCATAAAGGTTTTAAATAATTAAATTTATAACCTCAATGTCGTAATTCACATTTGAATAATGGCCAAAAAGGAGTGGTCCTTTGTCCTTGAGTGTTATCTTTTCATATTCCTTCTCGGCGACTTCTGAAATAAAATTAAATTTATTCTGGTACTTCCCATTGATTGCACTAAGTTTTAACAGATATAAAATCTAATTATTATTGAGACCAAAGAAGCTTAAACTTCATAATTTTATAACTTTTGTATTTAATTTTTAACTCAAACTGTATTAACCCTTCATTTTTCAAAGCAAGATGAGCTATCCCACCTAGTTACGTGGCTGAAATTAACTACCCAAAAATAGGATTAAATTGAACACGCCCATTAAAATAGAAAATGGAGACTGTCCCGAAAGTATCACGTGAAGTGCAACAAAAATAACAAACCTCTTATTTCATTCTCAGAACTCATCATCCCAACTAATAATTGAGCAAAATCAACAGTTCCCGCAGCCATTATTAGATTAAGTAATCAAAATTAGCGCTTAAAATTGTCAAAATTGAAAATGTCAAATTAAAATAATTATTTTCGATTTAATGATACAAATAAAAATGTAATAAAAATCAATCATTTTTTACCATAAAAGAAAAAAGTCTAATTTAGATAATAACTAGGTGATCAAAATTCCGGAATTTTTAATAGTTATTATTGCTTTTAGCGAGATTTTAATTATAAATCAAATGCAGAAAAGTGCAAAAAATATAAAATCCCTGCAAATATTGATCAACTAATTTTTTTGTAAAATGCCAAAAAATATCAAATATAGGAATGTGTAAAAATGCCCACAAATAATACTTTGACTAGAGGATTTAAAAACTGTTTAAAAATGAGAATTTAAAGCAAATTTTGTTTAGGAATGGTTTGATAATAAAAAAAAAGTTAATCCAGAAAAAAATATTTTTTTGAAAAACGATCGCGATAAATGATCAAAGAAATTTAATTTGGATTAACTTGGTTGGAATGTTCAATTGCGGCAAGTAAATTACAGAAAAATAAAAACACCGAATGAACAAAAAAAGAATAAACTTTTAAAAAGGAGAAGTTTAAAAAATTGTAAAAAAAATTAAAGCGCCAAAAGGTCGGGAAAGAGAATTAAAAAAAGGAATGTTACTTCGACATTATACACACAAAAAACATTGCCATTCACTCATTTTGTTATGAGTTTAGAAGTGCGCTTGTTAGCAGAATCGACGCGGCTTTCGTTGGACAAAGCCTGCAAATAGTTTTTTTAAAGTTAGGCAATTAACAAAAATAAATAACCTTTTCTTGAATTCGAGACAATTGACGGTTTTGGTTAGAAACTTCAGTGGACATATCTACAAAAAAGTATTTAAATACTTTTATTAAAAAATGACAAAAATACCAATTGCCATATTACGCAAATTTCCAACCATAGTAGAAACTTGTTGAATATTTTCATCCATCTCATCCTCACGTGCATCATTTGTAATTCTATAAAAGAAATGATTCATAGTGAACTAATTGACTAATTTTGAATTTGATTTATAGAAACAAAATTTTGTAAGACGAGGATTTGTCCTCATTTACAGAATAGCGAAACAAAGGAAAAGAACGTCTGACAATTATAAAACCGCAAAAAATTCACAAGATACCGATAAGTACCAATAAATCAAACCTCGTAATATATCCTCCCTGTGGCCCCATTCCTGCATCGCCAACAGTTATACGTGGTTGATCACTAATTACCCCCACCATCATCGTCCTTCTTCCAAGTCTTTGCATATTCCGAATTCTTTTCAAAATCATTTCCCCTAAAAAATGATTGAAATTTTAATAATTTAAAAATACTTTAGACAAGGAAGAACACAAAGACCGCAACATTTTTCCATTCCTTTTAAATGCTCCTCAGCTTCTTTCATATCTTGATTAATTGTATCCAAATTTTGTTCCACACGTTCCAATTGTTCTAAAGGAAATAAAGATTTTATTGAAAAAAGGACGAAAAACCTCCTTGATCATCCAACATAACAAGAGTTTTAATTCCTGCTTCTTTGCTCTAAAAAATTAATATAAACAAAAAATCAAAATTCCAACAAACTTCTTCACAATATGCCAACATTCGACGAGTACTTTCCAAAGACTAAAATAATTAAAATAATTATATTTTAAAGAAAAGATTACTTCATCGGCAGTGTTATTTATCCGTAGGTTAATATCATCTAACGATTCGGGAATCTCCGCGGCGGCTTTCTTTGACATTATGAATATACAAAAGAAGCTTGAACGGTGACAAAGAAGAATAAAAACACCTAAAAATTAATTAAACTTTGTTAATAAAAAAGATTTAAATTATTTATTGAAAATGGAAATACGTTACAAAAAAGGTCTGCATTGGTGACCTTCGATAGAAAAAGAACACTTTTGATATTGGGAAAGTAAATCCAATTGTGCCCCAGACACAATGGAATATGGAAAATGAAAAAATTATTTATTAAAGACCGTTCCAAACTAAAGACAAAATACCAAACGACAAAATGTCACTTTGATAAAGAAATGTCGAATGAATATTTTCCTTAACGGCATTTGTATAAATTTTGTTCGGAATTACATTTTTTCTTCATGGCATTTTTAAAATTAACTTTGATGACATTTTTGTGCTTGGCATTTTGCAAGCAAGCAGATTCTCCTGTCACCAATGTTCTCCCACTTTGACGAGAGGCTACTTTGTTGCAGACATAAATTTTTTGCCTTTTACATAATAATTTTCAGCTTTGGCGGTGTTCAGTCTTTGCCAACAATATTTCTTTTTTCTACTGTCTAATATCACATTAATGAAAAAAATATTTTGTAAAAATTCAAATGGGTAATTTACGTTAATTGTTAAAATATAGTAACCTCAAAAGGACACGCACATAAGGGTGCACTCTTTGGTGCTCCTTTATAATAAATATACTGTAATTAGGTTTTTTGGCACATTTTCTCTATAATTTTGACACATTTTTTATAATTAAATAATTTATTTATTTAAATCAACTAGTCAATTAAATCATTGCGCATTTTGCGTCATTTTTACCGATTTTTTCACGCAAATTTACACACAATTTCCTTCCAAAACTAGTTTTCCCTCCGGTTTTTGAATTAAATAAAAACATTTGTTATCTAATCTGAGAAATATCGTTTGACTAAAATAAACAAAAAAAACTTTTTATCTGAAAAATGAAAACCCGCGCATCTTTTTATATAAAATTATAAACGAAAATCACCGCCTTTGGTCAATGGAGGGAGACATAATTTTTTTATTATTCTTCCGTAAATGGACATTGGCAATGATTTTCTCGACTCCACCCCAGAATATCGACACCCAAAATATCGACACCCTAAATATCGAGACCCAAAATATCGAATGACCCTAAATATCGACACCCAAAATGACGAATTACCCAAAATATCGAATTACCCAAAAAAATACCCCCCTTTTCACTCTCTCCTTTTTGATCGAAACAGAAAAATTTGGCAGATATATATAAAATATTTATTTAATCCTTTATTTTGTTAATCAAAAATGAGCGTTTGGAACAACAAAAAAATAATTTTCAAATTAAATTTTCTCACTTATTTTTTAGTCAGCCTTAAGCATTTCTAGCTTATTTAGCCTCTATCTTTTTCTTTAGATTTTCCAGTTCCTCGAAGATGTGTTTACTAGGGAGTGTCCGACCTAAAAACGGTCGAGACCGGGCTCATTCGATAGAGAATGTGCCCTTTTTACCAAGGATTTTGAGCCGTTTTTGCCCGTTTTTTGATCTGGCCAAGATATGGCCCTCCAACGTCCCAACCTCGCAACCTTCCCTAGTTAGTTTAATTTTTTCAATTAAAATTTTCACTACAATTAAATCAACTCATGATAGCCAAACTTGTCTTATAACCCCTTTTTATTATTTCCTTTAATCCATATTCTACTAATAACAAAAAATCATTGACAATACTTTTAATTTATCCAAAATTCTTCTCTATCATCAGCAACAGCTACTACTTTATTTTTAAATATTCCTTTTTATTTTCTCATTTCTTCAATTTTTTTTCCTAATTTTATCGCCATTTTCTCTTTCCATTTTTCTTACTTAAAATTACCAAAATCATTTTGGTTAATGCTCTCTCCACATCCGGCATCTCCTTCCTTTCCATTTGCCGCCTTCCATACCTTAAACAAACTCCAATGTAAAGCCGCTTGTTCTCCTCTCTCTTAAATTTCCTTTACATTGAAAAAATAAATTTTTAGAAAAGGATTTTGACTGACTTTGCGCACCTAGTAAGTGGTTGTAGTTTATTCATGAGACACTAAAAATAAAGCGCCGATGATTATGTTCCATTTTTCTATTCTTCTCTTTGATTTTTCTCTATAAAACAAGCTAAACATTGTTACTTTTTAAGGAAGAAACTTTATCGGATATTTTCATTGATCATTTATTGATTTTTGATTTATCATTGAATTGAGATATAAATTTAAAAGGATGGATTTAGTAGAAGATTTTTCTTTGGGGGTTTTTATTTGTTCAATGGGTTTGTGTTTGGGGATCTTTTAAAAATATTTTTAAAATTTAAATATATCTTGATTTCCATATTGTTCTTTTTCTCTAAAATGATGTTCTGACTAGGGTTGCCAAAATGGACCGCTGCGGACCGAAAGATCTAGTCGGGCCTAAGATATTTGGCCCGAAAGTGACGGCCGACTCGATAAAAACAAGCCCGAAAGAGATGCCTCGACCGTCGGCCCGGCTCGAAACCGACAACCCTAGTCCTGACATATTTTTTTTTAATTTGTCCCTAGAAAGGCATTTTCTGAGGAAATATGTGCAGTCCTCGCTTCTGGTAACATCATAATACTCGAATACCGAAAAGTATTCCAGATATTTACAAAAACAATATTTTTTACAAAAATTTTTCCATTTTTCTCTTTTACTTTAGGATGCGGAAATGGCGAAACATTAGTCTAGAATCATTATTAATTCCAAAATCAAAGGACAGATTTCGCCTTTCTTTTTTTCCTTTTTTCCCTTTAATTTTCTTTTTTATTATTTTAATTCCAATTTCCCAACAACAAACAGAAAATTGGGATCAACAAAGAAGGTTAATAGAAGGAAGTAGAACAACAACTTCTAATAATAATTTAGAAGATAATGGAGATCTCTTTATTTTACTTGATGAAATTAGTGTTTTTAGTTGTAGAGGAATTAAAAATGAAATTAAATTAACTGAAGAGGTGTTTTTCTTTAATTAATTTGGAGATTATTATGTAGTAGTCTCTCTTAGCTTTTCCATCTGTGTTAATTTTATTCCTTCCTTTAATTTTTCCTGACATATTAAAATTATCGTTTAATCAACGTTCCCCTGAGAAAGTTCCCCGTCCTTCAAGTATTACCGTAAATGCTCTAATATAAGCCCGGCTCTAATAGAAGCCCCCCCCGGTAAATTCATTAAATTTTAATTCTCTTTTGTTTAAAATAATTTCTTTTAATTGGATTGGAAATTAATATTTTGGGGAAAAAATTAAAAATAATTTAAATATATTAGTTGACTTTTATTAAGGATGTTCAAATTGTAAATGAAAAAGGCAATAAAGTTTATTATATTAAAGCACCTGGCAATTATTCTTTACATTTTAAAAATATTAATGTTTTAAATAATTTGGTTAGAAATTTTATTTTAAATTTAAAAAAAAATATTTAAAAATTACAGGCATATTTGAGTGGGGAAATAGGCGTTACTTTACAGGCAAGAAAAAAATAGTGAAAATTATTAAAATTAATTTTTAAAGGTTCCAATATTGGAAGGGCCTGCTGGTTTGTTTATTTTTTATTTCCTTTTTAAAAAATAAAATAAAGGTATTCGTTTTGATGTACCTTATACAATGATCCCAGAAACTGGCCTTCTAGATCAGCATTGTGATGAAGCTAGTGGTATTGTACAAAGAGAGAAGAGACAATATTGGTTTTAAATTTATTCCAATTTAATGCTTATTTTTAAACCACTTCCCCCATTTTCCCGTTTTTCATGGTTCAAGCAAAAAAGTTCAAAATTGCCAGGGAAACAGGAAAAAGAGGGGGGTCTAACCAAACTATTACCAGGAGTAGAGTGTGTTTTCTTCTGAACCAAGAATACTCAGATTTATTTTAAGAAATAGAGAATTTTGAAAAATTTCTGAAAATATTTATGCAAGTTTTCAGCCAAATTTTAACGTGCCTAAACAAATAAAATTTAAAATAATTTCTTAAAGTCGTTATTGCGAATTATGTACACTTGCTGATAAAATAGAGCAAGGTTTAACTAATGGAGAACATCAATTTCTACCAATATTGGCTTCTGGCCAAGAACAACCATTTGCCCCGAAATGCTCAAAAATTGGGGCAAAAAGTTATGAATTTAAAAGAACAATTAATTTGCCTGGAAGATTTGATTTGGAACAAAAAGTTAAACAAAAAATGAGTGGAGTGGATGCTGAAATTAGAAAAAGATTGAATAAAGGGGTAAAAATTGAAATTTTTTTAAATTTTAAATAGACACACTTAGTCTCACCCCTTACGAAGGAGAGAGGCTGTGGAGGGTGTCCGTGGGACTTCGGGATGAAATTTGGTAGACAGATAGATCTTGTCAATTGGGAATGAAGATTAATTAAAGTCCCTAGGCATACACCTAACACAACACTCATACACATTTTAATGCCTAGTCTCTAACATTTCTAATTTTTTTAAATTTATTCAGAGAGGTCGTTTCCAAGTATTTTTAAATTTAATCAGTGCTGATGCCCCTCCAATCACTATGACGGTAATTAAAGTATTTTTAAAAAAATATTTAAAAATAATTTAAAAAAGGATTGGTTTGATGGTTCAGAACAGTGTCGTTGTTGTGGACGTGAAAAAGATCCAAAATGTCGAGGGGTTCTTTCCTTTCTTTATTGTAATGTGGAAGATTGCAAAGTTTGGGAAATTAATTTTAAAAATTAAAAAAAAATTAAATTAAAGTCAGCCTATGCCCAACAATGTTTACATAATTCAGCACGTATAGTTGCCTGTTATACAGTTGAATTTAATTATAGAATGACTACAAGGAGAGAAGAAGTCCAACAATTCTTACGGTAATTCTTGTAAAAAAGGAGTAAAAAAATCTTTTTTTTTTTAATTAAGAGAAAATAATTATCCAGATCAAGATTCAGCAGTTACAACTTCTTTAGCTGCCGATGAGTTAATTTAAATAGAAAAATATTTTTTAATTATTTAAATTTAAAGATTAACTTCCGAAATTCCAAATCAAAATATTAAAGAAGAAAATAATAATCAAAGATTCAATCATCAACACCAAACTTCAGCACCTAAAAGATTAGTTTATGGAGATGAACAAAGAGCTAGACAACCAAAAGAATTAAGCATTAAATGTGTAAGAAAAGAGATTTTTGTTTTAATTATTTTTAAATTAAATTACCGATAAAGAGGAAAAGTTTTGAGAAAAATTACTTCATTCCCAATTTATTTTCAATTTAAAAAATTATTTTTAGGTTTCCCAAATGGCAACTCGTCTTACACATTTACGTAGATATTGCAATATTTTTTGGAACGAGAAACTTTGTTGCTCACATTGTCCTGGCATTTGTTGAAAAAAATTAAAATAATATTGATATAATTTAAATTTTTTTTTTGTACAAAAGTATTTTTTTTGTATTTTTAAAAATTATTTAATAAAAATTAAAACTCTGAGGACAAGCTAGTAAAAAATCGGCAAAAATAACAGTTCTGCATTGACTTCAGATTGAAAATTCTGTTGAGAGAGAGAGAGAGAGACGAATTAAAAGCTTTAGAAGATTAAAGAATTTTAGATCAAATTAAATGTATTGTTGCCTACAGCCTAACTAACAAATTTAAACTAAATAGAATACATGATCTAGATTTTAGTAGAATCCTTAGAAAATTCGATCAAGATTAGAACTGCGCAGAAATTAAAGAATTAAGACGGAATGAGAACTTAGGATAGAGAAAAAGTCAAGTAGATAAAGGAGATCCAGCAACAACAGCTTTTATACTATTAGATTCAAGCCTGCTTTTCTCCCTTCGAAGCATTCCAATTTTTAGTATAAAAGCAGTAGTAAATCTTAGCTCAATTAACAACACACACAATCAACTTCTCAACCGTTCACGACAACAGCTTCAACTTCACAAGTCAATGGCACAATCTGCGTACTTCGGTGGCGGTGGTGCAGCTGGTGGAGGCGGCGGTGGTGCATCTGTCTACATGGGATCTGGAGCCGGCGGTCCCCCGAAGCAACCTGCAGCTGGAGGCGGCGGTTATGGAGCTGCTGGTGGAGGTAATGCGTCTGTCTACATGGGTGGTCCTGCTGGTGGAGGCGGAGGAGCCGGTCAACAAAGTGCCTACTTTGGTGGACCTGCTTCGGGAGGAGGTAAATAATTATTAATCCTAATACAATAATAGATAATTTATTTTTATTTAAGCTTCTGCTGTTGGTAGGTCTGCGGGTGGAGGAAGTGCTTTCGGAGGCGGCGGTGGAACCCAAACGGCTATGGTTGGAGGCGGCGGTGGCACTCAGACTGCAATGGGAGGATTTGGTGGCGGCACTCAGACAGCTCTCGGAGGGATGGGCGGCACCCAGACTGCGCTCGGCGGCATGGGAGGCACTCAAACTGCTCTCGGAGGGATGGGCGGCACCCAGACAGCTCTCGGCGGGATGGGCGGCACTCAGACAGCTCTTGGCGGAATGGGCGGCACTCAGACAGCTCTCGGCGGGATGGGTGGAACCCAAACGGCGCTTGTTGGCTATGGCGGTGGAGGCACCCAAACGGCTCTTGGCGGAATGGGAGGTACTCAAACTGCTCTTGGAGGCTTTGGTACGCAGACTGCTCTTGGTGGTGCTCCTCCTGCTGGAACGGCAACTGCTCTCGTTGGTGGAGGTGGTGGAACGCAGACTGCAATGGGAGGAGGATATGGAGGTACGGCAACATGTTTGGGGAACGCTCCTGCGGCAGGTAAAAAATATTATCTTTGTCATTTTAGCCATTGATTTTAATGTTTTAATTATAGGTACAATGACTGCTCTTGGTGGAGGAGGCGGCGGGACGATGACAGCTCTTGGAGGCTTGAAACCTGCTGCTGGTGGAGCTTCTCTTGCTGGTTCAAGTGAGTTAAAACTTAAATCTTAAACCATCATTAATTGAGCTTTTATTTTCATTTAAAGATGTTGGCGCTTCTTCGGCATATATGGGAGGTCCTCAAACCGGTGGTGGCGTTGGTGCGCAGTCTGCCTACTTTGGCGCTGGTGGAGGAGGTGGCGGCGGTGGAGCACGTCCGCCTGCTGGTGGCGCTGCTGCGGGATCTGTCTACATGGGCGGTGCAGCTACCGGTGGAGGAGGCGGCGGTTTCCAGAGCGTCTACATGGGAGGGAAGTGATGTGCAGCCGAGGACAAAAGATGGAGAAGAACAGAAGAAGCGTTGTTTGACTAGATAATCCCTTTTCCCTTCCAATCCCCCATATATAATTGTGTGTTTTTTGTATTACGCTAATATATATAGGCTATTATCCCATTTGTTGTTGTGGCTCATTAATATAATCCAAATGTGCCCAAATATGTCGTATAATTTCCTATTGTTCATATTGTATGTTGTATATTGCTATTTGTATTGGATATATAAATAAATATAAAAATGTGTTTGTTGATTTTTGTGTATAGTATTGAGCTCTTATTTAGGCTTTTGAGATTTGACCTTTCATTAGTTTTCATTAACTACAAATTTGTACCCAATACCATTTTAATGTTTGCCTGGCTTAAAATTTCTTGTCATCTATTAAGTGTTTGTTTGAAGATTATTCGTAGCCTGCTTTTAACTTAGCCTTGGGTTCTCAACTCAAAATCTGCTTTAAAAGTAAATTCACTCAAACAAACTAAAAATTATCAGAACTTAAAAGAAGTTATTATCATTAATCCAAAAAATTAACTAAAAATTCCCATATACATATTAATAATTTAAACTAACATGGGCAAGTCTAATTAAACGGGGAGATTTTAGAGCTTAAAGTAAAAGGAACAAAAATAAATTACATATTTATGTTTAATTTATCAAAAAATAATCAAAATGCAAAAATCTTTAAAAATTAAATCAAACTTTTTTAAAATAAAATTTGAAGTCTGAAAACTTTTTTCTATCTTCTCCTTCGGCGCATAAATACTTCTGATGCCGAAACTTTAGAAAAAGTATTTTTAACATTTAAAATTAAAAAAACATACTAGGTGCTGAATGAGAGAGTGGAGCTAATACAGGATCTAATGATACTGGGTGGTGTGGACCTTTTACCTTTAAAAGAAGTATTTTTTTAAAATAAAAGAAATTGGGGAGAGAAAGTGGAATGAAGGCACTTTAAATTTGTAAATTTAAACCTCAGCTCCTTTGCCGATAAGAAGGCCGGTAGTGCTAATTGAATACAAAATTTGTGGTTTTACATTATTATTTCCAACGAAAATAATAAAAAATAAAATTAAATTTAGAAATAATCGAAAAATAAAATTGGTATTAATTATTTTCATAGTATCTATTTAAAAGAAAAGAAAATTATTTGTAACTAAATAATAATTATTTTAAATCGGAAAGTACACCATTTCAACCCCTAATTTTCCAATTCGATTTAATCAAAATTGGTGTTTAGAAAAGGGACTGGTTAAATATTTAATTTAACAGGCAAAGAAAATTTTATTTGGAACAGGCTAGCTGGGAATCTCTTTTGAGAGTTTCCTCATTGATTCCCTTCAGAGAGGAATTTAGTTTTTAATTCACATTTTTTCAAAGAAAAATATTTAAAAAATGAAAGTGTTTATTTTCGCTTCTTTACAAAAATTTGCGATAATAAAAATAAAAAAAGTGAACACCTCTTTATTTAATTTTGATCAATCACTTTTCTCTCTCTTTTTATTTTTAAATTTAACCTTCCCAAAATAATTAATTAATCAATTAAAAAATATTTTTTTTTATTTTGTTTGAATTTTTTGAAGTAAACAAGGCGAAAACAAAGAATAAATTTAATTAAAAAAAACAAGTATTAATTAATTTAAAAATAAACAAACACCCCTTTTCTTTCAATTTTTTTGTTTAAACACATTTTAATCAAATAAAAAATTAATTAAAATAGCGAACAATTGTTTTTAGATTTTATAACAAAAAAAATATAAAGAAAATTAAATATAGGTTTATTTAATTTTAAATTAAAAATATTCTGATTTTAAATTCTAAATTTTGGTATTACTCCCGTTATCCCTAACTACTTTTTGAGGACTCTTTTGTTTTAAGAAATGAGATTAATAAATTAACTTTTTTTTTTATTTTAATGTCTTTCATTTGAATATGCCACAGAGGAATATATGTAGCAGTGTTGCCGCGGGTACAAAAAATCTTCGGGTACGGATTTTGGGTTGGAGCGTTTTCATTTCGGGTAACGGGTTGGCAAAAATATCGGGTACGGGTTTCGGGCGGCAACCCTGATATGTAGTAGTGAAATTGAGGAAGGAAGTTTGTCGGCAAAACCTGAATTTTTACCCAAATTTTTCAAAATTCTGATCAACCAAAAGTTTTAATATAAAAAATGGATTTCCTAAATAATTTATTAAAACATTAATTTCTTTATTTTAAAATTAATTTAAAAAACAACTGAATATTTACTTTTGTTTTATAAAAAATTATTTTCTACAAATGTTATCAATTTTTTATTTTATCGTTCTTTACTTTGTCCACGTGAATGTACATCTCCTCCCTTTCCAGAACGGCTAATTTTCTTTTCTTTGGAACGTTTCGGAGGAGGAGAACCAATACCCACAGGATGGCTTTCATAAAGACGTCGATAATTGTCAGAACGGATATAATTCCAAAAAGCTTCAACTCTTTAAGAAAAAAATTTTTTTAAATTCTCCAATTGAAAATTAGTTTTACATAAATTCAGAAATTAATTTTTTAATTTTTTTAGTCTCCTTTATTCATGTACTAACTGTCAGAAAATATTTTTTTCTAAAAAACTTACCCACTAAACCAATCACCATTCTGTGCCCCACGCATCAAAACTTCTTTTAAAGGCAAAATCCATCTTTAAAGAAAAATAATTTTAAAATATTATTTTTAAATTCAAACGGATTATTTTCAACACGAAGAGTTTTAGCATTTTCATCATTTGGGTCAATTAAATCTAAAGCCCCCAATTCTGGGGGAATTACTTGAAGACGATTACCCTAAAAAAAGAAAATTGTTTTCAAATAAATTTTCTTTTTTTGCCTGAATATGTAATTCTTTTAATTTATTACAGGCACCTAATTGACGTGGTAAATCTATTATATCATTCTCTCGAAGAACCAAAATTTGGAGATTTGTCTTTAAAAATAAATAAAAATTTTTAAACAAATTTATGTTTTTTCACCAAATGTCCAACATCTTCAGGAAACCCTTCAAAGTCATTATCCCCCAAATAAAGTGCTCGCAATGTTGGCATAAAAAAGAAATTTCCTGGAAGGCTGTGCTCGTTTAAATTATTCTAAAAAATTTTTTTTTGAAAATATTTTTTTAAAATCTCCAAACATAAGTAAGATCAAGAATTTCCAATTTTTGAAAAGAACCAAATCCGCGAGGCAATTTATTTAATCTATTCATTCTAAAAAATAACGAAATATTCGGATAAATTTGTTATTTTTGATATTTTCTCAAAGTCTTCATAAATAATTCAAAAAAGCAATGTTAAATGCTTGATTTGGGTTTTCTAGGGGCAAGCTACGTTTACAATGGATACGTGTCTAGTAGAGATCGGTATTTACAAAAATCCTGGATCTGGATTTAGGTTAGTACCCTGGACAGGATTCTTGATTTGGATCCAGAAAAATCCAGGACGATCAAAAAATGCCTGGATCTGGACTGGACCCAGATCGATCTCTAGTCTCTAGTGTTAAGTGTTTTGTTCCCTGTATTTTATTTTTTTCATTATTAACAGCACACTTGACACTCCAGATGCCATTCATTGTAAATACGTTGTCAGATTTTAAGGCATATTTTCCTTTACTTACCCAACATTCAAAAGCTTTAAATTTGGAAGTGCCGAAATTGCAGCAGGTAATTCCTCAATGTGATTATTCCATAAATTTAAACTTTCCAAACTTGTTAAATCAGAACTGTCCAAAAATAAATTTTATTTAAAAAATATTTCTTTTTATTTTACATATTTGATGGGAGAAGTGTTATTTTGTTGTGGCTCAAAGTTAAATTTGTCAATCGACTATTCTCATCTACAAAAAAAAACTTTTTTTTTTCAAAATTTCCAAAAAAACATACAATTTAAATGTAATTGTCCAAAATTGCTAATTCCTTTATCAACATAACTCATTTCTGTGCCTTCCTCCGGGGGTGCCGAATGGTGATGTTCTTTACGTTGATTTTTATCATTTCGACGCATTTTTAGTTTAAAAAATAATTTTTAGTAAAAATGCTGCAAGGGCCAAAATAAAGAGAAAATTGATTGCTTTACTAGCTCATTTGATATAAACTAAAAACTAGAGCCAATCTAAAACAAAAAGGAAAAGTGTAAAGCTTTAGAAAGAAAATAAATAAAAAGGGTTTGTTTTTAACCATTAAAAATGTAACAAAAATTGATTTTATAAAAGAATTTTATTTTTAAAAGAATATTTTCTTAAAAAATATTTAGGTCACTAATTTTCGTATTTTTGTTTCTAAAACAGCCAAATAATTATCTAACATTGTAACTGCTTGGTCCATTCTTTTGCTAGCTTCGTCTGGAATTTTTATTTAAAAATTAAATTTAAATTATTTAAAAACCAATTTCATTTATTTGATCCAAAAAAGGCTTCAAATCCTCGTATTTTTGTTGAAGCTGAGCAATTCGACCCCCAACAGTTTCTGCTACGTGTTGCATATCTAAATTTGGAGTTTTAAAAAATAATAGACAAATGCGAGATTATAGGAACTAATGCTGGAATGAAGCAGAATATGGCAGCTACTACTTATAAACTAATTAAAGAACTTCCAAATCTAATTGAGAAAATTGCTTTGTTCACATCAGGGATTTTAAAGGTACTTTTCCGTTATCCCTACCCCCTTCTTGCAAATTTTTCCAGGACTGCCTTATGTAAAGAGTGGTCAGTCTCCTTCCTCCAATTTTTTCTGTAGCATGTTCAATGAGAATAACGGAAAAGTACCACTTTAAATTAATCAGGGATTCACGAAATAACGAAGAAACCAAACAAAAATGAAAGACCGAAGCGACAAGGGAAGAAAAAACTAAATTAATTCCAACCTTTATATCGCTGTGCCGTTACATCATTCATTTGTTCCAATAATTTATAATCATCAATACTTGACTGTATCTGTCCCTGTATATATTCATTTACTCTACAAAATAAATTCTAAAATATTTTTTTTCAAATAATTTTGTAAACTTGTTAGAGCATTGTTTCGCCAATCGCTTTATTTCATCATCTTTTCCATCATCTGTACTTGTACAAGCCGGGGGAGATAGAGGACAATCAATGCTTATTGCTCTCTCATTTATTTCCATTTTTAGTCTTTTCAATTGTGTAAAAATAATTTAATTTAGAAAAAAATATTTTTAGAAAAAAAAACATTTAATAAAAATACAAAAAAAATAATTTAAAGTTTATCAGAAAATTAAATGATAAACAAAATTCTGAATTAAAAAACATTTAAAAAATTTCCCTGGAACAAAATTTGAGCAAATAAACATTTACTTTAATATATAATTTATAGATTAGCAAACAATAAATTGATCAATAGAATTTAGATTTTTATTTTTAAGAAAATTAAAAGGACTTTAAAAAATTTTTATTTTAAAATTAACAAATTGATCAATTCATAAAAACAATTCATGGGAGTTTTTAAAAAAGAAAAACATTTATTCAATTTGATAAAGAATATATTTAGAAAAATAATCCATTGCTATAAAATGTGCCAATAAAAATCCACTCAAGTAAGGTCCTTTCTTATTTGCTGGAAATTTATTTTCAAGTAACGAATTGGCAGAAATGCAGCCATCGAGAGCGTTGAACAGAATGTTAAAATCCTCAGTACTACAAAGAAAATTTAAATTTAGTTACATATTATTGACTTTAAAGACAAATAATCTTTGCCTATTTTTTAGGACTGTTTAAATCTCTTTTTTTATTTTTTAAAGATTAAATGGCTCCAAAAGGGGTTATTCCATCTATATTACTGATACGTGAGACGCACTCAGAATCCGTTCCATTTTTAATTGCAAATAGAAATATTTATTTCACTATAAACTAAAAAAGCAAGTCAGAAAAAAATTTTTTTGTGGGAGAGAACACGGGCCCGCCATAAGTAATTCCCGACTGATTATTTGCCCAGTTCTTTTTAAACTTAATCCCAAACAAATTAGAAGGGGTCACTTTAGTACGTGGGTCCCGAGCTTGATATACAAATGTTATACCATTTGAAAGAGCTCGTCGATCTGAGTCGAATGGCACCAGTTTTAGCCCGAGGAAAAATTTTTGGACCGAGATATAGGTCCCTGAAATTTGAAAAACCATAGGGGGGACCAAGCACTTTTTTGGGGTGAAAAATTCGAAAATGCAAATTATACCTCATTCGAAAGGGCTCGATGAGCTGAGTCGAATGACACCAAAATCACCGTGATTGAACAAGATTAGACAAAGTTATAACAGAAAAACAAAAAACTCTAAACCTATGGGTCGTCGGCGAGGCGCTTGTGCAAAACCCCGCGCTTCGCGCGGGGTTTTGCGGCACGCGCCTCGCGGGGAGTCTACGGGCGCTGGGTCTGGGCTCGTAACATAAACTTATTCATATCTCCCTTGCTCTGGACGTATTTGGGGCCTCCGTAGCAGCAAAAATCTCCACAAATGCCATAGGTAAGGAGCTAAAAGAAAAGATCATAACTTTGTCAAATCAAGTCAGATTTCGTTGATTTTGGTGTCATTCGACTCAGCTCGATGAGCTCTTTCGAATGAGGTATAATTTGCATTTTCGAATTTTTCACCCCAAAAAAGTGCTTGGTCCCCCCTATGGTTTTTCGATTTTCGGGGGCCTATATCTCGGTTCAAAAAATTTTCCTCGGGCTAAAACTGGCGCCATTCGACTCAGCTCGACGAGCTCTTTCAAATGGTATAACATTTGTATATCAAGCTCGGGACCCACGTACTAAAGTACAGCCAATTAGAATCTTACAAATTAGTTTGCAATAAAAAATTACCGAGGAATAATTTCCTCTCCAAGAGCCAATTGATCGATTAGTCTCACCAAACGTCGATAAGTACGTCGGTAGAGATTCGGAATTGCTTCTTTTTTATTATTTTTGAGAAATTTTCGCAAATTGTCTCTGTCACCTTTTGCTATAATTTTTGTAATTGCTTTTCTGCCATGTAAAACAAAGGCAAGACCAGCAGCTGACAAACGACATTCATTTTTTGTGTTTTTAGGTAATAAATCAAATGTAGATAATGTAACAGTCTGAGCGCTAAAAAATAAAGTAAACTTTGAAATTTTGTGCAATAAAATTTACTTCGTAAATTTATGAGTAGAATCTTCATAATCATACGATCCTGGCCCAAGGCGAATATGGCAGGCAGGATTGTCTAGACTAAAAAAAAATAATTTTTATAAAAGATGAAAAGAATTATTTGCCTTTTCATGCGAAATGTCCCCTCAGCATTACCATAAGCATGACCAACAATTGCAGCAGCAAAAACTGTTGATAAAGTAAAATTCTTTTCAGGTACGCCCAAAATAGTAATAGAGCCGGATTTGTCATCGAAAGGCCTAGTAAAAATGGGAATTAGTTAAAATTAAAAAAAATTCACCTAAATATTTTTTCAATATGTTTATCTACATTTTCATTATTATTTTCTTGAAGATCAGCGTTGTTTATCATTTGCTCCTTCTGAGAATTCTCTGATAACTGTTAAATAATTTTTAATTAAATTAAGAAAATGAAAAAAATATTTTAGATCAAATGACCAATTATCCATAATAAAATATAGAAACAAAAAATAAATATTAATAAAAATGCATGACAATATTTAAAATTAAATTAAAAGTTAGCAAGAGAGTTTGGTTACAATTATAAATGACAATGATTTAAAATATACATATTATGAATGCAAAAAATGATTAAATAACTATTTAATGCACTATAACCTTTTTAAATTACATAATTTATTTCACACCCAAAAGGTAATAGTAATTTTAAGGGCCAATGGAAATAAAAATTTGTAGATTAAAAATGACAAAGAACATAAAAATAGCAATAAAATCGTAAACGTGTCAATCACACATAAAATTGTGATCAATTTTCCAAAATTTACGTGCTCGAAAAAAACTTTTATGTATGTCAGAAAATATCGATGACATAAACTAAAAATGTAGAGCTTCGCATATAATTATTGCGTCCGCAATTATTTAACGCACATTCTTTCCGTAATTTTCTCATTTTTGGCTCAGAAAATTAAATTGGCTCTAACAATAACACGTATTCCTTCACTTCCCCTTACCCTCTCCCCCCTTTTTTTCTTCTTTTATTTGATATAATCTTTGATACAAATACTTAAAAACTTACCAATGATTTATTGTCGTCCGTCAGCTCAAAAGTTTGTTGTTTATTGTTAGTATTAGTTGAAGAAGATGGTGGAGATAAAGAAGAAGAACAGCTCTCAAACCCAGTACTATTTGATGATGAATGTGAAGAGAGGCGGGTATCTTTAATGGACGAGGAGTCTACTCCACTGCTAGTGTCCTCTCCTTTAATCGCTGTTGGATTTTTACAAAAATTGTTGTTTTCCTTCTCTGCAATATTCTCATCAATTTCTTTTGCTACTTTGACTTTTTCTTCCTTATTTCCATTACAAAAAATTTCTTTAACTTTTTCATTCAAAGTCGAGTGGTTTTCAATTTTTGACGTTTTATGCGTATTTTTATTAGATTTAGAATTTTCACAAGAATTTTCTCGTGATGATGGAAGGGAACACAATGGCCGTCCATACCCTGATTTTTCGTAGTTTGGTCGCTCTTGTGAAGTTATTAAATTGAGATCAATATGTTGCCTAAAAGTAAAATTAAATTAAAAAATTTAATAATATGGACTCACGAATAGCTTATTAGTTTAGATGCAAGATTTACAGCAGCGTCATATGTTCGCGCAATAGCAAAATCTTGAGCAGTGGAAATATAATCGACCTCCTAAAAAATAAAAATTCAAATTTCGTTTAAATTAAAAAACAATTACTTTTACTCCAACCATTTGATTAATATAAACTTCTTTTCCAACCCAAGCCTTCGGAAAAAATAATCTTTAAAAATAATTTAAATTAAAAAAATATGTAAATGTAAAACATACGTTGGTTTAACTAATTTAACACATTCAATACGATATCTTGTTTCGTCATATCTTTTAATTGGTCTAATAATTAAACGAGGCAAACGCAGTGAGGAAGAGGCTCTTACAAGTAAATCGTTGAAACAAACAGAAGAAAAATCAAAATTACAAAATATAAATCCATCAGATTGATCCTTTAAAAAAGAATGTGAAATGTCTTTGATTTATTTTTGTAAAAATTAATTACAGGAAAAATTCAAAATTTTTTTAGGTAATTCCCCTTGTTTATTTACTGAGGCTTTAAAATTCACGGTAAATTATTAAAGGCTGCCTATCTAATGAAAAACAAGGAAAGTTTCACCAAAATTTATCTTCAATCATTCGTCAAAGATAAAAATTAAAATTTTTCTTAAAAATTAAATTTTATTTTAATAAATTTATACCATTCTAAGGGAATTGCAAAGTGTATCGAAAGCAGGCAAATACAATTCATTATACCATTTAAGAGTTTTTTCAAGTTGAACACCCAGCTGTTGCGAAAAGTCTTCGGCATATGAAGTAAAATTTTTGTCTATAGGTTCAGGTCTAAAAGCAAGCATTTTCTGATGAATTTGTTGCAAACAACCGATTAATTCTTTCCTAAAAATTAAATAAAATATTAAAATCCGTAATCATTAGATTGCTTTTTGTAACCATATCTTAAAGAAATGACTAAAAATTAAACTTTATTCTCACAGGGCGAATAGAAAATTCAATAGTAAAGGAAAAACTGTTTAAAAAATCTATAAGAATTTCAGAAGTAAACTAGCTCCCAAAAGGGCGTAGCAAAAAAATATAGCCCCCTTGAGATGGGCGCCTAGACTCCCATTAATAAATTGAAAGTAAAAACTTCAAAACAAGCCTGCTTACTTTTCCGGTGTTGGATATTCAAGCTCGAGTCCCCAACGAAAAGCATCAACAACTTCAATAAAATATTCATAAATCTTTCGAAAATCTCTAAACAGATTTGCTTCAGTTTTTTTAACACTAAGCTTTCCATTGTCATAGCGAGCATAAAATCGTTTGAGCAACAATCTCTTCCCAAATTTTGCATAAGCTAATCCAGCATTAGAAAGCGGCTGTACATAACGTTCCATATTGCACATATTCTCTAATGTAAGACATCTAGGAATTTTAACCTTTTTTAAATTTAA